CCTGCGACAACCGGTCGAAAGTGGTTCAATTGCACGCAGACCCACACACACACACACCACCACAGCTGCGCGCATGCGCACTGCATGTCACGCTAGCCTTCAGTTGCTTAAAAACCTCTGAGCGTTGTTCGGCCCCAGCACCGTCCAGGGCCCATGGTCCCTTCGCCTTCGCCCGCCGTTTTGCAGGACACCCTGACCTCCAGCCAACAATGGACTATGGGCCCCCTATGGATCCCGATGGGTTTTTCTACACCATTTCTACGCCGTGGTCCCTGCTCTCCTTGTGAACCTTTCTGAAACCCTTTAACTTACAACCCCCCTAACCCCCTTTGAACCATTTGTGGACCCAATATGAGAGCTCTCACAAGGGCGGCCACGTCGATGCAACCGACCCCATTCACAGGGTTTGTGCTCAAATGCCCCTGTGAACCCCTTAAAAAGCCCCTATCTCTTCATGCACCCGCTTGGAGCCCTCTCTGTGGACTGCTCTGGACCCCCTATTGGCCCACTCTTCTTCAGATATGACCTACCTTTGCAGTCTTGTCCTAACGGCATAGATGCACAGTATGAAAACGCAGGCTCACGCGATGCTCGCAAGTGCCTTTGTCAGGCGTACTTGCCGCTGCCGCCGCAGATGAAATGCAGTTCCTCACGATGCCTGGAAGGGCAATCGTGTGCTTGCACAGCCCCTTTCAAACTATGACCGACTATGATAGACTCTCGCGCCTTCCACCTTGCTTGGTCTCTCGGGATGCGCGTCTGCTCGATAAAGAGCTGCAGCTATCTGGTGGAGCGTGCAGCCCCGAGATGCAGCAACCTGCGCAGGGCGCCAAGGCACAGGGCGGACGGAGCTGGACTTGGCTTGGGATGTACAGTACTGTCAGTACTGCTCTGCTTGGTTGAACCCTCCAGCGAACTGTAGACGCGCAAAACGCGTACCCTGATTGCATCGGTGTCTATTGAAAACCGCAGTATTTATTTGCTTCGATCTTTCATTTCATCTGCACAGCAATGCACAACGGGGTTTGGGAGCATGCGTCCATGCCCGCACAATCAGAACGTCCGTGCTATCAATCCATCACTGCCAGCGCCAAAGAACATCCCCATGTTACCAGCATCCATTGGCCAGGGATCCATGCTCGCATGATGAGAACGTCCGTGCGACCAGTGTGCATCTATTGGCAAAATTAAAAGAACGTCCGTGTGCGTCTAGTGGCCAGAGCATCCATGCCCGCACGATAAGAACGTCCGTGCTACCACCGCATCAGATTGGCCATAGCATCCATGCCCGTGTACTCATCATGTAAAGCATGGTCAAACAAAGAGAGCGTGTTTGGAACTAGCTCTCTGTCATGTTGCCTAAACACGGACAGGGCCGACGGATTCGGCAGTTCCTATGCTGCGGGAGCGACAGAGGATGTACGGCGGCTGCTGAGATCAAGACCCCGGCAAGTTTTTTTTCATGGAGGAGAAACACAACATCCTGCAACTCCAAAGTGTGGCCTGCCTGGAGCCAGCGCGTCGAGACTTCCATCAGACGAAGGCAATGCCGCTCTAGGCCAAGTGCCGCAGAGAGCTTCCTCATGGCTCATCGCTGTGGCTGCTGGCTCAGGGTTTGCGGCTGATCTAGGTGCATTACAGTGCAGGCTAAATTACCATCGTGGAAAGCGGGGGCTTTGTCAACAATGTGACTGGGGCGTTGCCACTCCACCCAATGTGGCTTCGGATTCCAAGCAAGAATGCAAAGTCCTCGCATCAGCTTCGCCGTCCAACTGGGCTATGTGTGCAAGTTCAGCTTCGCTAAATGGCTCCTCAGGGCAGCGACATGTCGGCATTCGTCATGTCGGATGCAACTCCAAGCTAAGTGTTGGCCCAAAACATTTAAGAATTACCGCTCGCAGTCCTTACTCTGCGGCCAGGAAGACCATGCAACATCAGACAGCATGAAGTCAAGACGATCAGGGAGGGAACAGCCGTGATCGATAGGGACAAGTTTGTTGCCACGTCTCTGGACAAGCCTTAGCTGCCAATCCCAGCAGCCATTTTCTATTGCACCAGAATGGTAGAGCGGTTATGGAGATTCATCGTTGTGGCGTCGTGCAGAGAGGGCCCATTGTCTGCTGTTGTGCGATAGCATTCACGGAACAAAACTTCCACAAAACGGGGGTGGTAGTCTATTGAATCCCTGCTTGATCGTCTTTACATCTCGAGCGACAGAGTTGTGTAAGGCATTCTGGCCACTGGCTCACACAGCATTCGTGCAGGTCTCATTCTGAAGGGTATGTGCCGACTACAACGCTGCAGCCTACACGAGACAGGCGTATCGCTTGCTTGTCTTACTTACTTTTACAAGGCAAAACATGGTGCTTGAAGCTGGTTCCTACAGACGTCGATGGAGGGGTTATTATCAGCATTATACAACCCCAAACAGCAAAAGCTCTACTGCGGGCAACACCAGACCAGCCAGTCACAGCTGTAACTGTTCCTCATGCAAGTCAAGCGTCATGTTGCTGAGGTTGCGATCGAAGTTGACTATACGAATATCCAGGATCCCAATTCTGTGAACATCTCGAATTGCATGGACAGTGTGCCCGAAGTCTTCAGACATTTCAGCATCTGGCACGAATGCCTGGAACGCACCAACTTTCCAAACAACGTGGCTGTCCCCGTTGATGTTAACAGGTACGAAAGCCTGGTGCCGGCATCTGACAAGCGTGGTCATGGGAACGCCAGCATTGCCGCACGCATCGGCACGACCGTGACCATCCAAAGAGAAGGAAGTGTCCAGCAAGAAGGCCGCGACTTCGCGGACTGCTCTGTGCGCGGAGGCGACGGCCGTCTGCCAGCGCCGGGTGTTCTCTTTGCCAGCATATCCGCGTGGGTTCTGGGGCGCACCGGCTTCTTCATCCTTGGGTTTGAACCTAAGGGCAGTGCGGAAGAAAGTCTACTTGACGATCGGCTTTTGCCAGGCTCACTCAAAACAGCACGCTGAAATGGGATGTGCCCTCTGAGGCCGTGACACTGCCAAAGTTGTTCCAGCAATGTTCTTGAGAAAATATGTTCCGCCCGAGCCATTCTCTGAGAGAACTGGCAGGACTCCGCGGTTCAGCCCCTGAGCACACTCCTCGAGGCGTTTCTCGAGATCCAAAGGGCAAGGCACGTCACAAAGCGCAAGCTGAAATCCTTCGACGGCACTGGGTCCTATCACCAAAAAGTGTAAATCCAGGTGTTTCTCATCTGAACTTGGCCTCCAGTGCTCGGTGATAGGGCTTTCGTCAGTGAGTTCAACTCCGCGATACAGCAGGCGAATCTGGCTGTTTGGAACCTGAACCAGCTCAGGGCATTCTGAGCGAATCAGGGCCTTCAGCACGTCCGCGGAATTCGTTGACAGGGCAGACACTGACAAGGAACCGCAGACTGAGAAGCACAAGCAGTGCAATCGAACATTCACAGTTTCAGCCTCATGGCCGACATAGCCACAATGTGTCGAGGGCTTCGGCTGGGTAGCAATGGTTCGCTCCAGTGCCATCTCCACGAAGTGGAACTCTCCCCTCTCAGTCTGTGTGGCCGAGTCGAGGCAGTTCGAGCCAGGCCAAGTTCCATGAGCTGGGCACAAATAGGCAACAAGCTTCCTAGTGAGTCTTGGTAGGCCGGGCTTTTGGCCTAGCGTTTCCTCACCCAACCTCTTGGTCACAGTCGAACTTTCGGGGCGTCCCTTCCAGAATTCACCCATGCCTTATTAAGCTTTAGCTTAGACCCTGGAGGCACGGTGCTCTGGGTGCCTCCGCCTGAATCTGTCGGCAGTCTTCTAGCAGCTGGTCTTGCCTGGCCGGCGCATTCGGCACATCATGATTCAGACAGCTGATACAAAGACCAAGCGAGCCGAAGGTGCATCTGCACTGCATTGGAAATGGCCACCTCCAGAGATGCCAGCTGCTGGCGGTTGTGATCTGAGCAGCTGTGTCTGAGGTAGTAGCACGTGCTCACACAGGATCATCTGCGTTGCCAGCACCAGGATGCAACGGACTCGCCAAGGCCGCGGCCAAGAGCCAACTGCAGCCACGCTAGAACTTGTTGTGCTGGTGCAGCCGGACAACACCTTCTGTCGTGACCAAAAAACCTTTATATTAGGTGCTGCCTATGCCGGGGGCTCAAGAGTCTCCCGCAACTGCCCCCCCCGCCTGTCTTTCTCTGACAAGCCGCAGCCGAGCTCCTCCCCATCCGACCACTCCTCAGGGCAGACCACTGCTAGTACTAACTAAGCTGAAAGAGTCGAAAACCACGCTGTTCCATCTTTTGCTAAGAGCGCCTTCGCAGCACCAGCTGCTTTCAGCAGCTGCCTGCCATGGCAACTTGGCGTCAGCTGGGCCTCATCTGAGCTGCAAAATCGGAGTCGTATGGGTCGTCTCTTCAAGCCATCGCCGCTGAAAGAGTTGTACTGCATTGTAAAGTTGAAAGGCCCTGAACACACAACGTGACTTTGTGAAATGAATGCTCTACTCTGCGCTTGTTTTCCAGATGCATACAAGGGGCGGCATCACACGCAATAATCGAGAGGACGAAGCCGACGCACTTCATCACTCTTCATAACCATTGCTGAAAGCACGTCATGCTCTGCAGTATCAGTGGCGCATTTCATGCTCATGCTTCTGTCATGAAGCTACTCAAGTCGCATCGCACAAGGGCCGCATCTATCCAAGGCCTACATGTTAATGCCAGTATGGATCTGCATGTGTGTGTCGTCTACACGAACCGGAACGCATCTTTCATATATTCTTTTGAGACTCCGTATCGGACAGTGGATTGCAGGCACGAGTTTAAGAGATGAGTAACATTGAAACCGATGCCACTTGTCGACTTTGCTTGCTTTCCAGCTTCAAGCGTAAGAAGCACGAGCCTTGAGCCCACCTCTGCAGAGACTCTACAGCAAGCCACACTTCGACTGGCAAAGGCCGTGCAAAAGGGTCGCAAACAGGACTCTCTGCAGCACAGCACTGTGCCTCTGGAGTCCGTCTGAGCTCAAAGCGCTTCTTGAGATCCTTCCAAATATTCTCTCTATACGATCTATACGAGAAACCGCGGTGTGACTGTGGTCACTGGCTGTCCCAGGCCAGGTGCCACAGACTGTGTGTTGCTTGGACCCAAAGAGTGCCCATGGGGCGGCTGTGCAGAAACTGCCCGTGGTTTTGGTTCGGCCCAATTTGCACGTCAACGCAGGGCAAAGCCCACATCCAAGAGCCCAGGACGAGGAACGAGTCGGCAAGGGCCGCCGATAAAACTCGAACAGTTTGAAACGTCACGGGCTTATCAAAACTTGAACTCGACTAATCCGCCGAGGAACAAAAAGCCCCCGCCCCCCTCGCCACCCTGTCCACTCTGCCCCCCCTCGCCCTTCAACCCTCACCTCTATCCTTTTGCTATTCCTCCCACATGTGGGGTGCCTGGTCCATACACGGGATGATTGCAAGAAACTTCTCTCGAAGCGAGGCCGGTCGCGTAGCGATAAAATTACATACACATGTGGTCAGTTCTCTAACTTATGGCCCTTCTAGGTACCCTAATGAGAGGGGCCGCATTGTAATAATAACCCCAAAAAGGACCACATTCTCGAGATTTGACCATGTGGGATTTGATCGATGGGCGTTCATTGGTTCGGGCTGTGTGAGTTCGACTCTTGCGGAGATTCCCCTGAGCCCAAGACGCTCGAGTTCTGGAGTTCTGCCTATGAGAACAGCTATGGCCACTAGCAAGTGCAGACAACATCTGCTGGTCCAGATCCAGAACGGTCTGCTCGACATCGCGAGCCTCTCCGAGTGCCATGACTACGGCAGCTTAAGCAGAGCAAATGAAGCCTGGGCTGAGGCCATGACCTGCTGCGTCAGGCCAGGCATCTTCGCAAGCATCTGCACAAAGCTGTCTTGGCGAATGGAACCAATGCATGCCCAAGAGAGCTCCCTGCAGCATTCCACGAGTAGAACAGCGACGAGAACAACGACGAGGACTACGACGAAACCCCGACGAAAACTGCGACAGAGCGACACCGACAAGAAGAAGAATAAACAACAAGAACACTCACAAAAAGAACAGCAACAACCACGCAACAGGCACGCAAAAAATATGCAACAACCACACAACCACCTACCACAAGAGCAACTACAACAAGAACAATACCAAGAAAGAACGATAACAAGAACCAGAAGCAGCAAGACAGGAAGGAGTTCTCTTCGGCCTTGTAATAGATGGCCTCATTGGGCTGGATGCGTATCACAAGCTCATTTTGAGGTTGCTCCTGGGAAGCACTGCTCTGCTGGAGCTGAAGTCGAAAAGAGATCTGCCGAGACTAACCTGATTAGAGCCTGTTCTCAACGATACCCTACCACCCGCCACAAAGGCCGTGCATCTTTGGCGGCCGCAGCAGAGAACTGAGAAGCTGGCACCAAACAGGCTACTTGGCGGAGCCTTCTTGAACCTGTGGTCAACAACCGCAACACCTCCTCAAGCCAGCCCAAAGCAACCAGGTCACAATACTGGTTGCCACCTGCTCTCTAGGGCCACTAAGCCTCACGCTGTATCCGCACAATTGTCTGATGGACCTCCAAACCTTCCCCAATCTCCCCGCATCTGCTCACATCTCCCCATCCATCGGACGTGCAACATGCACAAGATACCACAAGGTACAGAGCCTTTGCCGGCTTTCATGATAAAGGGAACTCCAGACCTTGGCTCTTCATGGAACACACGGCGTGATGCCGTCAAACCGCTGGGGCATGTGGCCAGCGTTCGTTGTCAAGGTAGAGCACTGCTACCGCAAATGTCGGACACCGAGATGCATAACCTCCGTGCAAGTGCAATGAAGGGCGAAACGGGCTTGCCAGGGCTCGGTATCCACGCATGAGCCTTGCTTGAGATTGATTTTCTGAATGTCAGGATCTGCTTGGTAGCCGTCCTCAGACTGACTCCGACCATCGATTCTAAACTGGATTTACAGGGCAGAGGAGTGCTTGAAGTGATGCTTGCCATGGCTCGTACTGGCCAATGACGCAATCACCTGAGGCGGCGGCTGCTTGACCACTACTTCAATAGAAACTAGAAAGATCTTCAACGCAGCGCAGTTCGTTGTTTCCGAAAGAAGTTCATCAGACTGGCAACGCTGAGAAGGCTGCGTGGCGCAATTGGCCTGATTTGCTTTAGCACTTTGACCTTCATCGGGGGCAGCTGCCACTTCTCAGCGGCTCCGCTGTGTGCCGCATGGACGTGTTATGAATTCACGAGCACAGCAGTCCTAAAGTCCCTAGTCTAGTCTCCCCAGCACACTCGGAGCCTTCTCATCGCGGACATCTTCAGCTTCAAGTGTTGCTGGGGCCTTCGGTGTGCGGCTCCACACTCGGTGCTGCTTTGAGCAATCGAGTCCTACGTGGTTGTAGGGCATCACTCAGCCTGCTGGGAAGACTGGAAACATCGGACAAGACAAAATCAGATTGGATGCCTCCATGGCAACCAAAGTCAACACCTGCATGAGGTGATTCCTCAGAGCTGCGGTTCAAAGAAAGCTCCGCGCTGCAGGGTTGAGACTTGCCATCCGACAGATCTGGCAAGCATCACTCTGCAGTCACTGCCGCCCTGAGAGCACTGCTGCATGATGTCGCGGATGATGCCGTAACCGTCGAAATACCCTGCACCTATGCCAAGCTTTGTTGCTTCAACTGCACGCGGGCGTGGGAAAAACGATGAAAGGACAGAGCTCACTATGATCCGAACGTCCTTGGACACCGATGGCCTCCTTGAATGTGATTCGCACCTCAGTGACTCTTGGCTGTGAAAGAAAATGGAGTCAGGGCCGAAGCATGGGACCCCCAGCGTTTGCAACGTGATGGCAGTGGAACAGATGTCCCAACTCCTGAAATGATTCCTACCTGCGTGCTGTGCTTCCAACCGGTGTCAAGCTCTGCCAGCAAAACAAGTAAGCTCCACCCGATTCGCGAAACGTAAGGTCAACAAGTTCAGGACCTCAATGAGCAGAATATTCGATACTGTTCAAGGGACAACTGTTCTGACTAAGATGTCTCAGAACCTAGCCAATGTTTTCGCCAAGTAGTGATCCATCCGGAAGATCTCCTTCTCATCCAAGTACTTCTTCAAGCCTCTGACACCATGTGCCGGCTCGCTACGGAACGAGCTTGCAGAACCGTCTCGCATGGTCATGCATGCCGTGTACCAACACTTGCCAGGCTTTTCCTTCAGGCCTTTCTGAGTCACTTGAGTCAACGTCAATGCATGCTTCCAGGCCGGACTGTGCGCCAGCATTTAGGGCTCCAAAGCAACTTGGTGCCCTGGCTGTCTTGGCTCTTTTCTGCCTCCCTGAGCCCTCAAAAGAAAAGGAATCTAGCACGTCATGGAGCTGCAGCTGCTTGCCCGTCTCTGCTTCTTTCCCTCCTTCAGCAGCCCTCTTCGAACTCTTCTGACCACGTGGGACGGGCACACTGCGAAAAGTCACAGTGACCCTCTGATATTTTCCCGGCGCCGCGGGGCTGTGCCATGGCACGCCGTGTCGTAGATGAAAGCGCGCAAAGCCGTAGAACATGTAGAGCGCCCTTCCCACAAGCGCGGTCAGAGTAACTCAAGGGGTCAAGGGGTCACACGGTCACAATGTGTCGCAGCTGTATGGGAGCTTCAAGTGCGTACGATGTGTTCCTGGGCTTCGGGGACTCTTTGGGGGGTGTCGCCTTGCGAGCACAGGGGACTTGAGGAGGAAGGGCCCCCAAGCATTCGGAACATCACTGAACACGGGGGGAAACAGAGACAGCTGGCAAAAGAGCACTACGCCTTAACAAACAGCAACAGAAACAGGTCTTAATAACGATTCTGGCACGATTCTGCGGGCCCCGCCTTCTCGGCAGCTTCACGAGAATTCCTTCACCTCGGTCCTCCAAGTCTTGCGCCAGACTTATTGGGAAAGGCTGGCCCTTCGCTGGCCCAGAGCGAGAAAAGAAGATGTGCCCATCCTCCTCTCCCAAATTTAGCCCAACCACAACCTCGCCGTTCGCGCTTCGTGAGTCGAAGTGCATACCCAGAGCTTGCTCTGTGCTGTCTGCCTCCTTCCCTTCTGACAGCCTTTCGTAGCGCTGCAGGAAAGCTTGGCTCAGAGGGCCCTGGCTACCGTTCCGAGTCGAGGGGCTCATGGCCCATTCTGCAAGCGCCTGCCGAGCTTTCATCAGATTTTGCAGCGTGTCGGCCCCAATGTCTGGCTCGCCAGATATCTGATCTCTGAAAGCCCTCTCGCTGAGAGCCGGGGACTCAAGCAACTTCTCTGCGCGTGACTTAACAGACTCCAGAAATCTGGGCAATGCTGTGAAAGCTTTGCTGCGGTCAACCTTATACCCTGAATCTGCCAGGAAGGTCGGACCAAAGCTTGCGTGAAAGCCGCCTCCCACCCTCGGCTCCCAGAGAACCTCGGGATTCTGTGCTGTCAGGTCAGCCAAGATGTTGGCCTCCTCCTCTTCTCGGACAAACTCTGGAACTACCACAACACCAAGATGAGATCTGACCGCCGGATCCTTCAACGCATCGTTCCCAGAGCGGCGGACTCGTGTCGGCAAGAGACCCGGCCGGCCTTTCTTGCCAGAGTTCCTGACTTGCCCAAACGTCGCGTCTAACACATCCTTGTCACCCCACTCCTGGCCAAGTTCAGATGCAACCGCTGCCCAGTCAAACAGCGATTCCACCCGACTTCGATCTGGCAGCGGATGGCTCCCAGCCCCCGAAGTGCGACGCGGATACTTTGCCAGGGCCGCAAACAGCGCTGATTCAGAAGAACCATGGCCCTCTGCCGAGCTGCTCATCCTGTCACAGTTTGGAAGAATGTGTCGAACATGGTTCTACACCAACCGAAATCGTCAACAATGCTGTGACCATGGTGCCAACGGCCGTTGTGGAAAAGGGCTTTGCCAAGCTGCTGAAACTTGCTAGCGGTATGTCTACTGTCTACTTCCGGAACGGGACCCACTAAGCGGCAAATGCTATGCATCGGCGCTGCCAAGCATGAGGCACATGGACAAGAACCCAACATCGACTCAGCGTCGACGGTCTGAGGAAGCAGCTGTTCGACAACGCCGCAGCTTCGGCGCCTTGCGGACAACTACATGGGACTGGGGTGGACTGCGGATGACGACGAGTGGCCGTTCTTGCCAAAGGGCTTCTCGACCACCACACGATTCCATCCGGTCTTAGACCAGCATCCTCGAAAGAGTTTAGGGTCGGCTGCAGTCATTAGCCTCGACTGTCTTAGTCTCGAACGCTCTCTCAAGTGCTCCACGGCTTGCGCAAAAAGAAAGGGTGGCAGAGCCTCGGAACACTTCCAACATGCCAGAGAAGCCTCTCAACGAGTGGCAGCTCAAGGCCAGGATGACATCCTGGCCTTGAAGGCTTGCCTAAACAGTGCTTGTTGCTGTGCCCGCTCAAGTCGACGAGACAGTTGCGTGGAGTTTTTGATGGGTATAGCAACTCAACAATCAGTTGCAAAACGCATGAGTGAATCAAGACAACTGAAACAGGCGTTGTGTCGTCGTCGTCGTCGTCGTCGTCGTCGTCGTCGTCGTCGTCGTCGTCGTCGTCGTCGTCGTCGTCGTCTTCGTCGTCTTCGTGGTCTTCGTGTGGTCTTCGTCGACTTCGTCGTCTTTGTCGTCGTCGTCGTCTTCGTGGTCTTCGTCGTCGTCTTCGTGGTCTTCGTCGACTTCGTCGTCTTCGTCGCCGCCGTCGTCGTCTTAATCGTCGTCTTCGTCGTCTTCTTCGATTTCGTCGTCTTCGTGGTTGTCGTCGTCGTCGTCGTCGTCGCCGTCGTCGTCGTCGTCGTCGTCATTCGCCCTTCTCTTCTGCCGCACGGCGTTCTTCCGCCATACACATGCTGCCCTTGGGCCAGACAGATACTTCCAGGAGCACCGTGCAAAGCCTTTTGCTGTTTGGATCTGCCGCACACGTAAACAGGCGTAAACAACAGGAATTGCGGTGCCATCTTGCTTACCATCGCATGCTTCGCGGAGCAGATAACATTGCATTCGAATGTTTACCCAGGCAAGGGCCCTTCTGCTTGCTCGCAGGTGTCGCTCACCCTTGTTGCACCTCCACCCAAGCCCCCGGGCGGCCCCCGTCGGCCCCCGCAAGCCATGGCAGCTGGCAGCTTACCCTATAACTTTTTGCATCGACCTGTTGCGTCTCGTCATATGTCCTCATGGACGTTGCTGTGGCGTTGCTAGCTCCAGGTGGCAGGAATCATAAGCAAACAAGTGTTAAGTCGCAAGCCAAGTAGAAGACGCGATGCTCCTTTGCACGACCCTCAGCCAGCTCTTGCAGTCTCCTGGCAGTGCAATGCAGTGCATCTCGTCCAGTTGTCCCAATACCATAAACACTGCAACTCGATCGCGCTACGGAGAGCGCAACTGCCAAAAACAACGCTGAGCGGCACCTGTCCAAGGCGCTCATTGTCTCCGGCCTGGACAGCTTTCCCGCTTTACGGCGGTCCCGACATATCGCAAATATGTCCCAAGCCAGATCTTTTTCTAGAAGCTCCGGCTCTGAGCACTCTGCTGGTCCAACTGCACGTGGACGAAATGCAAACGTTGTTTGAAGCTCTCCACGTCCTGCAGCAGCGACAAGCCTTAAGACTGCCCTCAAGGAGTGTTAAAGGTCACTTCTCGTCATCTCGGGCCATGGAGCACTGCACAGCAATAACAGCAACTGTAGACTTTGCTACGGAGCATAGCCGTGCCTCGTTGACCCAGCCTTTCTGCTTCTCGAGGTATTCACGCAATCGCTTTTCCCAGAAGTCTGACACGCTCGTCACATCCTCCAACATGGACAGTAGGGCGAACATCATGTAGAACTTCGGCGGAGCAGCATAACGGCAGAATGACTATAGCTTCGAGCTAGACATGTGCAACACGCGAGGTCCGTATGGAACTTCGGATCGTCGACGCCGATGATCTTCATGCTGCCTGGCAGCAGCCGCCTGCATCACCGCGAATCCTGCGGCCCCTTGCATTCCTTTAGAAAGGCTGGGTGCGGGGATCTACCCAAACCAACTTCTCGCAGATATTAGGGGGATCCCTCTCTCCTCTTGGAGTGGGCGGCTCCTCATCGCTCATAAGTCTTAGGTCTGAAGGGTTGCCATCAGGGCTTACCCCTCCCGAATTCCCCTTGTTGCGAGGAGTTCCTGCACACGTCTCTCAGCCTCTCCCTCTGAAAATGCTCGAACTCGCGCCGCGCAGCATCCCCACCAAGTGCGAATTACTGTATCAACTCGACCCCTCACAGGCTGGGTGTGGCGCCCAAGGTGCAGCTGAAACAGCGATGGAAAAGTCCTCAGATGTCCATACATTTTAATTCATGTAGACTTCTCGCAATGACACATTTGCGGATCCAAGGGTCTTTTTTTTTGCGAGATCGCCGGCTGCTCCCATCACCACCTCCACTACCACGCTTTGCATTGTTTCACGATCATGTGCCGTGGTGAGGCGGCCGAGCACGGTTTGCGCATGTTCCTCAAGAAACAAAAAGATCCCAATTTTGACAAGGTGCAAAGGAGTAGTGGGTTTCCTTGTCCAGGGACAGCCTCAAGAACTGTGTGGACGAACCGGCGCAACATTGGAGAAGTTGACTTGCACGCAATCACCTATCATCTGGGCGCTTCGCTGCATTGCAGAAATGTTGCTGTACCTGGATGGGCAAAAGACGATACCATCAGTGTTGACGTGCTGTGCCTAGCCAGCGATCCCAGAACAGTCTGGCTTTTTTGTATTGCCAGAGTGGTTGATTGGCCAGCTTCGGTTGTTCATGTTCCACTGAACCCGACATGACAGTCAATACCTACTAGTAAGCCCCTCACCGACGGCAAGAAGCCAACCAAAAAAGTACAATGCCCACAACAAGTAGATTGCAAGCCAAACCCACAAGCTGCCAAAGAGCTTTCCATGATATGCAGAAAACTCAAGCTGAGCTGAGCACCTCAAGACGTAGTGTAAAGGAGAATCAGGTGGTTTCGGAGCGGGCTTGGGCTTGCGGCCTGAGCACAGCAGAACAAGAACAAGAACGACAACAGCCGCAACCGGCAGCTGCGGCAGCGGCAGCGGCAACGGCAGCGGCAACGGCAGCGGCAGCGGCAGCAGCAGAAAAGAACAGCAACAACAATGCAACTGCCACAGTACCAGTAGACAACAACATCATGTTGCGAAGCAGCCAAGAGCGTGGCCCTTGGCATGCACCATGAGAAACCCATCTGTCGAGACGACAACACCCGTTGGCTCAACCACCTCAGAAGATAGTCATGTCCAGCATACACAAAAAGATACTAAGGTGTACCGCATGTACCCAAGGCATGCTAAGATGTACTCTTGATGGCCAACGATGGACAAACCCTGAGACGTCTTGCTCTACTTCCGTCTCCTTGCAAGGCCCAGCCTTCGCTCGCTTTGCGAATCGTTTCTCACCGAAACGCTCCTCGCAGAATTTACCACGCCGAACGTCCCAAACTTGATATGGGCCGGACTGGACATCGGCTGCAGTACAGGAAGAAGCTCCTCGTCGAAAGAGCGCTTTACATTTGTCCAGGCCTGCAGAAGCAGAAGGTTGCAGCCCCCACCCCCCCCCCACCCTCACAACTCAAGCGGCTAATCAACAAGACAAGCCTCTTCAGAACCCTCTTGTAGTGTCACGAGGATGTTGCTCGCCTGCTTTGCTCACACAAAGCACGGGGGTTAGTTCACCAAGAAACCTCACTAGGAAAGGACGGCATGGAGCGGCGCAAAACTCTGTGAGGTAGTTACATGGTCCCTCAGTATGGGCCCTAAAAGGGGCGCTTATAGACCTCATGAAACCCAAGAGCCCATACTTCAGAACCCCTTAGAGACGACGACGACTACGACTGATTGAACAGCCCCAACAGCGCCGTCTGCCTCCCGGATAACACGAAGATTTACGCAGATCCTCGTCCTCACCTGCAGCAAATATGGCGCACTGTTCTCTGCCAATGCGCTAAAGACGGACAACAACCGAGACGTCGGACCTCAACAAATGCTGCAAGAGCCAGCAAGCCATCAAAAGGCAGTTGAAAGAACAGCAGCGGAACTGCAGCTCGAACCCAACCAGGAGCCTCAAACTCAGAGGTTTCTGTGACCAGGACGCCGCGCGTCCTGAGCTGTGAGCATCTGTGGCAATCTGAGAGCAAGTGCAAAACAAATCACAACGGCATGCAATGGACCCTACGAACCTTGATGCTGCCATGCGTCTTCTGAGTAGCAGTGCTCCAACGCTCCGGGACGGCCTTGTACCACTCCGGGAATACGCTGGCGATGTGTCCGTCCGAGCCTACAGTTTCGAGGGGGTTCCCGCTTTCACGGATGTACGCAGGCTTTCAAGGTCCACATGTCCCCAGCCTAAGCCGATGGTAACCAGGTGAGGGCCATGCTCCTGCTTTCAAAGATCAAAGAGGAAATGCGCCTCTTTGGAACGCGACCTTTCCTCCTGCACCTGCCTCAAACTTCAACAAAAGCTTGCCCCTCGCTTCTCCAAGGATGACCAATGGTCTTCAATTGCTCAGAAGCTGAGACAGAAGAAGAAAAAAAGGAACAGAAGTCCGAGCTAGGAAGGCGGAAACTCCCAAAAGGCCCAGGAGCTCGGAAGCCGAGAAGCCATGAGAAGCCATGAAAAGGCGAAAAGCCATCAGCGAAGGCCGGAGGCCGAGAAGCCCACGAGCCAAGAAGATGAGAAGCCGAGAGGCCAAGCAGTCAGGAAAGCTAGAGGATGAGCACGACTTGAAAAAAGATGTGGAACAAACAACACGCGTTCCTTAAACAAGCAGACCTCCTATGTCTAGCTCATGAGTTCATGCCTGGCATGTTAGCCTTCCATAGCATGATTCCTTCTCCAGCATGTCGCAAAGCCGGCTCTGGTAATCCTGCACGGGGCGGTGCCATCTGAGATCGCAGTCATGTGGCATGTGGCCAAGCCTCGGCACATGCCAGCGCCGAGTCTAGGCCGGTGCTCGGCAAGATCTTGGATGCAGGGAACACGACAGCAAGTGTCCCAGGTCAACGGAGTCTTCCATCTGAGTCATTCTGAGTCCCTCAGGTGTGCTCCAGATTGGACTCTGGAAATCCCGCACTCCGCCGATTCAAGTTCTTGATCTCAGCTTTCAATGAAGTCATGTGCTCGAAGACTGCACTCGTCGGGCTTGCTCCTTGTGCTTCTGCCAGAACAGGTTTTTTGGCTTCCGAGGTCGATGCGAGCGTGTCACGGATAAGGAAGGAGTTGCTCTCCTAGCAATTGAGGACTTCCTGCCCCGTCATTCCTAGAGCCTCGCTTCGAGCCTCTTCGCAATGCCACCCGTAGCGCTCATCGACCAAGAAGACCTTCAGCGGCATCCGCAAGATGCACCGCCGAGCTTATCCGGCTCAATGGACATACGCATAATACCCGCCTGCTTTGTTCAGAAGCTAACAGACTTGAATTCTCTGCAGCAGTGCAACTCTTCGTCTCATGTGCTAGCTGCTTGCAAGGGGCGCACACGCGCGACCAGTCGATGCTGGTCCGGCCAGCCAACGTGGACCAAACGTCTGCCTGCCTGGAGCTGACAAGTCTTACAAGTCACAAAATTCACTGTGCTAGTGACAGGAACACGTGTGCCAAACGCAAGAAGCTGAAGCCACGCCGGTGCAGTAGTATGCATACAGATGTCTGCTAAAGTTCATTGAGTGAAATTCATGGAGTGTGGCACTGCCGACTACTGAACCCAGTCATCCCCACAGCAACCCCGCACCCGCTGTCGACCCGATCTTCCACAAACGCTGGATGACACGAAGTGTCGGCGATTTTCGTGAAGAGGATGCTAGGGGTTCTCACGCCCATCCGCCGGAGCGGAGCATGCACAGAAAAATCATGCATAAAGGCCAAATCATATGGTTCGGGACTTGTAGGACCATCCGGTACCAAACGCACCAGAGTTGATGACCTAATACGAAGGTCTATCGAAACTCCCGCGTAAAATTGCCAAAGGGGTTCTCGCGAAATTCGGAGAATCGTGGGCATGATATGCATGACAAAGCGCGCAATGGACTTGGAACGTATGTATATATACACTAGATTCTAAAGGTGTCCTGCAGTGCTGTCGCGAACTCGAAGAATCTATGACACCTGTGGTCGTCTGAGTGCGGTGGCACAGAGAGGGACAGCTGTGGCAGCTGAATGATTACGGTGCCATCGCTTTCAGGTTGCCCCCTTATCGGGGTTTCAACATTCGGGCTGGAATGCTTGTGACCATTTGTGACCCACAAAGGGCATTCATCAGAGATTCTGCCATGTCCCATCGTTTCTTGCGTCCCACTTTCGATAACATGGGAAGCCGTACATCTTTGAGCGCTATCGCCAGAGATAAGCTAGCAGGCAGCAGTGACAATTACTGATACATAGTTGTGAGATGGCCTCGCTCGTCGGACACGGCCATTGGATGCAGAGAGGCCCAACACAAAATTTGTCTGAGTCAGGGCAGGCCAATGCAGGCTGTTTGCAAACTTGCCGAAGGCTCTTTCGCAGCCAAGGTCTGGACACTGCGACCCTGGCTCTGATGCTTGGCGATGCACTCCTGCTGCAGGGTCACCCGTGCCGTGCATACTTGAGTCCCGTTTGGGAGCCTCGATGTAGTCCACAGACTTTGCTACGAAGTCCCTCTCTGAGGAAGCCAGGATCCGCTCGATGCCCATGGCATGTACAGTCTCCGGGGCTTGGTTTTTTTAGCGGACGACTCAGTGCTGTGGTAGTGCCTAGATGTGTCACGGCCCTGCCCTGGTGGAGGGCAGAGCTGCGACTCACCATGCCTGTGGTTCGTGTCGCAGGATCCAGGAAACAAAACATGCGACCTCAGATACCTCAGGCATGGCCAAGACAACGTTGTAACGTTTGCAGGGAAGTCCTTTTTTCGTGACTTTGCTTTCACAGCGAAGGAAGTGCTACCACACATCCTGGCGGGGTTGGAACACACCGGATTTTGAATCACGGTAACCCCGAAAAACTGAAGTGAACCTGAACCCCAAGCACGTGCTGGGTGGGAGCTTCACAGAAACTTACCACATCGGAATGCTTCTGCAACTTGCCCTAAAAGCTGTTACCTGAGTTGTCCCATCAGCGGTGATACTCAGAAAAGGACTACCAGGACTTCCACTGAAGCAATGATGTGGTGGCTGACGGAAAGAGCTTAAGAATGTCCAGCTTTGCTGGATACGGGATTCTGTCGATAGAGTGCGGCACACCACCTATATAATACTCTCCTTGACTGTTTGCAGATGCTTGGGTGCCACAACCCATCGAGGCGAAAAGCAAAGAAGGTACCACATGAGCAGGCATTGCGTTGTGAGCCGCTAGTACCAGGTAGCAGCAATTAGCAACATTAACCTTCGGGATGATCCAGCAACCTGGCTCTGCGTCGCAATGCCCTCGCGAAAAGAAGGCGCAAGCTGTCATTGTCGACCAAGCCTTAGCTGCCAGTGAGCAGAAAACACGGCTGTCTTACTTGCGGGGCGCGAGCACATGTGACTCTGCTTGAGATCTGCATCTTTGATCTTGCCGTACAGGCACATGACACACAAAATGACTGAGGTCAGGGCTGCCTGGAGTCACTACTGTTCCGCGTGTTTTGCGCAGGTGCATCCGTCAGCATCTTCCACCATTTCAGGAACATCTGAACGCGTGGCCGTGTGTCCACAAGTCTGACGAGTGCACCCGTTCTGCAAGTAAAGGCTGTCTTCTGAGCAGCTCTTCGCTCAGTGACACGCGTGCTGCTTTTAATCGGAAAGCTGCAAGCGGAGCTACCCAAGATCAGTGCCGAACTTCAAGGCGAATGTGTGAACCGCCTAAACAACACACAACTATTCATCTGGGCACACCCGCCTGCAGCAAATCTTCAGCTTCGCCGGCCAATGTTCGACGGCTAACAATAAGAGAGTACAGCTTGACGCAGTGCCCGGTAACAGATATACTGAGAGGGCTCAAATGCGATCAATATCCCCCCCCCTTCCCATGCCACTACTGCCGACTTTGGCGCCGAGCGTGGATACTGCCGACTTTGGCGCCGAGCGTGGAAGTTGTCCCTACTGAGCAGGGAGAAATTCCGCGGCCACAGCTCTCAGCGCGGCAAACACTCCGTCTCAGGCAGCGTCAAATCTACAATTGCAACAACAACTTCTACTTTGAAGGGCATTGACGATGCCTGAGTGGAGAATTCAAAACTCCCTAGACGGCTCCCCTTGCTGTCATCAAGGTGTTGGCAGCACCTCAAACACCGCCTGAAACAGCAGCACTGAGTTTTAAACGCTGCAATACAACGCTGAGCTCATTCGATTCCATCCGGCATCACTACGAGGATGTCCTGGCTGCTCAACGGCGCAAGAACCAAGAGAAGACGTGCTGGTTAAATCTTGTAACCTCGCGCCGGTGGCCTTCCACAGCCCTGGCAGAATTTGTGAACTGGGGATCGCCTAGCATGGGAAGTTTGGCAGCGCGACATACACTGCCAAGGGCGCAAGTGGCAGTAAGACGATTGAAACTGGACTGGGTAGAAATGTCTCAACGTAAACCCCGCCTTGCTCCGCAGCAGGTGCAGAAATTGAGCCCAGCCTGCATTACTTGAACATCTTGAATGGTAACAATGGTAACTGATGACTTCAGCCATTGTCAAGCTACATGCGGATTCAAGATTCTTTCCTCTGTTTCTGCTAGACCTTTTGCACTGGGCCCCTGGGGCTCCACAACAGGACTCTAACTTGCAAGAGAACTCCAGCCACCTCCGACGCTGCTGGATAGGAACCTGCAGGTCAAAGGCACATCGGGAAAGCCCCAATGGCATAGGCCACAAGACAACATCAGTCACAACATGTCAGACATGTGACACCATCAGTTTCACAAGTGCTTCAAGTCGAGTCGAAGAATCTTGCCAGGCTTGCCATTTCTGGCACGTGCTTCCTACTCTGATGGCCAGCTACAAACCACAGGCCCTGCCACAGACACAGAATCAGCAGCCGGAGCCGATGATGCAGCCGTTAAACCCGCAAGCCCAAACCATGAGCTCAGAGGCCTGGAAGAGTGAACTGTGCAGACATCTCCTGGAACTTCATGCAGGGGTGTACTACGCAATGCCATCCTCCTTATGTAGACGCTCTCGCCGCTCACGATCTTGTGCATAGAAAGTTTGCATGTATATGCAGGTACGCGTACACACACGTACATGCATTTTCACCTCTGTGTGTGTGTGTATACAGCGTCCGTTGCAACGCAGCGCAGCGAGTCAAAGCCACTCTGCCTGGCCAGACATGGGCGAGGGCCTGGCCGAGCCAAGTCCCCCCCGAAAAAAAAGAAACATGCCACGGAAAGCTGGTACATTGTACGAAGAGGCTGATGGGGACCCTTGACTTAGGAGGTTGTTCATGTCAAGGTTTGTCTCCTTAGCCTTAATCACCACGTGCAGTCATGGTAGCGCAAGCTCCTGTGCATGGCGAAACGACGTCATGTGGCATGTGTAATTGGCTTTCTTGCTAGCCCTTTGCTCTTAGCCTTACACTCCTCTTAGCATTTACGTGAGAGTCGAATAACAATAACTAAGCAGCGTCAACAATCACTGTCTTACCTGCACTGAGTTGTCATACAACAGCACAGGAAAAGTTTCTCCTGCTGCGTTCGGTCACATTTGGTTTCGAAGCAGATGTCAATCAAGCCTCGAAACCCTCAAGGAATGGGGACAGACTCTTTGCGAAAGCAACATTCATGTGGGAATGCTGGATTTCATGCGCCGCATGAAATACCATGAGGTATCATCAGGGAGGACAGGACTCCAACCACAAGGACCCTTTTTTTCTCAAAAACTAACGACGATTTCCAACATCACCATTACGATGCGACGCCGACGGCACGAATTCTATTCACGGAATCGACTTCCAGCCGGGACACTCGTCCCTGCGTACGGCTTCCGCCGACATGGCCACATAAACTCGCAAGCACGATCAAACACAGCTAGCACAACGCGCATCCCCCTCCACAACTACGAAGTTGCATGAGCCTCCTTACATTTTTTGGTACAGCTATGTATGTACACGTGGCCATGCATACCTAGTATGGCTCACAGAGTGCGTAAAGGCATTCAATTCGGCAGCAACAATACCATCAAACAGCTGCAAGCTGCTATCTAAGGGGAGGTATGACGTACAGCTAAAGTATATACGGGATGCACCATGCATGCCCGGAAGAGAGCTGCCTGAGCCCCACAACTTAGGGCCAAGGCTCACATTCCATTTCTCCAAACTTTTTTACACTTCTTCATTTGTGTGAGAGGAGTTGAGGTGGCCATATCTCAGAAAGTCACAGAATTGTGAGTTTGGTATACATGGCACCAATGGTGTAGAAACTATGGAATGTTGATTCTGGGGGTGCCGGCTGATCGTATCTTAAATCATATGAAAACCTGCGAAACCACTGTAAATGGGGGGGGCCTCGAGGGCTTCCCAATCTCCCGAAAGATGCATCCATTGTAACCGGCCGAACACCGCGACCACCGCGAACAAAGCGTACAGCGCGAACACCGCGGACACCGCAATCAGAGCAAGGCGGTGTTCATAAGTCAGGCTCTGGGGTTATGAGGTGGGTTTACCATGTGAGCCCAACCTGGGTTCAGATAAACCTACATGTTTTCAAGTTTTACTCAGATACTCTCAATTCTTCAAAAGCTCCCACATGCCTTCGACACAGCACACAACTGGGCTGGGCAGACGTGTGTGGCTGGGGCATCTTCTGCACCTTCTGCACCTTGCCAAACACAACTGAACATGATGAGAGTCGTAGTAGCCTCCGGCACATGAGCGCACAAGCCTTTCGCAGGAAAAGCGGGCGAGTATCCGGGTCCTGAGGAGCACGAGTCACGAACGAGTCTTTGAATGTGCACACATGACTTGAATCAAAATCCCTCATACTCTGTGAGCCCTGTGCCCCGAAGTTCACTCTGGTTCGCGAGAAATGCCTTGGCCCACAAGGAACCGATGGGAGTCCATCGTCAAATCCAAGCTGGCTAGATGGACGAGAAGCAAGAAGAAAGCTCGGAATGGCAAACCTCTTCTTGACAGCCGGTGAAGAGCCGTGCAAAGATGCAACTCTTGGCGCAAGGCTCATGATTTGCCTCGAAGCCTTGGATTGCTGCGGGGGTAACCTGGCATGGACAAGGCCCTTCTCCAGCTCAGCAGAGGCTTCAGCAGCTTCGTCCAACTGTTCGGGGCGCATTCACAATCTTGTTGGACTTGAACAATGCCATCTGCTTCCCGTTGAAAGCACGCCTGCAGCTGACCAACGCTGACCAGCAGCAGTCTCGAAAATTGAGATAGTCGAGGTATGTCTAGGTAGAGCGCCTACGCAAACCATGCTTGCAAGAAAGCCCCATGCACGCAATCTTTGGCTGCGGGCTTGAAGGTATACGCGTAATCAGGACCTCAATATCAGACAGCTTGTCATTCTTTACGCGAGAAGCAGACCAGAGCTCTGGACGGAGGAAGTTTATGAAAGCGTAGCCTTTGTTGGCGCCAGACTCCCTGTCCTTGGACCACACACGGCTGACACCATGCGGCAATGCGGGCATGACCACCGAGAGACACTATAAGTAGCCAAGCTCGGGGCGATGGGCAAGTACAAGAAGTCCTGAGTGAAGAATGCGCTCCGTTTGGAACAGACTTGCTATATCTTGCTATGGACTGTCTGAAGCCAAGGATCCCAGGTACCTTGAAACCCGACAGAATTCACCTCCTCAATCAGCATCTTTTGCGTGTACCTGCAATTCGGAGAGCGAGACATACCCAAGATGTGAAAGCTGATAAACAGGTATACCTGGTATACACAGATCTAGAGAACAGGAGGACTGAGCTTCGGTCTTGTTTGGGATGTTGCGCATCATCACAGTCAGAATTTCCTCCTCTTCGCTTCAACGACAACAAGAGCAGTAAGTGGTATCACCAGTTGCCCAGTGCTCGCTCTCGCTCGTCCTGTGGCTGCTCCTTTGCCGCTGGAGTCTGCCTGAACAGTATGGGACGAGAGCTTTGGCTGCACTTCTGCTGCTACAATTGCACGACATCGGAAGCTACGTTGCAGGTGACTGTGTCGGCCTCATCATGCGGCTGATCTCGTCCAACTGGTTTTGGAGGAGGTGGATTTGCATCTCCATGCCCTGACCGTGGAGCCCAATGTCTAAGGTGCCGTTTCGACACACCTGAAGTCATCAGGCCTGGTTCACATCTGATTGTGGAAAAGGAGCTTGCACCGTGGACAGCAGCGCAAGCTGCTGATGGAGCGTTTGCCTGAGATGTGCCGGCTGCCTTTTCGGAACTAGCATTCTTCACACCCGATGGTTCAGTTCTGGCACCCTTCAGTGCTATAATCGGGAGGGGGGGGGGGGGGGGGACCATGGCACGGCATCGAAAATGGATGCTACTTGTGGCTTCCATGTCCAGTTAGTACAAGTGAGAGGGGCTTGGCCTGGCTTGGCTTGGGTTCGCTTATCTTCGCTTGACACGGCATGACTCTATCAGTGCTGTGGAGCTCGAACCTTGATGTGCCCGCGGGGGCGCGCGCGCGCGCGCGCGCGCGCGCCTTCCCTGCCTTTCCAAATGCGCATGGGGCCAAGCCGATCAAATTCGAACACAAGCGTGCCAGGCGTTCATGCACTTTGCTGATGCGCGGTCAACAGTGTTGCTAACGCCCATCGATGCTGCAGGATTTGCTGTTGTGGTTGGTTGCTGCTGCATTTAATTTGCGAGGCTTGCGGTTGCTCATCTTTGCATATGTTCACCTTTGCTTGACCGTGTTTTTTGCTTTACTTCAGCTTGCGCATGAAACAATAGAACCCTCGCTAACCCGCGTGTCTTTATGACGCAGGCTGCTCATGATGTGTGCAACCTGTTGACGAACTTGGGAACTGAGCCCAAGCGCTCACTGAGTTGCAGGCATTTCTGATTCACGCTGCGCCATGAGGCACGCCAACTCCGTCACCTCCTTCTTCAGCCCTCGGCTGCGTCAAATACGATGTGGCCCAGCCCAACATCCCAAACGCTGCGCCGCTGCACTCTCCCAAGCAGTGACTACCGCTCCACCAAACTTCAGTTGGGCTGCATTGCTGCGCCAAGTCGGTACTGAAGTAGCCTTGCCAAGTGATAGACGACTACAATGCGAGTTGTGGCGATTAAGGTTCAACGTTGTTTGTAGAATGTGTGGTTCAGACCCAGATTTCGTGACCTGACTTCCGACAACCATCAGTGCCATGTCATGCCCCACGTCATGCACCATGCACCACGTCATGTGCTGCATCATGCGCCATGTCATGCAGTAGAAGCTTCTGCATTCCTGTCATATACCCAGGGCCTCAGGCAAGCATATCCGTTTTTGCAATAAATTCCAGGACTCGCAAATTCGACGGCAAGCACTCTCGCAAAAGTTCGACAAATGCAGGACTCGAAAATTCGCATTAGATCCGACAGTTATTCGACTGCTTCCTCATCTTCGCATACGCGCTCCAGGCCCAAATTCAAACAACTCGAAGATTCTCGAAGTTTCACGCGCCCGCGCGGGGGCTCGCTGGGTTCGAAGACTTGAAACTGACGAATTTTAGCGTCCGTTTGGCGCCATCTCAAACCATGCCGCCGTGTAACCCGTCATCCCTCTTGTTCTCAGAACTTGGTGCATCAGAAGACGCCAACTCCATTTGATTCGAGGTCTTAGGCTTTAGGGTTTAGGGTTCGGGTGGATTTTAAGGCTTGTTACGAGTAGGGCGAATTTTTTTCGGCTTGATGCCTTCGCTTTTTGACGCTTGAAGACTGAGTGTGTATGGGGGCATTTCACGCTACAAACCCTGCAACCATAAACCCCAAGTGCTCCGTACATTCTTCCAGGGACTGCACGGGGATGATGGTCATTACTCAAGCTCGCGCATGGAGTTGCAGAAGCTGCTTTCGATGACCACGCAGGCAGGGTGCTTCTGCGGGGGGGTTTTGGGGTTGAAGGCTCTTCATGGGTTCTAGGCCGCTAGGGCTGTCTCCAACTCCTGAAGGCCCCCACACTCCAGTCAGTGAAATCTGACATTTTCGCAACAGATGGTCGAAAAAAATCGGACATGTTCGCATCAAACCCACCGTGATGCAGCACCTGCTTCCGAAAGCAGTGGCAAAGTAACGCCTGCTCCTGCGTGGGTGGAACATCCAGCCCAGTCTCGACTGTCGAGCAAGCACTTCGATACATCGATCAAGCTCGACAGTTATGCATGCGACCGGTTCCCGGTCGGCAGGCTGGAAGCAGAGGAAACATCTCAAAGAACAAGGGGGAGTGGAGGTGAATGTTTCAAGATCAATCTTGGTGCCAAAATGGCCACGGTATGTACAAACGTTCAAGACTGGAACCAATGATTCGAAAACTCGAGCATTTGAAAACATTCGAAAACCCGAATACTCAAACAAGTTCGAAACTCGAGATCTCCAGAATTTCCAAAGTTCGCCACACACGCGCCGTTTCGCCACACACGTGCGTAACCCAAATTTGAACAGTCGCAACTGACGAATTCTCACGTGACACATGAGGTTACTTCCTGGGCCACAACAGGAGCACCCACGTGGCAGGGATTAAAGCACAACTTGCCACACGCCTGCGCTGCCGGGAGTCATGTCCTGCGCTAGAGCTTGAGAACTGCTCGGGATTGGGGTCTTTATTGTAAGAGGATCCTACTATTGTTTGGGGGCGATTAAGGGGTCCCGTATTTTCGTAAACCCCCTGTTTGATTTTCTTTGCATCGTTGCACGGTCCTGTGGTTCACCGAATCCGGTCTGCCGGTTGGGATGGTTCTGCGGGCTCTGCATGTCCCGCATCGCCTGGTGCGAAGGAAACTGTGAGGCAAACTGGATGTGTACAATGGCGTACAAGTTCATGCAATCACTGCAGCTGGCCCGAAGGAGGTCGAGATTGAAATCTTGTTGCGTAGGGATGAACTCCCTGGCGTTGCTCTTGCCAGGAAGAGGTACTCTCCATGGTTCTGGTGCCCTCAGCTGAACGAAAAAGAATGAAACTGGTAAAGACCAAGTCATGGACCCAGGGCCTTCTTTGGTAGCCCGACTCCCACTCAGCTCCTTGCGCAGACTCGGGAGAGAAATCCCCAAAGTCATCCTGTCCAAAATGTTCTGCGAGACTCTGTGACGTTCGACTCGTCCTCGGCTCTGTAACGCAAGCCCTCTGGGGAGCCGTCTGGTGATGAGCTTCTTCTGGTCGCGTTTGGGTTAGCCTCGGACAGTCTTCGAAACGTGTAGCCTTTTGCAAACTGTGGGAAGCGATGGGAAGCGCATCCTTGCCATACACTCAGTGACTCGCGGGTTGGTAGGATCCACCCTGCAAGCAGAGACAGATGTACTTGTGACATGCTAACATGTTCCGCATGAGGTTGTCTACAAAGTCACACGCAACAAGCAACTCAACCAAGCCCAGGCCAACGAAAACTAGCCCTGGGTAGTGCACGCCTTTCTTCAAGCGAAGGCTCTTTACAAGAAAGTCCGTACACTCCATTCACATTGCGCACCAGACCTCACCACACCCTGCACCTGCTGTTGGGATGTTGAGCTGGAAGTTGAAAGTGTGCGTTCCCGCGCCACAATCCCACACTGCCACCACCACCACCACCATCACCACCACCCCACCAGCACGCGAACTTGGCAAAAACCCATAACAGTATTGACCGGCCCCACCCCTGCCCTAAATGATGATGGTTCTGATGGCAACGGTGCTGATCATGATGATGACCCCACTGCATCGAGGATGTTGATTCTGTTGATTATGATGATGATGGTGATGGTGTTGACGATGGTGATAATGATGACGGTACTCATGGCAGTAATGCTAATGCTGCTGAACAATGAAAGCTGCACGTGAACTTGGCAAGAACCATATCGACGTACGAGTAACGAATCTCAAAACTATGGCTATGAGTGATGATGCTGATTCCATGATTTGTTGAAGATGCTGATGTTGCAGATGACGGTACATACCAAGAGGTCGTGATACCACTATCGCTCGGGATGATGCTGATGATGCTAATGATAAAGCTGATGATGATTTGGCCGGCTCGCGCGTCGTCGAAAGCTCGGCTGGGCTCCAGGGGCGCCGGCTGTGAACAGCTGAAATATGATCTTGAATGACGATCCGGAGGACACTTGCACACCCCGCACATGTCGCCACAACGATTTGCTGCATAGCTCATCAAGCTTCCAGTCCAGAACTTGAATCGCTAGCTGCGCCAAGCACGCAAGACCATGCATGCTAGAAGGACTGTCCCGAGGTGGCTTTGGAGAAAATGCTGCCTTGATGACTGATGATGACGACGATGACGATGGAAGTGATGATGATGATGATGATGATGATGATGGGTGCACGCGAACTTGCCAAGAATCCACATTGGCATGCTACCGACGCAACTCAAGTCTAGCTCACTAGCAGCACACTTGAAGACAGCTTTCATACCCCTGTGTAGGAAAGGATCTAGACATGCTAAGCCAAAGTGTATCTGGGATGGGTGGCCCTGGGGCATGTGCATGAGCGACTTCTTTTTTCCGAAGCCAGGCGCCGGTGCTGGCTTGGCTCCTCTACATGCCGGGCATCGGCTGCGGAACAGCGCCGCAAACATTTACTGCAATCGCTTTGCCTTTCTGCGGGTCCTGAGCACGTGCAGCAAAGCCACATTGGCAGAGAGCTTCAGAGATCAGACAAAACTTAACTTGCAGCTCGAGCAGCAAAATCCGCTGCGTATGTCACGCGCGAGCCGACTATAAGGGAGCCTCTCAGCACATGCACTGCAACGTTGTACAGTACTGCCTCCAAGACACGATTGGGTCGCCATGCCGGGAAGAATAGCTTAACGTGGCATGTCTTGTGAGGGCGACATATGTTTCGGGCATGACGAGGTCATGCAGCCGTCGTATTTCTCGAGTTATCCCTTGAAGCATGCGCGGAGCCACCGTCTCCTGTCAAGCCTTCGGGCGGACGAGAGTCGAGCACTACTGCTCTAGTCAACCCTGCCAGCTCCACCACCACCTCCTCCCCCACCACCACCACCCCCACCCCATCACAACAGCACAATGTTCTTGAACAACCCTTGGCATGGTTTCGACATTCCGAGATCTGTCCTCCATCCATAAGGTAGCTTCTGTGAACAAAGAGGTCTTGGGTGCCATCACTGGGGGCAATGAAGCCCATCCCTCTGTGCTCCATCCAGGCCTGCCATGAGTTTGCAAGAAGGAAACGATGCTGGAAGCAACAATGTGCCACAAGGAAAGCCGAGTTCTTCTGCAAGGGTCGCCTTAACTGTTCCGGTAGCTGCAAATCCATTGGCCTGGGCCAGATCATACTCGGCCAGAGATTGCCAGTGTGGAAAGGGATCTCAAACCAACCCAACATGTGATTTACGGGAAGAAGGGACCCCAGAATGGACCCCCAAATAGTAGGATTCCCTGATAGAAAAAGGACCCCAACAGGGTTACCCCTAACTTCGGACCCCCACATGTCTGCCGCAATCGACTCCTGGCCTGGCCAAGTGGAGGCGCAGCACCATAAGGAGAGAAGCGGTGGCTCATGCCGGCAGCGCCCGCGGATGCCTTTCCAAAGCTCTTGCCACCTCTGCTCCCCTCGGAGCTGAAGGACACCAGGCCACCCACCTGAGAAATCACAGCTTCCCCTCAGCTTCAGACCTGAATGTGCGCAAACATGTCCTTGAAGCAATTGGGTCTTTCTTGGCCACGCCTCGGGATGCCCATCGAGCAGCATGCTCTTCGGGATGTGTAGATCAGGCCCTCCATCAGCGGGTATTACCACAACGCCTCAAGCATTGCAGGTGGCTGGACTGGGAATGCTAGGTATGACGAGAAGCGGAGGCGATCTCAATCAAGCAGCTATGTTCCATGGCCGCCTTCACAGTACCTTGGTACTGGCATTTTCAGTCAGACCCCGTGGAAAAGCTGCAAGGCTGCGTGAAATTGTTTTGGTGGTAGACATTTTCGTGTATAGTGTCTCCTTCATCACATGCCAGCGGCTCGGTGCAATTTGTGCTTGAACCATACTCAAAAAACCATAAGACAACCGAAGTCTGTATCGGAAGCTAACGCTGCACAATGCCAGTCACTGCTAATCGCACCCATGGGCGCACGCGCAAGCACTTGACAGTGCATGTCTGATTAAGATGCACAGACTGTTCACGGCAACATCATGCAAACAATGCGCAGCCCAGGCGCCTACTTGTGCGGCCTGGATGTGCGAGGCTGGAGGTATGCCACTGGCACCGGCGCCAGCACCACAACCGCCCCTGCCTGTGTGATCTACTTACAGATTGTGTGCTCAATGGCCATGGTTCGCGATCGTTGGCCGTTCTGGCCTGGTCCAGAACCTTGAAAGCCTGCAACTGGACCATGAAGCTTTGCATATCTTACCTAAGTCTTTCGGTCCATCGGGTGCAGAGGAGGTACCGAATCGTACCAAGTCGTACCAACTGTTGCCAAATCGATGCTGTAGCAAGTCCCAGCCGCATTCACTGGACCATCTAAGCCAGAGACAACGGTGCCACTCACCTGCTTTCAACTTCGTGCGAGAGATCCGCATCACAGCAACATACTAAACCTGACTCAAGCGCAAAGTCAGCAGTAGTTCCAGGGAGACATGTTCCCCGTGAGTTGGATTCCATACAGTAACTCAGCCAGGCCCACGTTCTCCACGATCCATGTGGCCTCGCCGACGGAGGAGAAGCGGACCAAAGCTGCCCGGTCTGGTCGGCCCTCGCCTGGGAGCACCTCAGGGAAGAGTAGCGCCCTCACCGGGTCACGGTCTCAGAACTTCGGGAACAAAACAGGCATTCTAACGTGTGTCGTAACATGTGGTCACGTGTGTTCACGTAAGTGACATCCAGCATGCCTTGCAGCTGGTAACGCTGCCGTAGACGCTGAAGAGCTCCTGGAGCCTTTCCTCACTGATGTCTGGCCTCGGTGTACAAGTCCGACCAACATCGCGTCGGCAATGTCACTTGGTAGTGCTGCCATGAGGCCATGTAAGTGTTGAACTGCACTTTCAGAATGACACGACTGGCACTACTGGCTTCTGACAGGGGTGACATGGCGTTCTGCATGCAATTATCCGACAGGACGCGGAAGGCCAGTAATGAAACAGTTGTCAGATGGCAGCTCGCCACCTCACAGCATGCGGAGTTGTGCACCACTTTAGGATGCCGCGAGAGTCTCAAAGAGCACGAAGGAACAGAGCAGAGTATGCTGTCATGGTCCTGGCAACCGTGTGAGATAAGGATCGAGCCTGCCATGCCGTTGGCACCTTTGCCCTTGCCTTTGGCGTCCGGAAGAATCTGCAGGGAGCTCATAGGCACTGAAATCCGTCTAGCAGGCACGACAGCGGTGGACGATTTCCATGATAAGTCCGAGTCGGCTAAGCTTCCCGACAGTATGACTCGGATCGAGTAGATTCCCCCGCATCCCTTTCAGTGTAAGTCACGTCGCGTACTGGGCATATCTCCCTAACGACTGCCCTTTCACCCCCTTTCTGCAAAGCAAAAGACTCGGAATTCAATACCTTGCATCCACATGCCTGCAGAGCTGTGAACTTCTGCTTCTCTGCGTTCCATGACGCCGTGAGGGTAACATGCATGCCTGCAGAGTCTTCTCTTCTAAGAAGGGTGCAAGATCGGCTTGTTCGGTCTGGAACTAGTGCTAGATCGATTTGTCATGTTTGTTGGGGGGGCTCTGTATGGAAAAGATCAAAGTTTCTTGTGCGGAAAAACCATGGTTGTTTTCAAACCAAGTGCCATCGTAAAGAGCCATGCCCGGTGGAACGGCGCTGCTGCCAACGAAGGCATCTCCCATTCCGTTATCCAGCGTGATAAAACCTTGCATGCAGTGGCAAGCAGGCTCACGCAAAGAGGGACATGAATGTCCTCTGCTGAACCCAATGGCAAGCTGTGAACCCAATGGCAACTTTCAGCCATGACGCCATAGCCCTTGTCTGCGAACCAGACCTGACAGTCTAGGTGACAGCCACTCGCCAACAAGACAAAGACACCTGCATGCAACTGCACAGGCACGCAAGACGTCAAGGCAGTGTCAGCCACGCCACTTTGATGGTTCCAGTGAGCGGCCCATTGCTGCCTTTGCCGTTCGCGAAGCCATTCCCGACTCCTCCAAACGTGCCACCAAACCCGCCTGCGAGCAGAAGGGTAGCAGTCAGGAAGGAATGAGGCATGTCGATGCGGTCAATGCTGTCACTACTGCAAGTCTCTCACCATTCGGCTCGGCTGAATCTCAGGACCCCATCCAGTGCGTTCCTTTGCGTATCTCTGCGTTCCCTCAAGCCTATGGATAGAATCTTCGCTGTCTCCTGATAATTCCCCTCGCAAATGTGCACAAAGTCGTGCGGCTCAGTTCAAGTCGTGCTCAACGAGTCAACGAGCAGAGCAAGTTTCTCAGTGATGCTTGTGCGCCCGAGCGACGAGCGACTCTGCACAGCGAACAGATCAGAACCCCGTAGCAGCGCAGCAGAATCCCTCCAAAGCCCCTGTGAGAGTCTACAACGCTGTTCTGGTCAAGCCTGTCGCGGAGGCGCCTGAGCACACCTGCAGGGCCGAGCGAAACAAAGTGGTCTGGCGCTCACAAGTTGAGGTCCCCCCCTGCCCCCTTGCCTTCGCTATAGGCTTACCCTTCTGTGGGTCAAACCCAGCTTCGAAAATGACTGGAGCTCCCACGATCAACGCATCACCGTCGATCAGGTTACTCCGGTGGACGAAGACGTCCGCGCTTCCATCAGCGGGCGTGATGAATCCCATGCCTCTCCCCTCAATCCAGGCCTTGACAACTCCAGGCTGTCCGTTCGGGATCGCGGGCATCGCTGGCACCCTGGGAGAGCTCCAGCCGTGGCTGCCCTTTCCTGCTGAGGACATTGAAGCGCCAGTGACTGCTTTGGCAATGGCCTTGTTTTTGGACTCGTCCCAGCCTGACTCGAACATGACGGGAGCACCTACAGAAAGGCAATTCCCATCCAGCAGATTGCTCCTGTGCACAAAGACATCAGGGCTACCATCTGCAGGGGAGATGAACCCCATACCCCGCTCTTCCAGCCAAGCTTTGACAGTGCCTGGCTGTCCATTTGTCAAAGGTGGCACTGTTCCAGGCGCTTTCCTTGGAGTAAGGCCCGCGAGCTCAGGGCTGCCTCCGAAACCATTCACAGCCACGGCTCCAGAGCACTTTGCAGCAATAGGCTTGTTCTTTGACTCATCCCAGCCAGGCTCGAAAATCACTTCGGTGCCAATCACGAGGGAGTTGCCATCGGTCAGATTGCTCCGATGAACGAAGACGTCAGGACTGCCATCTGCCGGAGAAATGAAACCCATCCCTCTCTCCTCGATCCAAGCCTTCACAGTGCCGGCTCGTCCGCCCGATGACTGGTGCATCGTTGCACATACTACTGCTACGTCGAGCTTAAGAAGACATCTTGAGCCTAGCCGCTCGCAATGAGCCGATCTTTGGCAGACAAGCAACACCAGTCTGTAAGAGCAGGCTGCATATTGCCGTGACAGACAAGCAACACCAGTCTGTAAGAGCAGGCTGCATATTGCCGTGACGTGCTACGCAGAGCCCTTCCTCGGAATCGTCACCAGTGCTGACCTGCCAGCATCAACTGCAGATCTCCCAGGCTGTGCCTTCACAGAATGCAAAAGAAGACAAAGCCCAGAGTCGAACCTCGTCCCCAAAGTGCTTCATCAAAGGCATTGGCCTGGACGGATCTTTTGAAGCATGGCGTACCGTACTTGCTGCCATGGACAGAGGATGGAGCAGCCAATGGAGCGTGTCCAAAGTAGGCACCCCGCATGGACAAGGGCATATCAATCGGCAAGCCAACCTCAAGGCACAGGACTCCGAATCGGCCTCTACATTGACTCTACATACCTGTTCTATGCCGAAGCCTGCCCAGCTGCAAAGTTCATCGCGCAACAAGCCAATCCTGATCACCCGGCCAGAAGCCATGTGCTTACCCTTGGTTCACGGGTGGTCAGCAGTTTTCATCGTGCCTTCGCTCGCTGACAGCACGGGTGGTTCACAAATGAGCCAACACCAAGCTGCAAACAGGCAGTCTAGATTCACCATCCATGAAAATCTTTCCAAAACGCACGAGAAGGGCCATGCACCAAGCCCTCATCAACCCTTGCCATCTATGTCTTGATCTTTTCTGACGGGGCGTGTGCATGCCTAGCGCAGGCATGTTCTCAGGCAGTGGAAAAAGGTGCCCATGCGACGGCTCAAACAGCACGGGGCAGGTTCAAATGGCAGCATCCATCCAGCATGCCACGGGGTCCAAGCCCCTCAGAATCTTTCAGAGCTGAGGCTAGCTCTGACATGTGGTGAACCGCGCTGCAGATTCTGCAGCGGCTGCGTCCTACCAGGGCCTTGCCAGCACCAGGCACTACGAGTACCTTATTTTACGATCCTACCTTCTTGTCCGGTGATCTGTTTGCTACAGCCCACCATGCAGGCATGGCCGGTGGGTGATTCATCATTATTCCGTCTGCTTACGGCCGGGCACCCATTCTCTCGACGAGGAACTCAATCGGAGTGCCGTTCATTCGCAGAGCCTTAAGCGGTCTGAGACCCCAACAGTCACGCGAAGGTTTGATGAAAGCTCGTGCCTCCTTGCAGCTGGAGATTCCAGACAGCAGCGCTTCCTAGAGAGAACACCGAACAGCCCTTTTGCGTGATCTATAGCAAGCCTTGTGATACTCCCTGTGCCTGCGTTGGAACTCGTTGACGTCCGACTGCAATGATGCAGTCGCCGAGTCGCCAACCCAATCGGACGGCCTTAGTTGAGCTTCAAGAGCTTCACGCAGCTTCAAGCAGCTTCAGGCAGCTTCAGGCAGCTTCAGGCAGCTTCAGGCAGCTTCAGGCAGCTTCACAGCGACACATCGGCGGGGAGCCTCTTCCTTCGTGAAGGCGGTTACAACTCGGCTCTCTATCCTGAGCCCAAGCGTCCTTGGCAATCATTAGCAATCGCAATAGTCCTCGAACAATCTGTGAAGAACAAGGAATCTCGAAGGTCTCAGCTGAACGCTTCTCGGCACCGAACAGCTCGGCAATAACGATCTTAACCTTGAAACACGCGTGATCAACATCATGAAGTGCGCTGCAATACACATGCGGAGAAACAAACCTGCAATGTATCAGTTAGCGGTCCGGTTGAAAAAACAGAAAGGAACACTGGGAACTGAACAAGATGCGTCTCCTGCATGGGCACGGCTGTCTCATCCGTGCCGGTAGCCTTGTGTGGAGGAGTGCCGCATGAAAATTCACGGTAGCTTGAAACACAAAGAACCCCAAGGCAAAAACAGCAGCAACAAGTCGCGCACGCACGCACACACACACACACACCACACACACACACACACACACACACACACACACACACACACACACACACACACACACACACACACACACCACACACACACGAGAGACAGCGAGAGAGAGCGAGCGAGAGAGAGCGAGCGAGAGAGAGCGAGCGAGAGAGAGCGAGCGAGAGAGAGCGAGCGAGAGAGAGCGAGCGAGAGAGAGCGAGCGAGAGAGAGCGAGCGAGAGAGAGAGAGAGAGAGAGATTGAAAAAAGAGAGAGACAGATGAGAGACAGAGAGAGAAGAGAGAGACAGAGAGAAAGAGACAGAAAGAGAGAGAGGAGAATCGAGAGAGAAAGAAGACGAGAGAAGAAGAAGGGAGATAAGAGAGGAGAAGTGAGAGAAGGGAGAGAAGAGGACAGAGAAGAGAGAAGAGGATAGATAGAAGAGAGAATAGAGAAGAGAGCAAGAGAGAAGGATAGAAGAAGAAGAGAGAAGAGCGAGAGAGAGAGAAGGGGGGAAGAGATAGAGAGGAAGAAGAGAGAGATATGAGAGAGAAAGAAAGCGAGAAATTAAGAGAGAGAAGAGAGAGAGAAATAAGATAGGGAAAGAAAAAGAGAGAAAGCAGAGATAGAAGAAGAGAGAGAAGAAGAGAGAGAAAGAAGAGAGAGAACGAAGAAGACAAGAAGAGAGGAAAGAAGAGAGAGAAATAAGAAGAGAAAAGAGAGATAAAGAAGAGGAGACAGAAGAGAGAGAAAGAGAGAGAGACCGAGAGAGAGAACGAGAGAGATAAAGAAAGAGAGAGAAAAAGAGAGAGAAGAAAGAGGAGATAGTAGTAGATAGAGAAGAGTAGAGAGAGAGAAGAGAGAAGAAGAGAATAGATAACAAGAGAAGATAAAGAGAGAGAGAAAGATATAAGAGAGAGAAAGAGAACAGAGAGAGAATAGGGAGAAGAGGGAGAAGATGGAGAATAGGAGAAAGGGAGAAGAGGGAGAAGATGGAGAAGCGGGAGAAGAGGGAGAAGAGGAGAAGAGGTAGAAGATGGGAGAATGAGGGAGAAGAGGGAGAATAGGGAGAAAGATGGAAGTGTAGAAGAGGGAGAAGAGTGAGAAGAGGGCGAAGTTGAGAATAGGGATAAGAGGGAGAGATGTGAATATATTTAGAGAAGAGGGAGAGCGGTTAAGAGGGAGAGAGAGAAGGAGGGAGAAGAGGGAGAAAGGGGTAGAAGAAGGGGTAAAAAGGAGTGAGAAGGGAGGGAAAGATGGAGAAAGAGGTCGAAGAATGTGCGAAGGAGAGCGAAGTAGAGGCGAATAGAGAGAAGAGAGAGAAGAGAGAGAAGAGAGAGAAGAGAGAGAAAGAGAGAGAAGAAGAGAAGAGAGAGAAGCGGAGAGAAGAGCGAGAAGATATACCAAAAGAATCGAGAAGGAAGAAAAAAAGAGGAGAAAGATATAGAAGCAGAGAGAGAAAAGAGGAGAAAAGAGATCGAAAATATAGAGAAAAGAGGAGAAAAATATGAGAGACTACCACAGAGAGAGAAGAGAGAGAAGAGAGATACTAGAGAGATGAAGAGATGAGAAGGGAGAGAAATGTCTAGAATGTTGAGAAAATAAAGGGAGAGAAAAGATTTGGTAGAGAATAGAGAAGACGAAGGGAGAGATTGGGTGTATAGGAGGGATATTAAAGTGAGAGCATTAGAGAAAGGAGAAAGGGAGAAGTGGAGAAGAGAGAAAGAGATACAATTAAAAGAGAGAAAGAGATAAGGGATAAGAGAGAAAAGATAGAGAGAGAAAAAAAAAATATAAGAGACAAGATGAGAGATTGATAGAGAGAGATATGAGAGAGAGAGAAGAGAGAAAGATAGAGAGAGAGGAGAGAAAAAAAAAAAAAGGGAAGAAGATAGCTGAGAGGATAGAGAGAGGAAGAGAGCAGAGGAGAGAGGCTGAGAAGAGGAGAGAGAGAGAGAAAAAAGAGAAGGAGAGAGAGACGAGCGATAGAATAGAAGAGACCAGCGCACGCACGGCACGCACGTACGCACAGCAGCACACACACACACCACACACCCTCATTTGGAAGGCGTCCGTCAGATTTGGGACTTATCACTATGGCGATCAGAACTAAGTCTGCTGCATCATCACAACGGGCCCAGGTTTTTCTAATAAAAAATTGCTGCCCCCCCCCCTCAGGGGGCCAGCTTACAGGTACATATTGGACGTCCTCGGCCAATGCTTTCACCAGAGAGTTGGTGTGTCTTCGTTGGCAGTGACAAGTGATCCCACAGACTCTGTCAACTGACTTGCCCCCCGCCATTTATTCATGCTTGGCAACAGGTTTGTGTACACACACACACCACCCCTCAAACAAACACCACAAGCGCAAGCCCATAAACACCAGATTGAGTTTTTGGAGAATGTCAAGGATTCAGCGCTTTGTCGCCAAACTGATCGTCTGCGAATGAAGTTCAGAATGCCGTGGACACCATCGGCAATGCCAGTCACCGTGTCGCTCACGAAGTCTGACACAATGTCGACCTGAAAGAGCGAATGCACCCGCCATGCAGAACAACTCAAAAAGACACGCCCAGAGTGACAGCACGCAGACTCACTGGACAACAGACCATGCGGCTACCCATAGAGCAAGTCGACGCAAGCGCAACTTTTTGTTCCGGCCAAAGTGTCTCTTGCATCTTTCGCAGACTATGGTATCGGCCGCGTGGCCCGCAGAATCCAACACCAAAGTAGGAGCAGCAACCACGGAATCAAGGGATGACAAATCGCACCTGCAATGAAGACTGAGGCCATACCTTGGCAGGAGGACTTTCAAAAAATCATGAGGGCCCCCGTTCGCATGCCTAGAGATAGAGTGAGCCGCAGCCGGGTCAGCCAAGCGGCTGATTGCAAACCCCAGAACAGTTGCAGAAGCTCCTCCGGTCTTCTCACTCAGATATCGGTGCTGCTGGAACTGCAGTCCCCCCGCCATCACGCCTGCATGTCCAAGTGCAACACTAAACCGCAACAAACACACACAAGTGCTCTTGATACCATAGCTAAGTTGCTCTAAGTTGAAACCATATCTTTACAGGTAACCGGCCCGGTGCGCCGCCTGCCAAACATAAGCAAAAGACCCCAAACTGCTGCCAGGCAAAGCTCCGGGGATGAAGCACCAGGTCCCCGACGAAGTCCCCGAACTTTCTTGAGATGCTCACGAGGCTGTCGAAGGGCTGCAAGAACCTCGACTTGCGCTCCCCGGCGCTTTTTCTTGGTTTTTTGGGTGGTCCCTCATGCCTTCTCCCCCTGCGCAAAACTGCCGATTGCAACTGTCTCTTTGCTATTGCAGATGACCTTTGCTCGGGATCCGGAGGTGCTTGCAACATGCGTCGCAAGGGCAAATGTCCCGCGGTTGCATGAAGTAAAGGTGAGCTGTTGCAATGTGGCATGCAGCATGTTTTGCCGCGTTTGACTGTTAAGTGCACGGGCAGGCCTGGCTCAGAAAGCCTTCGGGAACGGAACACAAAACTCGCCCCACCGTCTCCAACCAGAAAGACAAATCACGTACATCACATCTTCAGAGGCCATTGATTGCTGGTTGTCGGCTGTACTACTAGTTACTAGTACCATGATGTCTGCCCAGACGAACTGCCTCGCAACACATCTCGAGTGATGACAGAACAATGCACTAAGTCCTGCATGAACAGCCAGCAAGTGCACTGCTAAGCGTCCATTTCCGCTCTATAGGGCAAGCAGAGTTAAGTACTGCGACAGCCCTCCGAGGCGTGTTTGCACTCGGCATTCGGCGTTATCTGTGTTGACCGATAGATCCCAAAGGAGGCTGGTCTCATCGTGAAGCAACCCTTAACCCTTGGCCCTTAAACACTATCCCACACTTTAACACGCGCCGTGAGGGGCCTGCTGTTTCATGATGGCATTTGCTTGGTCTGTGCTGGTTTTTCTTTTGCTCCGTGAACGTGGTTTCTGATGTAGACGACTGTCTCGTCACTTCCAGCCTCGTTGGCCCCATTGAACAACCGTACACAAAATAATGTGGTACGGACAAAACACACCCACACTAGAGAACAGGATGCTTTGGATTTTGCTTGAACGTATTTGAACCTGACGGAAGCTCATGGGATCACACAAGGTTTGCGACTGAGAAGTTGAGGATCTGGGGGGGTCCAACTCTGTCTTTAGCTTTAGCATGTAAGGCCAGGCAAGCAACCAGGGCGTGCTTGTTGTTGCAAGGTTGTCGAGGCGAGATTCGAGCGACGCTATACGGCGCTCAAGCTCATGTACTCCATGCAAGAAGTCGGATGTGGTTGCAGTCTTCTTGGAGCCTGTCGGTTGAAGCGTTGCAGAAACAAGGAAATCTCGGAACCTCGACCGCACCCTGCCTACGTAGCTTTTGTCCGTCTCGACCATCGCTTTTCCAAGCTGAAGCTTTGCTTGCAAGAGCGTCACCTGCATGATCTAAGTGCTCAAACTGCGCCCCGTGTGCACTCAAAGCATACTGCAAAATTCTTGATGCCGATCAATGCGAAATCCTTGGAGTTAAAAGCCCAGCGATTGGCACGTAACTCGCTGCACTTTCGGGAGTCAAGCAGACAAGAGAACTGGCTATCGAAGAGTGCTAGTTACGCAAGTTGTGGCTGCTGGCCTGCATTTCAGCCACCTCCTGCTCGATCCCAACATAGTTTGCCGATGCACTGCTTAACGTAGCGAGGAGGACAAAAAGTGGCCAGCACCTCCAGCGAAGATTGAACTCAGCCTGCATTGCTAGGCTTTTGATTGGGAATGGCTCAACCGAGGGGTGTCGGTTCAGTCTCGAGCCCAGATTGGCGACAAGACTGCGACAAGTGGTAAAGACCGCGAAGACACTGCTGGGCAGCAAGCCAGCGTACCACATGCAGAAACAAAGTTCCGATCATGGACGGAAGTACGCCCTCTTTCATGTCAGGTGACGTTAAAGCAGCAGAAATAAGCCTCGGGTATGCGCGCGTGTTCGACGTCGGTTAGGTGCTACCCCGTCCGGCGCGATGTCTGCATTCTGCATACAAGTACGACCTCCGCGATGATCTGGTAAAGCGGCGGAGCACGCTGAAATCTGCCAGGATGATGGCAACAGCTGCGTGAAAAAAGTCGAGGAGAAACACACGTGTCGTTTACACGTCATGATGTTAGTAGTGAGTCTTGTTCAAGTTGACCATGTCCGGTACGGGATCGAAGTTCAGGTGGTCAATCGTCTAAGCGGGACTTCTTGTTGGTTGTTGCTGCTTCTGGGTCACCTATGGTCACCTGAAACTGTTGTCAAAGAATCGGCAACAAATCCACAAAGCAAGTTGTTGATAGCCCTTGTTTCTGTTTCGATACGGGAGTGGGAGAACTTCGAGGCGCTGAAGCGTGAAAGGTATTTCGATCCACAGCCTTCCCCCCTGAATCCCTTGGAAGTCCCTGGGATCTCCACGGCATCAGCAACGCCATCTCCGACAGCTCCAACAACACCTGCATCGCTGTGTTACAAAACCAAGAAATTTCGGTCTCCACTGCGCCTTTGCGTTGAAGGTCTTTGGCTGTTCCGTCCAAGCCCTGGTACAAGTGGCAAAGGTCAAACATGGTGATTTCTAGTCTTTCTTCTCACTCTGCCTGGTCCACAGCCCCCACCACGCTGCTGACTCCTGACCCGACCAGGTCCACGGCGTCCTACGGTCGTCAGCTTGGCAGCGATGCAAGTAGCTCCCCGCATTCACCCGCATAAGCCAACACGGTGTTCGGCGTTTCCGGTGAGTCCTCAGCCGTCGCAGCGAGTTTGTCCTGGGACTCAGGCGGTTCCAAAGCAAACCACAACGTATGGGATCATTCAGGGGGAAAGAGAATGGTAAGAGGCGGTAAGAGGCTTCAGAGTATCGAAGCAATCAACAACCCATCGTGTCTCCTCGGCATTCTTGGTGATGCCCAGTGTATCCGTAACGAGGCCCACGCCTGAAAGACTATGGCAGCTGCTTCCACCCAGCACAATGTCAGACCTAGTGACCTAGTGCTCACGATCCCTTGCTCTCTTGGTTCAGCCTCCAAAAGCAGCACCGCCAACAAACTTGGTGGCATCACCTGGCAGCCGCAACCGAAAAAGCAAGAGCTCTATCCGACCGTAGCCACCCCGCCTACAGCTCGCCCAGTCTCCGTCAACAAGTCGGTCTCCTCTTCCTTAGCATCACAGGGATATGGCATTGCACATTCTGGCCAATATTTACAGAGGCTACTACTGGCAGCAGAATGACGGTGCCTTTGTCCTGATCAGCCCGTGACCACCTGAGCTTGCATCACGCCAATCCACGTGAACTACATGCGGACAAGAATTTCAGAATATGCAATGGGTCCACAATGCATGATTGCCCGTGACTATGGCTATCACTAGTCGAAGGGCTTGTGCGGAAAACTTGGGCCACTGCCTGGAACCCCCCAGAAACCCCCCATGGACCCCCAGGACCAGCGCCCTACCCAAGGGCCACTTGACAACAAGCACACACTAAGCACAAACAACAAGTGCACCGAAAGGTTTTACACCGCCTGCTGACACTGACACTGCAACCTCCATTGCCAACTACCTCGGCCGGGGTCGCTTTCTGCAAGTAGCTGCCATCCCCTTTCACCGCTGGGTAGCCCCTGGGCTTGCTCACGATTTGCACCACGCACCCTTCTGACAATAGACAGCGTTCTTCACGCGTCCCTGACACGTTGCTTCTTGACATACCAGATGGCAGGCCGCGTTAACTCTGGCAAGCGGTCCAGCTTTTGAAGGGGACGAAATAAGTTGCCCGCGCTGGTCATGGCCAATTCAGCAAGAGCGGACGATAACGAACACACTGGAATCCCACTGAAATGTACTGGAATGCTGGTGGCATCGTGGGACATGTTCACAACGTTTGGACTTGCTGAGCATCGCACTCTGGGGGCCTGTGTCCCTTTAGCACGTAGTCCTGCTGTACTCTCTTTCCCCCAGGATGTTCAAAACGCTACTGTGATCTCTCGCAGCCTTTGCACGGCTGTGGGGGGAGAGCTCTGCGGCTTGCTCCACGCGGCCCTCAGGAATCTTCTCTTTGAAGCCAGGCACCAGCTCCTGATACACGTAAACTGCACGCTTTGAGAGTTGGGAAAGACACAGCTGGAACACCGTCGGACATTAGCTTTGGGTCCTTGCAGATGTCAATGAGATACAAAGCGTTGAGAGCTCCTACCTGGACATGAGTCTAGGTATTGCAGCTGGCAACCACATGTGGCCGAGAATCCAACATGTCTTCACCGTTCTGTGCCTCGCTGAAAGATGTGGCGGTGGCGGAAGCAAGGCGCTCAATCAAACGCCCATGCTCATCAGGCACAGCCGCCACCTGCCGAGGCGAGAGGCAGCCGTGTCTGCAAGTCGCTCCCAGAATCCCACGTCAGTGCTTACTTGCTGTATTAACTCGAGGCAGGGTATGCTCCCCAAGTCGGTGAGACCCTCTCTTTCAATGTTTGGCAAGGAGCACGGCCGGGCATGAGGGCCAGCGTTTCCTCTCGTTCTCTTCCGTTCTTCCTTTCTTCCTTCCTTCCTTCCTTTCTTCCTTTCTTCCTTTCTTGCTTCCTTAAGGTGCCTACCCCGGGGGGCGCCAGTTACTGAGTCTGTTGGTGTGACACTGCTGCGGCTCGATCTCGAGGGCTTCGAGGTCCAGGGGAGCTCTGCGCAGCAGCGCTCTCCAGTGCCCTGTGTAGAAACCCTTGTCTTTCTCCCCTCTTTCTTCGGGCGGGGACAGGAAGTACATGTAAATACTGCTCAGGCAAGGCAGCAGATCGAGGTGGCATTACCCACAAATGATAAGTCCCACTTCCTACCGCATGTTCCTTGAACCCGTCTCCCCCTGTCTAATGCATATGCATGACGACCAGAGGTCTTTTCTTACGAGCACCCGAGAACTCACTCACGAAACTCTCGCACTTTGCAGTCACACAGAACAGCCAAATGACAGCACAGCTCCTATCATTACGAGGCACGTTCACGTAACTCTCTCTCTCTCTCTCTCTTGTTCTGGCGTCCACTCCACTAAAAGCAGCCCGCCTTCCCTGCCAGAGAGTATCGATCCGAAAGCGGCAACACCAGCATCCTGTGCAGCACTGGCGGACATCTCCGTGTCTGCTAGCTTGCATGGTCCCACCTTTGGCTGCTCAGGATTCTGTCTACCATCGTGTACAACTGAGCCACCTGTCACTGTCTGAGCACTGTTAGTCCATTTTTCCAAGAAAAGCTTGACTCGCCTGGCTCACGGCAATGCCAACAACTTCACCTTCGTGATCAGTAATGATGTCCACGCCACGCCCACTTGCACCTGCCGAAAACATGAGGCTGGTGACAACACCCAGGTTGCAGAGACAATTTCCCCTTTCAACGTGCTACATCGCGCAGAGTCAATTTCCGGCCGACAACATCCACCAAGCATAGATGCTGATCTGTTCCAAGCAAGAAAAACACTCTCGCCAAATTCACGCGGACCCATCGATACATGTTCATCTGGCCTAGCGCCAGCGCATCACCTAATTGAGCTTCTTGCTCAAACGTCAAGTTTAAGCCTGGTGAGCTGCACCTGTTCCTGTGTCAAAGGGAAGATTGAGCTTCTTGCTCCCCTCGACTAAACAAAACGCAACACTAGCATCTCACTTGCACTAAGAGCAGTTTTGAGATGTTGCTCCAGATTTGGGCTGCGAAATGCCCGCGAAGCTGCAACAAAGATTACAAGATAACTGGCAGACTATTCGCGTTTTCGTGCTATAACCCACGGCAGCCTTAAACACTGACGACATTCTTGGCCACTAACATTGCTATTAACATACAGATAGTGGCTCAAATGTCAACTGAGATTCTTTGAGGATGACTTCTGTGCTCTGAGGCCCAACATTCATATTCATAGCAAACAGAAAGAAGTGTGACTGATGATGCTGACCGCCACTGACCGACTAGTTTCTCCGACTAGTTTCTTCCGATACTCTCTCATTTTGACGGAAGTGCGGCACTCGTGAGCAACACTGGCATCTGAGAAGCCGCCTTTTCTCACTTGCTGATGGAGATTCGGGGTGCTCCGGATGAAAGCCCTCCCCAGCCTCCGCCCGCCACGGTCACCGCCTTGTAGCCGTCGGTCATGGGCACAGCGACCTGGGAAAGATACGATTTGCTTTGAACCCGATGCACTCGAGACCCACCTGAGATTTGTTTCTTTTCCCGCCACTGAGAGCCAGACCAAACCCTGGCCTGCAGGCTGCTGAACCATTCCTTCTCACAGGAATAGTTAGGTGCTGAATGAGGGGAGATGGCAGAGGATCGCCTTGTCCTACAATGAAGCTCAATGTGGCCCCGCGCCAAGGCGAACCCCAACCCCATTCTCAAGGTAGTGGAAAGTCTATAGCCGAAGTAGTGCCCAAGGTTAGTATTAGCTTTGGGTTTGGGGGCGGGGGGAGTGGGGGTTCAAGCACAATCACTTAGGAAAAGGCTGGGCTTCGGCTTCTTCCAGGGTGGGTCAGTTTTGCTGGAAGGACGAAATTCGTCGAAGGTATCAGGAAGAAGTACTGTGATCGACTCTTTCTGCAAGTTGCTCGTGCGCACTCTGTGCACACTCTTGTGCACACTCTTGTGCACACCCCATATCGCACCAGGGAATGAGACAACCGCGGCAAAGCGATGCCTTGCCCAAGATCGACCAAAATCGGGCCAGCTACAGCCCTCTGCTACCGTCTCCTGGAAGCCGCAGGCACACCCATGAAAGCTGCAGCTGACGTGCTCAGATGTGCTCAGGTGTGCTCAGATGAGGTTCTGGGGGTTATGCCAGGCAAGTTGTGATGCAAGCTTGGTCGCTTGGTTTGCTGCGCGGGCTGTTTCGTCATCGGTCACTGGACCATCCATCCTTTGTGGATTGACGGCGCCGCAAACGTCCAGCTTGTGTGGCTTTAGAAAGACTTCGGTCTTAGATCTGGACAGCGCCTGCACCATTGGATTGGCGCATCTATGCCAATCTATTCGCACAGCAGTGCACATGGCATATGCACTGATATGACTGGCATCATCAAGCACTCTCAGTTTTGACGTCTCTGGCGTCTGTCGTGACAGTCCTAGACGGGGACTGCATTGCGACAAACTGCGATACTGACTTCACGAAACCTGGCGACTTGATCTACTTGGGCCACTGCCTGAACCATGGTCCTAGAAGCCTTCTGTCCACGAGGCCCCACCCCAATGTACGAGTGGACGACTAACTCCGTGCATGAAAACGAACATCAAATACATCAACTAAGCAATCCACGTGAGGCACCACATCTCAGCTTCGGCTGCATCGGTCCTAGAGATAATCTCCTGCAGCTGGGCATCGAGCTCATTGCCTCGCGCAAGGCCAGAGTCACCGAACTGTCATCGAGTCATCAAGGTGTTCTGAACCCTGGGAGTCAACTGATGGCAACGTCCCGGTGAACTTTGCCTTCGGCAACACTCTGAACCTCAACGTGGTGGAGCTTGTCGACTACATGACTAGGACCTGAGCATCATGTGCCCGGAACATGCCCAGCAGAAGTCAAAAGGTTGCCATCTGCCACATTGCTACAACTGCCATACGTTGTACGTGTCTGGCAGTCTGGGCTCCAAGTCGTAAGTCCTTTGCGAAAGGGTCCGGCTGCCACCTTTCGAGTGTTGTAAGGACTGACCTGCACAAAGGTCGCACTGCATTGGTTCAAGATTCCGATCTTGAAGCTTTGGGCAAGCGAGCCAAAACCCTTGCGGACCAATCCCTCGCGTGCAATGCCAACTTGTCCCGCAGAGTTCCTGGGCGCAGTGACCGGTCAACACGCCCACACACCAGGAGTGGAAGACGCGAAACCACGCGAGGATGACGATGATGGCTGCAGCACACTCACTGCTCGTATCGGTAACTGTCCATGTCATGAACCTGCGATCTCTTGAGCGATCACCCTCCTGTAATTGTAGATTGCAGTGCTACCTGCCTGTAGCCCAAACGAAGCTAGCCTAGCCTCTGACTCTGCTGATCCAGTAACCCCTGTGTCCAGTACTCCCTGTGGCAATCTCTGTGTCTTGAGTCTCACCGTGTAAGCAAAAAACCAAGTTGCTGAGCTTGCTGAGCTTCCGACCTCTCTGCAAAATGTTGTTGCGTGCTGCCTAAACGAAAGCTGAGCAAGGATGTGAAACTTGCAAGCCTCAGCAAGACCCGGCGCCTTGACCTCCGTAGGCTGTCACGGCAGGCATGGCCTTTGAAAGTTCACGTCGTTGCTTCAGAAAGTCAAGGTGAAGAAGGAAATCTCTTGCAATATGCTCGTTCGAGCCTCTGTCTGTTCTGGTACACCTACGGCACCGCTCAGCCATGACATGAAGCCACGCACCGAAGTGGCCTGCCAGTGCAGCTTTCAATGGAGCCGACAAGGCAGACATAGGCAAAGAGAGAGCCATCAAAACAGAATCCACCCCATCCACCGACGAGCACCTTTTGCTTTGGCTGTGGCACCACGGCGGCATTTGCACCTCAGATGCCGCCCTAACGGGCCCTAAGCCCTCCATGTCCAACAAAGTAGGTTTCCAGCCTTCAGACCCATCCTGTCCATCGGCCTTGCCCACATGGCCCACATTCCAAAGGCAGTTTCAAGCCTCAGCACGGGCCTTTCGCATGCCGTAGCTGGAAATAATGTCCTGTCCAAACACGAATTGAGGCACGAAATCATCCAACACACTCCCAACAAAAGAATCCCGCACGACAAACATCGGATTCAGATGCAAGGCATTGTCGAGGTCTGGAGACGGGACGGATCGGCCCTGTTCCGCCCGCATGTTTCTACTCTCTGCAACATGTCCATAGCGCATTCCTGGCGATGCGCTTCCGCACTCGTGGATCGCACGTCACACACCAGGTTTGTCTCGGCCTTCTTGCGGCAAATTGCAGCAATCCTGATCAAGAGAAGACCCCGTTGAAGGAGGGTCTTCTTCCAGAGTTCCAGAGCACCGCAGTAAGTTCTGGCCACGATCGGCTGTCACAACGTCGCTCGCTGGGCACAGGAACTGATCCAGCATCTAGCGTCAGCCTCTGCTTGGACTTCTGCCATTTAGCTAGCACTCTCTGCGGCCACTCCAGCCACGTTATCGTTTTATGTCCCTGATTGCTCGGGTCTTGTCTTCTCTCACACTCCTCGCTATCAGGTCGTGTCTTTGATGTGTTGCTTGTTGTTGTACGGTCTGCTTGTGTCGGCTTGATCTTCTCCCGGAGAATCGTTCGCCTTAAGCCTCTCTCTGTTTCTGCAATCTCGAACGGCCTGGCTAGCGAGCCTCTATCTATTATCTACTCATCACTCCGCAAACTCCTGGAAACCTCTGCAGTACCTCTCGCAATGGAAAGGGAAGCCTGCCATGATTTAGGTGATTCGTGCTGAATGCTGCACCATGCGAAGAGAGAGGACAAATACAAAATGCGTAACTCTGCTCCTGGAGCCAGTGATATCGAGGATCGATATGCCCATCATTGAACCTGAACTTAGATTCTACTCAGCATCAGAAAACATTCGTCAGTATGTCCTGTTGCGACCAAGCAACACACGCTGGCGCTCCAAGAGCATCTGTCCATCCTGGTGTCAACTCACTTTGTGGGAGCCGTGTAGTCTACCAGCTTCGAGAATTTGCCTCGACGGTAAAGGCCTCGAGTGGCACCTTGCACACTGCACATAGAGGTACTCCACATCAAGTATAAATCGATGTTTCTCCGAGGCACGGAGTACCCGGAAGGAAGGCCTTCACACGCTGCTTGAACAACTCCAATGGCTCATGCATGCTCGATACTGTGTCTTTCAGGTTCTGCACGTCATCAACTGTGAAACCCCCGGTGTCAGGTCTAGCCGAACAAACCTGCGGCAGAGCTGGGGCAGTCCAACACTTCACCCTGTGCATAACCCATGATGGACCATCCCGGTCGGAACCACGACGCTCACAATCGGGCCACAACAGTGCAACCCGCATGATTGTCGGGGGCCCGCCCTGGCAGTGAGCGAGCTCTGGTCCCGAATCGGGAAGCCCCTAGCTCATACGGAAGCACAAACTAGTGGAGCAGCAGTGTCCCCGAGAGATGGGGATTTGTGCGGACTTCGAAGAAGGCGCAAAGGTTTCATGGCTTCATGTCGATGACCACTCCTGGTTCACAGTTGGGATGGTAATAAAATTTTAAAATTTTATTCCTTATTGAATTTAAGTACCCTTAAAATGTAAAATGTTACCCCACTATGATAAAGACTCTTGGCAAGCTAGGTAAGCCATGAAGATGGGGAAGCCATTGACGAGATTGGCAAGGGCGTTCACTAGGAGTGCCATATAAGCGCAATGCCCTCAAGGCAGCTCGCTGACGTTTAGGTAGCGCAGAAGGACAGATGCTGGGCAGGAGATTCAGAACGCGAAAACTGCGCCACTGGCAGCACCAACCCTGTTTTTGAGATCGTTTTTGGAAGCCTCACAGGGCCATGCAGCACGACTCCAAAGCTGGTGAAATAAACCTTATGCTGTAGACGCGTGCTTCCGTCCTGCCAAAATCGGCTAGCCAGGAGAGAGAAAGAGGGAGAGAGAGAGAGGGAGGGAGAGAGAGAGAGAGTCAGAGAGAGAGAGAGAGAGAGAGTCTCGGAGAGAGAGAGATAGAGAGAGAGAAAGTCAGAGAGAGAGTCAGAGAGAGAGGGAGAAAGATTGAGAAATATGTGTATACCTGTGTGTGTGTTGTATGTGTGGATATTTATATGTACATATTTGACATTGAACAAACCAAGCGGGTGATGGCGCTTGCCATGCCAAAGCAGCAACAGCATTGCAAAGCACGCTTGGTCTGGCCTGGGATGGGTCTTGGCCTGACAAATATGCGCATCAACCACGCCAGTGATAACACACGGGCCAGTGTGCCCCCTTTTCGTTCATCCTTCTGTGCTTGACTTTGACCTGGGGCCCCGGCTTGTCGCGGCCGAGTTGCGACGGCGGGTATGAGCGAGGAAGCCTCGAAAATACGAAGAGATACAGAAAATACATGTCATGAAACCAAGACGAAGCACAACGAAAGAAATGACAAGAAAAAGCTTTGGGAACTCAAGAAACGTCTGAGGGGCAGAATGCCTGTGGCGAACTAACTTAAGCATTGAGCAGCCCTAAACACAGAAACGCATGCTGGAATCCCATCTTGGGGTGTCTCCCGATTCAATTCTAGTGATGTCTTTCAGTCAGTGGCTCGCTCATGCCCGGCATGTCACAGACCACGCGGATGGGTGCCCGACCCTGGCATGTCATTGCGGCTTCGTGAAGCGAACTGCGATTTGCCTGGCCTGGTCACGCTTGTGGCCGCAGTGACGGCAAACGTTGTCACGGATGCTGTCGAACGCCTCGACAGCGCGCTAAGGACTGCAAAAGAACAGCAAAAGAATGCAGAGCGCCAGAATCAAGACGCGGACGGTTCCACAGTGCCAGCAAGCCTCAATGAGAGCGTGTAGAACGCGTGTAGAACGTGTAGAGAATGAGCGTCACAACGTTACAGGGCCGAGCCTGCTTCTGGCTCTTGTCCGGAACCGAGGCCGCGCAGTCCACCACCCTCCTGGCCACAGAGAAATGGAAGTGACTGTTGTGACGAGGCAGAATACCGGTCACCCTCCAAGCAAGTCGGACAGGCCACGTCGACCAGAAGGCCTTGTCCTGCTGGAAAGCATAGAAGAGGACGTCATACCTTTCATACCGATTCTCGTGTCACACTGAGACATGCTTTGTGCTCCCTTCATGTGAGGGGCATGTAGGCGTCTGTTGTCTTCTCGAAGGTCGTGGCACGCAGGCTGGCAGGCTGGTACCTCTGCACAAGCAACCACCTCAACCTGCACTGCGCAGGCAAAATAGCTGTCACGAAGCTCGTGTACCTCGGGATTGCTTTCGGCTGGCTGTTGAAGTCGAAACGGGTTTGAGGCGACAGCGTGTTGATGTTGGCGGTTTCCGGCTTTTGCCGGCTACCACGGCCGAGCTTTGGGCCCATGCAACGAAAAACACGCGATTCGGATACGCTGCGGCCTGGAAAAGGAAAAACATTCTAGGACATTGGGCCTCCCAAACTCACGATCACTGAGTGAGTATCTTAAGACTCTTTAGCCCCCTCAGACTATCAGATGCAGTCAGGCCGACAAGCGCGATCACAGGAGCACAAAGGACCTGTACGGTCCACTTTCCACTTGCCCTTCACACTGCTTTGCGCATTTCGCGCAAAGCGGAAGGCCGTCAAAGGACGTGTCAATGTCAGGCATCACTATCGAACCCATCAAACCCGTCTATGCTGCGACTGGTCAGCGGCACCTGCTCTTCAGATGTGACCCTCGCGTAGCACATGCCTCAACAGCCAAGGCCAGCCAGCACACAGTTTCAGCACGTCTGAGCTCGCGTGACTCAACAGAACGCACACCACATGTAACTGTGCAATTGAATGCGGCAGACTGAGCTTGCAGACGCGGCGGCAGTCCGCCCAAGCTGAGCGTGCGAAGTGCCAGCAAAGCCTAGGCAATGCTATGAAGCGAGCAGCAGTTTGCCGGCTGCGGCTTGTCAAAATACATCCGGCATCTTTCCAAGAAATGCCCTCAGCACTCGAACTGCAGGCTTGCTTGCTGCGTGCTCTCCAATCCAGACTGGGGGGGGGAGACATGGCCACCGGCCTGCGCCTTCACCTCGTGAGTAACCCCTGGCCCCAACCTCAAGTACGGTATGGGAAAAGCGTCCGTGGCACAGCGATCGCTATCGATCGCTCACGCTGCGCACATGCACGGCCGCCCGGTGAAAGCCTTGGGACTCTGGGCTGGTCCTTCACCCACAGCAAGCCACTCTTCTGCCACTCCTCCACGGTGTTGCTGGCCAATCGGGCGTGGCTAGAGGCTCTGAAGGCGGCCACTTTTGCTTCGTGCACGTCATCGTGTTCCACGGTCAGGACGAGAAGGTGGTCGCGAAGTTAAGCAAATCCCACATGGACTTTGATTTAAATCACAAAAGGAATACGCGGGCCACCGGCTGGGTGCCTGGAGGATTACTTGGGGATGCTCAGCAGCACCGAGCCAGACGTCTACACGGCATTCGGAGCTGCCTCGCGCACTGCTCTACGTGCAAGATGCAGATCATGCATTTGCAGCTGGATCTGGACGACCGCTGAGACTTCCCCGCTCTCCCTCTCGATATAGCTTCGGCTGGATAGGCTTGCTCTTGTGCTGCCGGCTGCTCTCTATCCGCCTCAGAACACTTACTACACGCCTAAACGCAAGCTCACTTTGTGCAATGGGCCGCACACAAGTACCACCCCCCAGGCACAGCAGCAGCCGGCCATGGGGGGGCCCCCACACCCTCACTGTCCTTGGACAGACATGACACCCCGTACTCAAGGGGCGGGCAGGCGGGCTTTTGATGCAAAGCTGCACAGCTGCTGGCATGACTGCAGCAACACAACAAAGCTGAACAGCTGACCAAGTCTCAACGCATCAAGCCAACGCATGAAGTGCAGGGTGTGAGCGCGGCCGTAAGTGTTCGTAGCGTGCACTGGGCGCGTAAGCTTTCCCTTTGGACTTGGTGGCGTAGGCTCGGCCACTCATGCTTGCTGGCTCGGAAGAATCTTAGCCGGCTCGGATACTCGGACTTAGTAACCTGTGCTCCTTGCGGAGATCCTCTTCTGGTCAGAAGGGATCTCAGCCGACTCAGCGTGCTCAGACCTCTCAACCTCTGCTCCTTGCTAAGATCAGTCCTCTACCCCATGAGAGATCTAAGCTGCCTCAATTTCTCTTCGTCTGAGATCCCTCCTCGGCCCAGGCAGCCAGGCATGAGCTCGGCTAGGGGCAAGTCTTTTGGGCTGATCTCCATGACACCTGGCCTCTGGAGCCTAGCAAGTGCAAGCTGTAGCGGGCCCTCACCACAGTGGTTTGGCCATCGTTTGCGTCGTAGCCTCCCTGCCTGCTCAAATCTTCTATCGAGAAGCGCACGGAGGATGCATCAGAGTTGAAAGTCTCGCTCCCGGCTTCTCAGGAGATCGAAGTGGCTTCGGCAACTCACAATTGAGACTAGGGGTGTTTCCCGAACGCAACCGCCCTAGCTCAACGTGCGAACCAACAAACCCAGGCAAAAGCATGCTTGGTTACCGCAATCGCTTGATTGCCATGCCACGTCTGGTAAACACTAAGGCCGCAGCTATACTCACACTTGCCAAGAAAGTCCCAATGACCATGGCGCCTGTCAGCGAAACTGCCCCAGCAGAGTATGATGGAAGTGTCATGCAAAAAGCTTGCGCTGCCATATTGCGCGCTGCCTGCTACACCTTGAGTGGCAGAGAATAAGCCCACAATGGACTTATAGGACCTGGAGAAGAACTCCGCGTCCGCATTTGAACCTGGACGCTTTGGGACTTTGGGGCATCCAGCAGATGGAGGCTTTGCGTTGAGTTCAAGCACATTCAAGTAGTCTGCGTTTCGAGGCACCGCATGCAAGAGCTTCTTGATACGCTTGGTATGCCTGTGCAGAGGATAAGACCCAGAGCCCCTGGGATGATTCGCTTCAGATGTCTACAGACATGCAGCTGCGCAAGTGCTCACACCTTGAGGCTGTCGGTCATGGCGCTGTACTTGGCGCAAAAATGCAGTGAGTTGTTGATAAAGGTCCTGTCCGAGTGGACTGCACGGCTACCACTTGCCACCTGCCAACATCTCGTGCAACCGTGGTCTGGTGGTCCTGCATTTCTCACTGCAGACGTTGTCCGCAGATTCCTCTAAGTTTTCGGTGAGGACCAAACATGACCTGGAGCATTGTACGAGCAATAAACAGCACATCAGACAATAGGGGTATTCCGGTCACTTTCTGGAGTTTAGTATGCCTGACACTCGACCTGTAGAAACACCTTTCCACTGCAGCTTCCACGTCGATACAGGACGAGAGAGTGCACAAAGTATAAGCTAAACTCGAAGTGACGGGAGAGTGATTCTGATTCAACGACACAAGACGGCTGGCTTACTGGCAATGAGCAGTTGGATTTGGCTGTTGCCTGTTCTATCCGTTGATATGCGTGGCACTGCATACTCTGGGCTTAAAGTTCGCCAGCATGGCACCATCGCAAGCTGGCTGAGCACTGTGACCAAGAACGGGTCAAAAAGACAGACATCCAGCCACGTTGCCGATCTACTGCGGAGATCTGCTCCTGGCAGAAGGCCGCATCATCCTGGCGAATCACGTGACTCGCTTCGTTAAAGAAAACGGTTCGATGTCAGAGCTGGGTCAACATCTTCAAGCCGGGCTCAACCCGGGTCTCCACAGACCAGTGCGTCTGAGATGCGCAGTGGGATCGGGTGCTGCTGTTCTTTGGAGTCAGCCTGCACACGTAGAGGTCATTGATCATGTCCTTGGTTGCACTAGCCGTGGGGAGCCAAGCAAATCCGAATCATGGCAGAGCAATGATGACTCATATCTTCAACTTCCTCTTCTGGTACATCTACATCCCAAACATTCAAAAGACCATGCTCTCGCCCACACTTCCTGCCACCATGCCCCATCTTAAGCAGGCTCGCTGACAGCAAGCCTTTCTGTTATGCGTAATCTTGTGTTGCTGCAGTCCTGCATTCTTCTCAAGTACCAACCCTGGTCACCCAGCAAGGCCACTTACGGCCTGCTGCACACCTGTCTGATTCTGTGGCACGGCCGTGGCCAGGCCTGTCCCCAAAAATCTGAAGCAGCTAGTTTTGTCGGAAGTTCGCATGGTGCGTAGCACCCAAAAGCTTTCCTGGACACTTTCAAGAGCATGCCCACTTCTGAGCAACGAATTTGAAACCAGGCCGATCAACTTCGCTTCTTAGGAAAGACCTTTGTCACCCTTGTCGACTCCGCTCTACCAGCCTGATTAATTGGACGACGCTTGTTTGCACGGGTTCGGCTAACACCCCCGGAGCAATGGATGGCAAGATGGCCCGTTACCCTCAACGTACTTCCCCGGCTCCAACTTTCGAAGTGCGAGCGGCTGTGTAACCCGAGTCTGGGCAGTACTTGCGCCTGTACGACATGACCGGGCCGAAAGCGCTTCTCGCCCGGTGGAAGTGGCCACACTCTTCCTGTCAGGGCAGCGGGTCTCGAGCAATCTACGTGCTCGGGTTTGAATAATGGAGCGCTTGCCTCCACGCGACTTGCGAAAGTGCCACAAAGCGACCTGCCACAGACCTCAAGTAAAGTCGCATCCCAGCACTCCATGGGTCAAACTGATTGAGGTGGGCTGCGGAGGCAGAAAGCGAGGAGGTTTCCATCGTTGGTAGCCATATCCTTGGAGCAGGGCAAGGCGTTGCTTGAAGAAGCGTTGCCGATACTCTTCACGTCACGATTTCGAGATGGTTTCACTGAAGCAAAAAAAGAAAGAGGACCTGTCGATTGCTCTAACTCGGCAGTGTCCTTGTTGACCCCTTCTGAATCAAACGAGAACCATTGCCTCAAGGCCTAACAGGTGCCCCTCAGCCGTGTCTCACTTCACAGGCCGACGTCGCCGCAGATATGAGGCTGTGGCAGCGAAGAGCCTTGTGACACGCCTGGCAAGTCGTGTTCTTGGACTCAGGCTGTGCACCACGACAGTCAGAGCTTCTCACGGCTTCAAAAGAGTACGTCGATTCTAAGGGCCTCAGCAATTTGGGGCAACGAATGATCCAGCAGATGCATCTATGCATCTCCATGGGTGTGAGAAACACGGGTGGCCCACCAGACGCTACAGCGACGGCGTCTTTCAGTCGCGCCTCGCTGTTCCTCTCCGACATGTTCACCGTCGTCATGCAGCGCTCGTAGGCCGGCGTCAAGAAGTGAGAGGTGCTTGCCGCTGGCCACGGATTCACACCTTGACTTCAAGAGACTTCTAAACATAGCAATCTCAAGATGGTCCACACCCTGTTGACGGTTGATGCGTCGATTTTTTGAGCATCGTAAGCATGGTAGAAGCATGCTGCACTTTAAATGGCGGTGTACACTGCGTGCGGTCCGACGTCCGTATAGCTTGCACACTTCTCAGAAAGCGATTTCCAAATTCGGTTCGACTCACTTTCGACTGGGACTTTCCTGGAATGGCCTTAGCTTGCACATGTTCCCGGAATTTGCAATTGTAAAGCAACATTTGAGTTGCACTGAGAATGCGGCACTTGACTTGACTGCTTGAGCTCTTTTTGGGATATTCAGCATAGGTTCGCATGTTGAAACCCCAAGCCATCCACACAATAAATTGTACGGTCCCGAATTTCTGTGCCAGAAGCAGCATGCAGCACTGTCCCTCTCTTTTCAGTTTCGGAGGAGCCAGAATGCTCAACTGCTCCCCTTCAGACCCACTTGGTGGTTTCCGGAACTAGGGTACCTTATTGAGGTCCCTATTATAAGGGAATCCTACTATTTGGGGGTCTGTTTTAGGGGTCCCCCATTCTCGTAAACCCCCACTTAAGGAGTGGGGGCATCCGTCACTCTAGCAGCGATAAACGCTGATAGTTGAGAGCGAGGAAACCACATCTCAATCCTTTTCCGGTGTAAGGAGATTTGGAAGAATCAGCCAATTCCACGCCCGGAACAAGCGCCATGATTGCTTTTCAGCTCTGCTGCTGAAAATAGCACGACCAGTTTTTTCTTAAATCGAAGCTCCAAACACACGAGAATGTTGCAAAAGTCACGGGTACGCAGTGCGCCGGAGGACACTGCATCTAATCTGCTTCCCTTCAATGCAAACATCAAAGAGCTGGCTTCGAGGTTGCGCAATGGAGTACAAAATAGGCACAGGTGTGTTGAACGATGCCCAACCCCAACTCCTAACCCCGACAGAGCATACTCCTGAAGCATATCTCAAGTCACCTGCCCCCGAAAAGAAGCTACATGGGATTCGACAGCTTTAGAAACTTGGAAATATATTTGGCGTGCCTGCAGGGGAAGGTAGCGCTGATCCAGACTGCTGGAAGAACTTCCTTCAGCGGCAAGCTCTGACACCAGCACACTGAATCATGTTTCGTTAGTAGTTGGCAAACGGCTGGTTAAACACCGCAGTACAACACCACATTTCTCGACTTTCGGCTGGTTGTTGGGGTCTCTTCGGGGTTTCGGGTCAGCCTGGAAGGTTTCCTCTCCTGGGTCTTGGCTTCTGGACATGGGTTGGCCGTTCGAGGGGCTGCATTGGGGATCCAGAGTTGGGGTTTGGCGTTGCCTGTTGCAGGGTGAAGAACTTGGCTGAGGTCGCCACTATTCGGCCGTTTGAGGGCCGGCCATTCTGTCAGCAAACATCATCTCTACTTCTTAGGAGGTTTCAGTTCCTGGCAGCTTGGATCTGCCATTGCCATCAATGAGGTGGCACGTGCGAAGCATTGTTGTTGCTCCTGCTGCGTTGGTTTCGTGAAGCTCCGTGGCCCTCTCTGCCCCGCTTCTGCTTTCAGTTTGGTCGATCTGGACAAGGACAAGAGGTTAAGGATCTATACGTCAGGGCTTCGAGTTGAGGCTTCAAACTTTTGGCTGGAGCTTTGCAGGCTTTCGAGGAAGGCTCTTCAGCTTGGTCAAAGGCTGTGGAAGCTCTTGCATGTTTCCGGATGGCCAAGCATGGCCGCATCTGCGGAAGCTCCGGGGGCTAACGATTGAAACCTGTGATTGGTTTTGTTGACACGCCCATGCTTGCAAGCCTCCAGGGCCACAAGTGCACTGGCCCCCCTGATTCGGCCAGTTCAGCCTGAAGGATGTGCCAGGCACTTGTTGGTCCTGAAGGGACGAGGAACCTCAATAATGAGATCTCCACACCTCACCCCGAGAAGTTCTGCTCGGTAGCGTGACGACACACTGAGGCCGGAAGAAGGAGTTTCGGCAAGTTGATACGCAAAGGTTTTCAAAGCCAACTCTCTAAAACAGCGAACCCTCGAAATGACTTAAAATGATCCTTTCCATCCTGCAGGAATCTGCCACCTAGTCTTTGCTGAGGCTCCGGTACTGTCGAATTGCACCAGTGCTGCTTCGGATACTGTCGTAATCTCCACACTCAGCGAGCACCTCAGCTTGGAGGCCGGGTTGACAGCGCGTGAAAGCGAGCACACACACCCAACATATCATGATCGCTTGAGGACACAGTGTGCTCCCTGATGCTTCAGGGAGCATATGGTTGGCATTGGGGAATGTCCCTCCGGGCCCAGGGCGTGGTCCGCAGCATCTGCGCACCCCTTGCTCTCCACCTGAGCCGCAGACAGTACAGTAGATGATCTGGTTGAATTTGGCTGTTCTGGTTTGCAATATTGCTCATGTTCTGGTCTGTAGTAATGCGGTGAACTCTAAATAATATGCATTCCAAAGAATTTGCCCCCAGTTTGGATGCCCCTGGCGCACACGCCTTGACGAGATCCGTCGAAGGGCCCTTCCACTCCCTTGAGCGAAGTTTTCCAGGGCTTCGATTGGCTTTGGCCTGTTCTGGTTTGAGAGTTTGGACTTTTAACCTGGGCTTTCACGGCTTTTCAGGTTCTAGGGGCTCTTCCAGCGTTTACTGCCCAAACCTTCCAGCAGCAGACTTTCACCAATCACCCTAGCCCTAGCAGCCAAGGCAGATGCGCAATCGTGGACAAGGAACGGGCACTGGTCTCTGGTCGAGTATTCAGCATCCCCATGTCCGAACACCACACAGGCTTAACGGTTTAACAGAATGTCTGCCTGATCCTGAAAAAGCAGGTTCAAGCTGGCAGGTCATGCAGGGTGCATGTAAGCTTCGAGCAACATCGTGAACCTCCTGCATCGTTGCAAGGTCCAATCGGCAGTTTCGCACCTTGAGCTCTGGCTTTGCTTTCGTGAGCATGCAGGAGCTTCCCAAATCAAGCTAGGGAGCGAAAGCGCCCGCTTCCGTGTAACAGCGCGTCACCTTATTTCATGGTTTGGCGACTTGCTGGCCGAAATCGTTCTTGCATGCGACAGGAACCGAGTAAGGCGCTCGTTCGCAAAAGCCATCCAGCCTGTCCTCCGGAAGCGGAAGAGTCGCAACATGCAACCCGGCATACACACTGGTACTTGCATGTACTAGAACCCTTTACTAAGAGATCCCTTCCGCCGGGTCCAGAAGCGACAACTCGCAACTGCTGTGGTCATTCACGAGGTCCGTCACGTGATATTCGTCGCTACAGTATCCTAAGCGTTTCAGCTCTTCCTCTTTAGACCTACAGACTGATTGCGTGGCTACTGGATCTTGCTTGCTGAGCACAACAGTTCACCCGTATCCGTGTTGCGTCCAGGCTTCGATCGTAGTAGAAGAAGACAGGTGCCAACCAACCTCAGACAGTCGACTCGTCGCCTTTTGAGGGCTCTTGAAGATTCTTGAAGGGCGCGAGAAGCAAAATCTTTGAAGAAACGAGCCGCTGGTGTCCAGGGCATAGGTTCGGCCACACATGATCTGGGCGGTCCTCACTTCCAGAATCTCTCACGAAGCATCTCTCTTGACGCTCTACCGGTCTGCCTGGCTGCAGCCACACACGTAGATTTGCCGCATGTGTATTTCTTCAGCTCATCGATGCTCATTGTTGAAACGAAAAGGACCTGAGCTGGCTCATATGCTAGACTGCCGACTACCCCTCATTCCGGCGTTGCAACTCTCTTTCCGGCATTGTCTCAGGCAAGGAACTCGACAGTCGCTATGGACGACTGCCATGTGATTCCAGCAGAAATCGGCTCTTGCGCAGTCCTCACAAAGCAACCCATTGCGACATCAGCCCCATTGATGGCTGAGTGCTCAGTCGGCCGCAACCCTCTGTGACCCCAGGACAAGCCCTTTCATTCCATATACAAAGGATACTTCTTGAACTCAGGCTCCACAGATGAATTTGCCGAGCCATCTTGACATTGCTCGTAATCCTGTACCTCAGCCGCGTGCAGCTTAAGCAGCTTGTCGGCCACTTCAGAGGAATTTGCTGCCCACATGTCTCTCCACGCGTGCCACGGCGACATATGCATATGCGACGCAAAGGTTAGTGTGCTACCGGTCAGTACGCCGTTGTGAGCAAACACAACATGTATGCGCAAAGACATGCCGAGATGTGCCAGCCGTGATGCCAAGAGATTGGACCTCGTCGGCGGCATCGGATAATTGCGGAAAACCCTGGCTGACGCTGGCACGAGGTCCACTACGCGATCCGCGTCTGTCGCCTCAGGCAACTCAGCCGGTGCTGGGCTAAAGGCCGGTGTGTCGGCTCCAAACCAAAACTAGGCCCTGTCTGGCTCGTTTGGAGCAGGATATCCGTATGCGATCACTTCTGTTGCTGGGAGGGGAGGGTGGGGCGTGGGGCTGGGAGCGGAGAAGTTTGGGGAGGGGGGCGACCTCGTCCGTTCACGTCTGCATCCATGCCAAACCCATGATGACGCATGATGACGTCCAACCCTCGACCAAACTGACTTCGTCATGACGGCTATTCTACTCCGCACTCCTTTCCGTTCTTCGTTTGTATCAGTGCCTCAGATGAAGTAGCCACACAACGACGAAATTCCATTCCGATTACACAAGGAATCTGCATCTCTCCCGTATTTCCGTACATTTCACGTTGAGCAAACATGCTATGAGCAAACCAACTACTGTAACTTCTGCAGGACACGTTGCCGCCTAGGTGTTCGCGGATGCATCGTGGCTGGAGCCGCCGGAAGCGTGAAAGAAAACAAGCTACTCAGCTATTCTTTGACACTGCTCTCAGATGCTTTCAGCACTTGCAACAAGCTACGCTTGACTGGAAACAATCCGTGCGGAGCATCGCTAAAGTTTGCTTTGTCACGCCGCCAGCCACGAAAGGGCACGGAGTCCTCTAAGCTCTAAACCGCGGCAGACAAAACGTGGTGACTAAGCTGAGGTGCCCCATAGAAGAAGCTCGCCGACTTCGTCTCACCCAAGGAGAACTTTCCAAAGGGCACCTCAGAAGCAACGTAAAGACCCCTCATTTTGGCACACGACCCCCACACTCACAAACCACATCCAGGCTCTGTGAGTCCCGTAACCACAGAACTGGCTGCAGCAACGCTCACATAGATGCCATATGCGCCATCGGCGACCGATGTTCTCGCTGCGGAAGAGGTGAGCGCCTTTTGTGGTTGAGGCACCGCTCCATGCTGTGATCGCAACACCATGCGAGTGACATGTGTGAAAAAGTCTCTCACTGCAAACGGAGAAACGTCTACGTCCTGCCAGCGCCCGGAGTGCTCCACAATGATAGCGTGGCTGTCAGGGTGGTTCGAGAAGAAGAACATCGTGTCCCCTCCTGAGCGCAATGCTCTAGGCCCTTTTGATCCCTTTTGGCACTGGCCTGGACAGGATCTCTCTGCAAAGATCGAGGGCCGGACTGGATCGAAGCCGCAACACTTGTGCTGTTGGCATCGGAATAAACTCATCCCCGTGAAAAGCACCTAGGAGAGCAGGCGGAAACCGGAAACCGCCCCCGGGGTTGCGAAGCATCGTGCAGAGAACTTGCCGAAAGGGGCAAACGAGCCACCTTGTTCCTTCGTGGGCCGGTCATTGTCCCCAAGCCAGTCATTGGACGTTCCCATCCACACCTGCGGCATCCAAACTTTGTGGCTCAATTCGTAGCTCAACAAATTGCCTGAGTCGCTGCCAGCTCACAATCGTTCGGTCCCTTGAAGCAGTCCATCATCCCATCATTTCGACACGTCCCTTGCCTGTAGGTTTGGGATATCGGCCAGCGCGGCAATAGTGAACTGGGCACGGAAGACAAGGCCGTCTTCCAGGAACGTGTATCTCCCTGAGCCCAGACACACATGCTTAGCCAATGCTTACTCAGATGTCATCAGCGTCAGGGTACGCTATGGCATGTTGCACTTCTAAAGCCAGGCGACGTGTCAGAACTGCCTCAGGCACAACACCGAATGTACTGCAAATGTACTACAAGTACGAGTAGTGCTCCTAGTTCTCCTGGAGTGGCTTCGAAGGTCGTCTACTCGGCCAAGGTACTACATCAGTTCCGTCCAACGACAATGACGAAACGGCTGTGGCATAGGTCGAGTTGCTGAAATACACTTCATGTGGATCACCTGAGCTTGGTGTAAAGGACAGGTGCAAAGCAGACAACTTTAGCCTTCACAGTTCTGGGGGGGGGCCGTGAGAGCCTTGGATGCGCTAACAGGCCGCAGGGCAACCGACACGAAAACCGGCAGAAACTGGCGCATTCCTACATCCTGTGACATTGATTCAACTTCCAAGAGAAGCGGCATTTATGGAGCTACTCAGCAAGCTTGTGGCGACTTCGACATGCAAGGAACAAGCATTGCGGATGTCTCTAACATGTGCGTTTGGCGCGAGTGTCCTGGGATTCCAAGAGCCCGGCTGTTGTAGTCCACCGGTCTGCCATTCACCTTGCAGAGCTGATCGACATTCTCGATTCGTTTTACATGTAGGAAAGCGCAATTGTGACAGATCCAGGCAAGATCAGGCAAGGCAAGCCTTTACGGTGCATTCCATGTTCTGATGGTCGTTAGTCAGCTTCGTCCAGTCCATGAGTGCAGAATGGTAAAGGGGATCGCCAAGACCTGACGAGTTCTCCACGACCGGGTCACAGAGCTCTTAAAAAATGATCGTCTAGCCCTGTCCATGCCTCCTTCTGTGAGAAGGTCAAACTGCATCGTCGAGGATTTCAGGATCTAGGACAGAAACCCTCGTGTACGTTGTCATCAGCTTGCTTGCACCAACCCCCGACTGCGCACACCGCACTATACGGCACTGAGCACTGAGCGTGTTCCACTTCGGCTGGTTCTGGTGTGGTCGTGGTGTCGGCATCTCGGGATGCGCACACAGTGCACATGGGCTGCAACGCCGAGTGAGTGACTTCGGCCATCGCTGCCTTGTTGTGAAGCTTGGCTGGCATGCATGAGCAGCTCCCCCAATCGATCGGCATCGGCGGCCTGCAGCCCGCTTCTGGTAGTCGAAGCACGACAACAAATATCTGACAGCACAAGCCGCAAGTGCACCGCCCATCTGGCTGCAGCGCGAGGGGCGGCATAGTAGATGCTGGCCGACTTGCTCTCCCCAGCGGCGAGTGCGCCAAATGGCACCTGGAGCACCGGGCAGCATCGCACAGCACGGCGAAGACCAAGGACATGCAAAGACACGGGCACTGGGATCCGGACGTAGATGCCATAGGCTCCATCGGAAGTTGAACTATGGAGCTCCGATTCTGTCGCGCCCTTGAAAGCAAGGGAGCTAGGAGGTCTCCTTGCTGCTCGTTGCTGAGGCTTCCGCTATCACGTCGTCCCACTGGCCATAGTGGGACTCTATAATAGCGTGGCTGTCGGGGTGAGTCGAGTACACGAAGACGTCCTCCTCACCTCGTGTCACACGCATCTCGCTGCTTTTCACAGTCACATGCGAGGGGGACACAACTGATAATCCTCCAGCCCACTTTGCGTCCGGCACCTGATTGCACTCGCAAGATGCGGCCATGGGGAGCTGGAACGAAGTCGCCTCCTTGAAAGACACCTGCTGACTGCATGAATACACAAGAAAAGGCCACTGATCGGCTGATCTGTGCGGTGATGTGAACCCCCCGCATCGGCCCGAGCCCGACCTTGGACCTTCGTGGGCCGATCCGATGTCCCAATCCAGTCATCGGAAGTCCCCAACCACACCTGCCGGCTGCAGTCTCGATTGATCTTGCTTCTTCTGCGATGCGCTTCAGCCCCTGGGACAAACCCGCGCAGCCCGCGCCACACGCGCCGCCCGTGCCATGCCCACCCAGGCCTGCGCGCTGGATACTGGCTGCAAGGCCCGGAGCTTGAAGTTGGCCTTGAAGACCATGCCATCACCAAGGAAGCTGTAAGTTCCTGGGCGAACAAACCCCCCTCGAAACCGATACGGAATGACACGGACCAGTTTGATTGCTTCGGGCAACTCATGCACAGCCCAATCACGGCACATCTCATCGAGTCCAAGCTAGTCCAAGCTTCTAGTGAGTTGCACCTGGCACGGCTCGACATGCAGCTGCACACTCACGGCTGCTTGCTCTCATTGTGACATACGGCTCACATGCGACATGCCAAGATGTCAAGGCACCTTGGGCATCCCAGACACGGTTAAGGCACCGCTGGCTCTGGCGTAGGTCGAGTTCTTGTAGTCGAGCGCTACATCGCCTCAGAAGGCTAACTAGCCGCAACTTGCGCCTGGAAACACTCCGGCTCCCCAAACTGATGCACCTGTCGAGGGCTCTTTGCTGATCCTTTCTGAGGCCTGTACGACCGATGTCCGTCAAGTGTCCATCCACCTGCGGATGACTCTCACCCACAGCAGATGGCAGCCTTTCCACACTCCGCAATCACACCTTGACGCTGCAGTCCAGGTTCTGCTTGTTGTATGTCAGCTTCGTCCACCCACGTCTGCTGGACTTGTAGAACGGCTGCCCGAGGCCTGGAGCAAAGTATTTGTTGTTCAGGCTTTCTTCGGGCAAGCATGGTCCAAGCGCTTGGTCTCGCCTCCGCTCGGGAGGAACCCCAGTTTAAGGGCCTGCGTCTGCAGCACCTGGACAAGTCTGTCATGCTGGTGCGCATTGCGGTCTGCAACCCCAGGACAAGCAGCGCCTGGAGGATCGTGGTGGTCGTGGTGGTCGTAATGGGCGCGGCCGTGGTGGGTAAAGACGTGGTGCTTACAACGTCTGCAGGCAGGGACGGCCGGAACGTGGAGGCATGATGGCTAAAACCCCTCAGCCCTTTCCAGGCCTGCGTTGTGTGCGGCCTCCGCTTGGTGGAGGAGCTCTGCCAAGTTGTCAGCATCGGCTGCCTCGTGGCTGCACATGGCTGCACGGTGACATTGTAAGGTTTGCGTCGCTCGTCTGGCTGCAGCGCGAGGGGCGGCATAGTAGATGCTGGCCGACTTGCTCTCCCCAGCGGCGAGTGCGCCAAATGGCACCTGGAGCACCGGGCAGCATCGCACAGCACGGCGAAGACCAAGGACATGCAAAGACACGGGCACTGGGATCCGGACGTAGATGCCATAGGCTCCATCGGAAGTTGAACTATGGAGCTCCGATTCTGTCGCGCCCTTGAAAGCAAGGGAGCTAGGAGGTCTCCTTGCTGCTCGTTGCTGAGGCTTCCGCTATCACGTCGTCCCACTGGCCATAGTGGGACTCTATAATAGCGTGGCTGTCGGGGTGAGTCGAGTACACGAAGACGTCCTCCTCACCTCGTGTCACACGCGTCTCGCTGCTTTTCACAGTCACATGCGAGGGGGACACAACTGATAATCCTCCAGCCCACTTTGCGTCCGGCACCTGATTGCACTCGCAAGATGCGGCCATGGGGAGCTGGAACGAAGTCGCCTCCTTGAAAGACACCTGCTAACTGCATGAATACACAAGAAAAGGCCACTGATCGGCTGATCTGTGCGGTGATGTGAACCCCCCGCATCGGCCCGAGCCCGACCTTGGACCTTCGTGGGCCGATCCGATGTCCCAATCCAGTCATCGGAAGTCCCCAACCACACCTGCCGGCTGCAGTCTCGATTGATCTTGCTTCTTCTGCGATGCGTGGGACAAACCCGCGCAGCCCGCGCCACACGCGCCGCCCGTGCCGTGCCCACCCAGGCCTGCGCGCTGGATACTGGCTGCAAGGCCCGGAGCTTGAAGTTGGCCTTGAAGACCATGCCATCACCAAGGAAGCTGTAAGTTCCTGGGCGCACAAACCCCCCTCGAAACCGATACGGAATGACACGGACCAGTTTGATTGCTTCGGGCAACTCATGCACAGCCCAATCACGGCACATCTCATCGAGTCCAAGCTAGTCCAAGCTTCTAGTGAGTTGCACCTGGCACGGCTCGACATGCACAGCTGCACACTCACGGCTGCTTGCTCTCATTGTGACATACTGCTCACATGCGACATGCCAAGATGTCAAGGCACCTTGGGCATCCCAGACACGGTTAAGGCACCGCTGGCTCTGGCGTAGGTCGAGTTCTTGTAGTCGAGCGCTACATCGCCTCAGAAGGCTAACTAGCCGCAACTTGCGCCTGGAAACACTCCGGCTCCCCAAACTGATGCACCTGTCGAGGGCTCTTTGCTGATCCTTTCTGAGGCCTGTACGACCGATGTCCGTCAAGTGTCCATCCACCTGCGGATGACTCTCACCCACAGCAGATGGCAGCCTTTCCACACTCCGCAATCACACCTTGACGCTGCAGTCCAGGTTCTGCTTGTTGTATGTCAGCTTCGTCCACCCACGTCTGCTGGACTTGTAGAACGGCTGCCCGAGGCCTGGAGCAAAGTATTTGTTGTTCAGGCTTTCTTCGGGCAAGCATGGTCCAAGCGCTTGGTCTCGCCTCCGCTCGGGAGGAACCCCAGTTTAAGGGCCTGCGTCTGCAGCACCTGGACAAGTCTGTCATGCTGGTGCGCATTGCGGTCTGCAACCCCAGGACAAGCAGCGCCTGGAGGGTCGTGGTGGTTGTGGTGGTTGTAATGGGCGCGGCCGTGGTGGGTAAAGACGTGGTGCTTACAACGTCTGCAGGCAGGGACGGCCGGAACGTGGAGGCATGATGGCTAAAACCCCTCAGCCCTTTCCAGGCCTGCGTTGTGTGCGGCCTCCGCTTGGTGGAGGAGCTCTGCCAAGTTGTCAGCATCGGCTGCCTCGTGGCTGCACATGGCTGCACGGTGACATTGTAAGGTTTGCGTCGCTCGTCTGGCTGCAGCGCGAGGGGCGGCATAGTAGATGCTGGCCGACTTGCTCTCCCCAGCGGCGAGTGCGCCAAATGGCACCTGGAGCACCGGGCAGCATCGCACAGCACGGCGAAGACCAAGGACATGCAAAGACACGGGCACTGGGATCCGGACGTAGATGCCATAGGCTCCATCGGAAGTTGAACTATGGAGCTCCGATTCTGTCGCGCCCTTGAAAGCAAGGGAGCTAGGAGGTCTCCTTGCTGCTCGTTGCTGAGGCTTCCGCTATCACGTCGTCCCACTGGCCATAGTGGGACTCTATGATAGTGTGGCTGTCGGGGTGAGTCGAGTACACGAAGACGTCCTCCTCACCTCGTGGCACACACATCTCGTTTGCTTTTCACAGCCGCATGACAGGGGGACACAACTGATAATCCTCCAGCCCCCATTATGTCCGGCGCCTGATTGCACTCGCAAGATGCGGCCGTGGGGAACTGGAACGAAGTCGCCTCCTTGAAAGACACCTGCTAACTGCATGAATACACAAGAAAAGGCCGCTGATCAGTTGATCTGCGCGGGAATGTGAAGCCCCCGCATCAGCCCGAGCCCTACCTTGGACCTTCGTAGGTCGATCGGATGTCCCAATCCAGTCATCGGAAGTCCCCAACCACACCTGCCGGCTGCAAGCTCGATTGATCTTGCTTCTGCCCCTGGGACAAACACGAACCGCCCGCGCCGCCCGCGCCACCCGAGGCGCCCCCCACCCAGGCCTGCGCACTGGATACCGGCTGCAAGGCCCGGAGCTTGAAGTTGGCCTTGAAGACCATGCCATCACCAAGGAAGCTGTAAGTTCCTGGGCGCACAAACCCCCCTCGAAACCGATACGGAATGACACGGACCAGTTTGATTGCTTCGGGCAACTCATGCACAGCCCAATCACGGCACATCTCATCGAGTCCAAGCTAGTCCAAGCTTCTAGTGAGTTGCACCTGGCAGGGCTTGACATGCAGCTGCACACTCACAGCTGCTTGCTCTCATTGTCACACACTGCTCACATTCACAAGCCGAGATGTCAAGGCACCTTGGGCATCCCAGACACCGTTAAGGCACCGCTGGCTCTGGCGTAGGTCGAGTTCTTGACGTCGAGCGTTACGTCGCCTCAGAAGGCTAACTAGCCGCAACTTGCGCCTGGAAACACTCCGGCTCCCCAAACTGATACACCTGTCAAGGGCTCTTTGCTGATCCTTTCTGAGGCCTGTACGACCGATGTCCGTCAAGTGTCCATCCACCTGCGGATGACTCTCACCCACAGCAGATGGCAGCCTTTCCACACTCCGCAATCACACCTTGACGCTGCAGTCCAGGTTCTGCTTGTTGTATGTCAGCTTCGTCCACCCACGTCTGCTGGACTTGTAGAACGGCTGCCCGAGGCCTGGGGCAAAGTATTTGTTGTTCAGGCTTTCTTCGGGCAAGCATGGTCCAAGCGCTTGGTCTCGCCTCCACTCGGGAGGACCCCCAGTTTCAGGGCCTGCGTCTGCAGCACCTGGACAAGTCTGTCATGCTGGTGCGCATTGCGGTCTGCAACCCCAGGACAAGCAGCGCCTGGAGGGTCGTGGTGGTTGTGGTGGTCGTAATGGGCGCGGCCGTGGTGGGTAAAGACGTGGTGCTTACAACGTCTGCAGGCGGGACGGCCGGAACGTGGAGGCATGATGGCTAAAACCCCTCAGCACTTTCCAGGCCTGCGTTGTGTGCGGCCTCCGCTTGGTGGAGGAGCTCTGCCAAGTTGTCAGCATCGGCTGCCTCGTGGCTGCACATGGCTGCACGGTGACATTGTAAGGTTTGCGTCGCTCGTCTGGCTGCAGCGCGAGGGGCAGCATAGTAGATGCTGGCCGACTTGCTCTCCCCAGCGGCGAGTGCGCCAAATGGCACCTGGAGCACCGGGCAGCATCGCACAGCACGGCGAAGACCAAGGACATGCAAAGACACGGGCACTGGGATCCGGACGTAGATGCCATAGGCTCCATCGGAAGTTGAACTATGGAGCTCCGATTCTGTCGCGCCCTTGAAAGCAAGGGAGCTAGGAGGTCTCCTTGCTGCTCGTTGCTGAGGCTTCCGCTATCACGTCGTCCCACTGGCCATAGTGGGACTCTATGATAGTGTGGCTGTCGGGGTGAGTCGAGTACACGAAGACGTCCTCCTCACCTCGTGGCACACACATCTCGTTTGCTTTTCACAGCCGCATGACAGGGGGACACAACTGATAATCCTCCAGCCCCCATTATGTCCGGCGCCTGATTGCACTCGCAAGATGCGGCCGTGGGGAACTGGAACGAAGTCGCCTCCTTGAAAGACACCTGCTAACTGCATGAATACACAAGAAAAGGCCGCTGATCAGTTGATCTGCGCGGGAATGTGAAGCCCCCGCATCAGCCCGAGCCCTACCTTGGACCTTCGTAGGTCGATCGGATGTCCCAATCCAGTCATCGGAAGTCCCCAACCACACCTGCCGGCTGCAAGCTCGATTGATCTTGCTTCTGCCCCTGGGACAAACACGAACCGCCCGCGCCGCCCGCGCCACCCGAGGCGCCCCCCACCCAGGCCTGCGCACTGGATACCGGCTGCAAGGCCCGGAGCTTGAAGTTGGCCTTGAAGACCATGCCATCACCAAGGAAGCTGTAAGTTCCTGGGCGCACAAACCCCCCTCGAAACCGATACGGAATGACACGGACCAGTTTGATTGCTTCGGGCAACTCATGCACAGCCCAATCACGGCGCATCTCATCGAGTCCAAGCTAGTCCAAGCTTCTGGTGAGTTGCACCTGGCAGGGCTTGACATGCAGCTGCACACGCGGCTGCTTGCTCTCATTGTCACACACTGCTCACATTCACAAGCCGAGATGTCAAGGCACCTTGGGCATCCCAGACACCGTTAAGGCACCGCTGGCTCTGGCGTAGGTCGAGTTCTTGACGTCGAGCGTTACGTCGCCTCAGAAGGCTAACTAGCCGCAACTTGCGCCTGGAAACACTCCGGCTCCCCAAACTGATACACCTGTCAAGGGCTCTTTGCTGATCCTTTCTGAGGCCTGTACGACCGATGTCCGTCAAGTGTCCATCCACCTGCGGATGACTCTCACCCACAGCAGATGGCAGCCTTTCCACACTCCGCAATCACACCTTGACGCTGCAGTCCAGGTTCTGCTTGTTGTATGTCAGCTTCGTCCACCCACGTCTGCTGGACTTGTAGAACGGCTGCCCGAGGCCTGGATCAAAGTATTTGTTGTTCAGGCTTTCTTCGGGCAAGCATGGTCCAAGCGCTTGGTCTCGCCTCCACTCGGGAGGACCCCCAGTTTCAGGGCCTGCGTCTGCAGCACCTGGACAAGTCTGTCATGCTGGTGCGCATTGCGGTCTGCAACCCCAGGACAAGCAGCGCCTGGAGGGTCGTGGTGGTCGTGGCGGTCGTAATGGGCGCGGCCGTGGTGTGTAAAGACGTGGTGCTTACCACGTCTGCAGGCGGGGACGGCCGGAACGTTGAGGCATGATGGCTAAAACCCCTCAGCACTTTCCAGGCCTGCGTTGTGTGCGGCCTCCGCTTGGTGGAGGAGCTCTGCCAAGTTGTCAGCATCGGCTGCCTCGTGGCTGCACATGGCTGCACGGTGACATTGTAAGGTTTGCGTCGCTCGTCTGGCTGCAGCGCGAGGGGCAGCATAGTAGATGCTGGCCGACTTGCTCTCCCCAGCGGCGAGTGCGCCAAATGGCACCTGGAGCACCGGGCAGCATCGCACAGCACGGCGAAGACCAAGGACATGCAAGGACACGGGCACTGGGATCCGGACGTAGATGCCATAGGCTCCATCGGAAGTTGAACTATGGAGCTCCGATTCTGTCGCGCCCTTGAAAGCAAGGGAGCTAGGAGGTCTCCTTGCTGCTCGTTGCTGAGGCTTCCGCTATCACGTCGTCCCACTGGCCATAGTGGGACTCTATGATAGTGTGGCTGTCGGGGTGAGTCGAGTACACGAAGACGTCCTCCTCACCTCGTGGCACACACATCTCGTTTGCTTTTCACAGCCGCATGACAGGGGGACACAACTGATAATCCTCCAGCCCCCATTATGTCCGGCGCCTGATTGCACTCGCAAGATGCGGCCGTGGGGAACTGGAACGAAGTCGCCTCCTTGAAAGACACCTGCTAACTGCATGAATACACAAGAAAAGGCCGCTGATCAGTTGATCTGCGCGGGAATGTGAAGCCCCCGCATCAGCCCGAGCCCTACCTTGGACCTTCGTAGGTCGATCGGATGTCCCAATCCAGTCATCGGAAGTCCCCAACCACACCTGCCGGCTGCAAGCTCGATTGATCTTGCTTCTGCCCCTGGGACAAACACGAACCGCCCGCGCCGCCCGCGCCACCCGAGGCGCCCCCCACCCAGGCCTGCGCACTGGATACCGGCTGCAAGGCCCGGAGCTTGAAGTTGGCCTTGAAGACCATGCCATCACCAAGGAAGCTGTAAGTTCCTGGGCGCACAAACCCCCCTCGAAACCGATACGGAATGACACGGACCAGTTTGATTGCTTCGGGCAACTCATGCACAGCCCAATCACGGCGCATCTCATCGAGTCCAAGCTAGTCCAAGCTTCTGGTGAGTTGCACCTGGCAGGGCTTGACATGCAGCTGCACACGCGGCTGCTTGCTCTCATTGTCACACACTGCTCACATTCACAAGCCGAGATGTCAAGGCACCTTGGGCATCCCAGACACCGTTAAGGCACCGCTGGCTCTGGCGTAGGTCGAGTTCTTGACGTCGAGCGTTACGTCGCCTCAGAAGGCTAACTAGCCGCAACTTGCGCCTGGAAACACTCCGGCTCCCCAAACTGATACACCTGTCAAGGGCTCTTTGCTGATCCTTTCTGAGGCCTGTACGACCGATGTCCGTCAAGTGTCCATCCACCTGCGGATGACTCTCACCCACAGCAGATGGCAGCCTTTCCACACTCCGCAATCACACCTTGACGCTGCAGTCCAGGTTCTGCTTGTTGTATGTCAGCTTCGTCCACCCACGTCTGCTGGACTTGTAGAACGGCTGCCCGAGGCCTGGGGCAAAGTATTTGTTGTTCAGGCTTTCTTCGGGCAAGCATGGTCCAAGCGCTTGGTCTCGCCTCCACTCGGGAGGACCCCCAGTTTCAGGGCCTGCGTCTGCAGTACCTGGACAAGTCTGTCATGCTGGTGCGCATTGCGGTCTGCAACCCCAGGACAAGCAGCGCCTGGAGGGTCGTGGTGGTCGTGGTGGTCGTAATGGGCGCGGCCGTGGTGTGTAAAGACGTGGTGCTTGCAACGTCTGCAGGCGGGGACCGTCGGAATTTGGAGACATGCTGGGCATGTCTCCTCAGCACTGTTCCAGGCCTGCCCTGTGTGCGGCCTCCGCTTGGTGGAGGAGCTCTGCCAAGTGGGCACCATCGGCAGCCTCAGAGGCGAATAAAGCCTTGCAAACCTCCCCACATGCGGAGACAGAGTGGGACTGCTAGACAGAGCATGATACGAGTCGATTTCCAAGCGACCGCAAAGAAAATACTCACTGACTTGCTCTCGCCCGCGCCAAAAGATCCCACGGGCACCTGAGGATGTGGACGTGGAATCACATCCCATTCCACGTGCTTCTCTCACCCTCACTAAGGCTCCAGCATAAACACCATATGCCCCATCAGATTGGGAAGAGTGCAAATCTGACGCCGTCACTCCCTGCGCAAGCAAGCTTTTTGGTAGCTCTCCAGTGACTGCAGATCTTTTCAATCTGCAAGCTTCTGCTCAACGCAGCGCACCCCAAGGCATATACAATGCAACTCCAGGTTGAAACTAGCCTGGGACCAACTTAGACCAATAAACGACTGAGGCTTGGGCAACCAAGTCATTCCAATGGCCGTAGTGGGAGAGGATGAGGGCATGACTTTCAGGGTGAGTTGAGAAGAAGAAGACATCTTCATCACCTCAGTCGAACAATTGACTGTTTGTGCTTCATTGCTGAGCAACATCCTTCTTTCTTTGTGCGTTTTGCTGCGGTGCAGAAAATCGGGCAGTACTTCGGTGCCCCTGGCCGGTGCTATCACCTGACCCAGACCAATACAGACCCCTGACGCTCTCAAACGGGAGCCCGACATGGCCTCGACTTGCAGCTTCTGTTCGTCAAACTTGTGCATTTACAGGACCCCAGCCCCAGCCACCCGAAGGGTCATTAAGCTGGGATGGCTAAAGCTATGGCATTGACGCATGCGCACCCTTCTCTTCCATCCGTTTAGCTTGTCGTCCATAGGGAAGGCTTTGCTAGCAGGCTTGCCCGAAAAAATCCTGGGTTTCATTCCGACCTTGATTTTTGAAAGGTTCCGATAGCAGTTGGCGACGCTTTGGTGCCTGGGACCATTTGATGCATGGAACGCCCCGTGACGATAACCCAAAGCGATGCTCCCAAACGCTGAGGGGCAACGCCGCCGCCTCATCCTCCTACTCCTGCACTCCGGATCCTCTTACGCCTATATGCTCCCTCCGTGTAGGACATGCGAATTGAGCTTTGAGTTTGCGCAGGTGTGGCCTTGGAAACAACCAGTCCCGAACCGTGACAAAACGCACGCTCAGGTTGTCCAACCCCAGCTCTCGTGAAACCATGGCAACCAGCTAAGTGCCACGCCCGAGAAGACGTGCAGAACATTCCCATGCGGTACGGAGGCAAATGCGCCCATACGGAATGCACCTGAGCAGGAAACACACATGTTCTCAAACTTTCAAGCATTGCACGGCATGCACGGCAACGCATTCACGGCCTTGCTCCTTTGTCGGCGTGTCGGTCGTGCCGATCCAATCATCTGATGTGCCCATCCAAATCTGACATGCTGCGCGAGACTGAAACTGCAGTAAAGATGTGGATTTCCGGATTTCCGTTGCTGCACACAGCCAAAGGCGAAGAGTTTGAAGCCACACAGCGCATCTCGTGTCAGCGAGAACCCGCCTGAACACTCGACAGGGAACCCAAAGCTTTGATGCGGAATTCGGATCTGAAGACCGTCTCGGCCGGAAAGCTAAAGATTCCTCGGCTGTCTGATACCCACAAAGTGGGTAGCTATGCGGAGAAATGTCCAAACATGGAATTTGGCTATGTCAGCAAAGCAACGCTTCAGTGATGCCTGAGCATGCTCTTGTAACTTCTGAGGCCTGCCTAAACGAATAATTGCCCACAACATCCGATCTCTGGGCTGCACTGCACGCTCTCTCATGGCACACAAAGTTGCACCAATGAGGTTAGGTACGCATTAGACTGCCTCATGACTTTGCCAGGCAGTCACAACCAGTCAAGCCACACGAGCAACGTCATCAACCATGAGGACAGATGACACCTCCGCGTAAGTGGCATTGTGGAAGTTGTTCGACGTGCGACCTCAGCAGTCGGAATCACGACAAATGGGCACGACTTGAACTCCGCATGGCCGTGCCTATTCGAGCAAGCTGACCATCAACCTGGTCGTGACATCTGCCCAAAGGTCGGGGTTTGGCCTAACCTTGTTTAGTCGTTTAGTTGGGTAACATGATGACTCTTTCAGGCGATTGGTGCACAGGCTCTTGCCATTCGGCGCGCAAACTAACCCCTCACCCTCTTGAACTTTTGGCAGTCTTCCACCATCCCTTCACCACCCGCATGACCACAGTATGCCCCAACGCCGGAGGCCATCGCATGCCCCGGCAGAGCTGTTTGCCAAATGTTTCCCTGCGCATTGGGATCGCTGAACACCGCCGCACGCGGCCATCTTCTGGTGTTCCACCCCCTCTTCTGTCATGTCGTTCCAGCTGCTGTCGAGGAAAACTAGGTCCAGGCCCGACACAGGCCAGCGCGATTCCAAGAAAGCCAAGGAGGCGAAATGGACAGCTGAGATTGCAACTGCTTCCAGCTGACATGCAGGACAGCAGTTGAGTTGCCAGCCCATGCGCAGAAAAAATTCTGCTTGCTACAATGCGTAGTGAGTGGGATGCTGGAAAATGCTCGCTCCGGATACTCATCATCTGCCAAGAACGAACAGAGAACCCAGAATGGAATGTCTTTTTGGGACCTCGACAAGCAAGTATGGGAAGGAAAGACCACAAGACCATCAAAGCGACATCACAGGACTGTACCGATCTGCACATCCACACGCAGCGCACAACCACAGCCAAAAGTGTCCAGCAAGGCTGGTCGGTTTGCAAGAAACTTGGTCATGAGGGCACCCCTTCGAGCACCCCGCATGGGAGCACCCTAAACCCTTCGCAACCAGCAAATCTGCATCTCCTGCCTTGAATGCCAGATCCATGGGGTCGTCGTCGTACGTAAGCTTCGTCCAGCCACGAGCAGACCGGTAGAATGGCTGTTGAAGACCTAATTTTTGAACCCCGCAACACCAAACAAAAAAAAAAGCAGTCAGGAGCTTCGCTGCGCAGGCCGAGGCGCCTCCATCTTTTCGCAGTGAACTCTTCGTACCGGGACCTATTCGTAAGTGTTCTGAAGCCAACACCTCAAGGATGCTCCAGGGTTGCTCTCAGATTGCTCTCAGGTTGCTGTCCATCTCTCCCTCGTCTCTCATACTTCGGCTTTTGGAGGCAGCGACACGTTCACACATGCTCAGATATACTCCCAGCACTCTTGGCACGCGGCGTCCTCTGCATAGCTGAGACCATGCAGGCAGCAAAGTGCCCAAATTGCCAGGCCCATGAACCGGCCTGAGTCAAAGCAAGAGTCAAGAGGAGTCAAAAGCGAACCATGTCGAATATGGCACATGGCGACAAACCCTCCTCTTTCCGCACTTTTCGTATGACATGCTGAGGCGTCGAGGTAGGGGGGGGAGGTCTCTGCGACTTCTTGTGGCCGGAAGCCGGCACAACCGGGCGACCCTTCATAGCCCTTGCCACCGCCAGTATGCAAGCATCGGACAATACTGGGTAAAGCAAAACAATCGCAGAGCTCTTCCGAGCATTCGGCACAGATTGCAAGGAAAAGGAGCGCGGCTACTTTGAGCCGACACTGCACCGTTAGCTGTTCCTCGATGTTCCTCTTCTGCAACTCTCACTCTTTAGCTGCAGGAGACTTCACAATGCAGACATGGGGTGGGGGGGTTGAGGTTTGACATGGTTTGACGTTTCGGGGTATGGGGTGCCGATAACATGTTGTACTGAATGCTGTACTTGAGCCTGCAACTTCCACATCCTGGCGACTCAATCGCGCACTTCCATGCCACAAGTGCTTCGATCTCACGTGGTTCCATGAAGAAGTGAGAGGCACATGGAAAGGCCCATCGGTTGATGTGGATCTGTCATTGGCCTGACTGCAACCGTGGCTCTTGCATTCGTACATCTCCACTGCATCCCCGCCAACTCACTTCCGTCCGAAGGTACAGCAGCCAGGCCTTTGCTGTCTCGGTAGGGCCTTAGCCGGAGCAACCACTGATCCTAACAACGCACGGACCATCAAATTCAGATGACCGGTCTGTCACACAATTGAACCTGCATTGCATATCAGGACCGCACACCGGTCTGAAGCCGAAGCGCCTGAGAATCACCAACAAACTGTAATGAACGGATGCACCATGTCTTGAACTCTACCTTCTCATGGAGCAACTTCGAGTCCATGCATACCAGCGTGCAACTCGGTTCAACGTGCTGTGGGCCTTCTGCGGAGCTTGCGACATAGCTCCACAAGTAGCGGGTCAGTCTGCGGATGTAGGGAGGAAGGAGGTGTTTGTTCATATGGGCCTGTTTTTGGAAACGCGACTGGGATGCTCATGGCTCAAGGTGTTGTAGTCCTGGAACCGAAAAGCTGCTGACACAAGCCGCGCTTCCAACTCCATCTCGATACCGCTCGCTTCATTCTAGCTTGCTCGATACACCCATTCCGCATGGTCGGACCGTTTTCTTGCCCGAGACGAAGGTCAGTGCTGTCTACGGGGACTGCTTGCGGTCGGCCTGGAACACCGAAACACAAGCATCTCTGCTCTTTCTCACAGAAGAAGCAAAACATCCGATGCCGTTGCCCGGCAGTGCGCTCGGTCTGCTCGTGTCGTCTCCTTACGACCGCCATCCATTTTTCCCTGCTTTGCCCCATTCTGCCCCGAAACAGTCAAAGTGGCTTCCGAGGCACGCGACGCCCCTCCTCAGCCAGTTTCCCCTGCCCTCGACCGAAAAAGTCAAACTGGCTTCTTGCGCACATGACGCCGCTACTCAGCCACTTATCCCTGCCCTCCCCCCTCCGGGGCCATTACATTGATTGATTGATTGATTGATTGATTGATTGATTGATTGATTGATTGATTGCCTGTTCCACTGCTCAGATACAGCATAGTACCCGTGCAGCCACACAATATTGCGCCGTGTCCGCCAGCAACCCAAGTTTGCTCAACAATGGACGAACAAACGCAAACTTCCCGACAAGGCATGATGGCACTCCTTTTTGCCCTTGCAAAAATGTCTCTGGGAGCTTGGTTGCTCGACCTGCACTCAGCCTCAGCACTTCCAGATCAGTGCAGGCCGAGACAATCTCCCCGCGCAATCTGCGGTCTTTCGAGGCATCAACGCCTTGCTGTCTTTTGGAAAGATGCATCGCTGCGTAAACCGCCTAGCTGATCATGAAGGCAAAAGGCTTTCCAAAGAACAACGCTAAATATGCGCGGCCTTGCCGCACCTGAGATTTCATTTCAGGGCAGCAGACCCCGTACACAGCGACTGCAACCATTGCAGCTCTGCATGGAAATACGACGGCAAAAATCAACTCTCCTCAAAATCCTGACAGGAATTCGCACCTCCCAGCAGCTGAGCAGAGGCTCACACATCTAGCCGCTCTAGCCACCTCCGGGGAGCTACAAGTCAAGCCTGAAATCTTAAGATTGAGCTTGTTTCAAGCAGGCGCAAGAGATCTTCATCTGAACATGTTGCAGTCTGGACATTCCTGCGCTGTCTGAACATGCTCACGCAGCTGTGAACCGCATCAGGTAAGAAGTCTTTGGGCTGGACGACCGGACGTCCGGCCATTGAGGATGAGGACATCCCATCATCTTCGATGACATATTTTGTTGTATTTTGTTGAGGTCTCTCTGGACCGCTTCTCTGGACCGCTGTGCAAGTCATGCTCAGTCCCAGCCATCATCCATGCCCATGCCACCCATTCCACCCATTCCACCCATGCCGCCTGGGCCACCACCACCTGCCGTGTTCACAGAAAGACAGCAGCTTGGCAGAAATGCGCATGGGCTTCTCACCTGCTGGCTTCTCTTCGGGGATCTCTGTCACGAGGCACTCTGTAGTTGTCATCAGCGAGGCCACCTGCCCCACACAAAGTTACTTCGAAGACTTTGAAAGCGCCGGTGATGTCTCGGAGAGAGAGCAGACTCTAGGCTTGGCACCGATGCAGCGTCAGCAAGAGCGCATCTCACCACCTTCGTTGGGTCCTGAGTTGGACGTCGTGGGGAGGCCCTGGGGCTGTTCCGGGGCCCGTGGCTCTCAAGCGCAACCCGGTTTGAGGGAGGCATTGTGACGTTTACTTTTACTCACACTCGGCTCCAGTGCCGAATTTCTTGAAGGGCCAACAGAGCCAAGCTCTACGTGGTCAGCAGCTGAGTCGAGACATGACGAGAGCATCAGTTAATGTACTTGCACCAGTGGCAATACATGTGCCGATGCACGCGGGAGAGGCAGAAAGCATGACTGAGCCACGTGCTATGATGCCGTTGGCAATCATGTCGACGTACCTCATGATCTTGCGAATTAGAGTCACTTCTCTGCTGAAGCTTTTTCGGCTTTCAGCGCTGGTGAAGGCGGGGCTGCGCACTGTCCGGTCTGCGCATTGTACCCAAGCCTGAAAACCAAGAGCTGACGAAGCTGCACAGCGTTATGTTAGTTTAGCAAAGCCTCCACCAGGCAACGACAAACCTTCTGGCTGAGGCCCAGGCTTTTCATCGCTCTGCTTTAGCAAGTACTCCACCACCACGGCTCCTCCACGGGCCAGAGGTAAGCCATGGGAAATCGCTACAGCATAACACGCTGCAAAAAGGATCACGCGTTTCACCGGAAGACATGCCAAAAAAAAAACACAGGTAAGGATTCTCGCAAGTCTGAATGTGCTATAAGCTAGGGCGATGGGAGGAACAATTTCAAGAGAATGCACCTGTGAAGCGATAGCCTCAAACTAGACGAGACCATGACGGTGGCAGACTTTGGCCTGGTGCATAATCATGAGAGCACAGCAAGCAGACGAGATACGTAGAACATAACAAGGCCATGTACCAGAACGAGCAGTAGGAGAAGGGGCAGGTAGGTACGCATGAGCCTGCCCCATCGGCTCTGCCACTGTGAACAGAGAACTGAGAACATGAGCCTGGTTTGAGTATTTTGACTGGTTTTTGGGGAGAGCAAGTCCGCCTTCAGGATTCGGGCATCCATTTCCGTGCTAGACCATGTTGGCACTCGACTTCATCACCGGTTGTCACGGACGTCAATGAGCTCACCAGCGGTGTGCACAGCACTCAAGTGCATCTTTTGCTTTTGAAGTCACCTAGCGTCGTTGATGACGTGCTCAACCCTGTAAAGACAGGTCCCCCACACCCTGAACGAAAGCAACAAAGAACAAATTTGCTCAATCTGAACAAGTAATGCTGTTAACCACGAACATACGACACGAAGAATCATAAAAGCGTGAGTGAGTGAGTGAGTGAGTGAGCATCGACCGAGGCATGCGTCGGGCCGAAGACGCATGCCTGGCCTAACAAATTGGCGACACCTCCAGCGCGAAGGCTTAAAGTGTCAGCCACAACAACACAACGCAACGACAAACAGCAACAGCCAACAGCACGCAACCACGACGCGATGACGAACGAAAAGGCCCAGTTGAGCGTGAGGGCGTGTTTGCTCCAAACAAAGCGACCACTAGGCAGACCCGCCACCTGCACCCATCGAGCAGAGTACTGCCCGGCGGGCCGGCATAAGGGCCAGACAGGTTGCCATCCTCGCGATAACTTCGCTCAGCCAAGCTCTTCCCCCAAAGGTCACCCTTCAGGGTACTAAGCCAAGCAAACACCGTCACCTCCGCTCAGGGCAGTGCACCAGTCGAGTGCCAAAAACGGCGAACACGCTTCTCCACAGATCCCTCTGCAGATACTAAGTGCCCACCCCGACCTGTGCACACCCGGAGCTACTCACATCACGGCCTCATCCACCTCCACCATTTCCAGCACACCAGGGCCCCCTCCAGCAATGGCAAATATTCTGCCATCCCCTTCCAAGCTGGTCTCAAATCAGTGTGCCCTCCGAGGAATCATAAAAGCATAAATGCAAGCTGCGAAAATGTACGGGACTCTGCCTTTACAAAAACGTCGAATGTAGCTCAAGAAGGCCACTGAAAGAACTGGCTCGAACACAACTATATGCACACATGTCTTTATATCTACATATATACTTATATACACAGACATACACACGCAAACCATAGCAAGAGCGCACACACGGGGCCTTGCCTTCCTTGCCTGCATTTTGCACGATGGACATGAGAGGAACCTCGGAACAGAACGAAAATCGGAGCAGGAAAAAGGTGGCAAAATCTTGAGCGCCCTGAAATTCCCTGAAACCTTGCAATACCTTGCGGCTCTGCGACCTGCAAGGCCTGGCGCACGATGTCACGGCCCACGTTGCGGTCGAAGCCCCCGAGCTCCAGGGACTGCAGCAACGCATTTCGCAAAAACACACCTTCTGCAAAAAACACAGCAAGGCGATGCGTCGGAAATTTGGGGCTCAAAGCTCAGCCGCAGAGGGCGCACAACAAGCTTACGAAAAGCTCCTCCAGCTTCTTCGAGGCATACAGGAGGGCAGTCCCTCCACCCGGCCTCGGCCGCTAGCTGCCGCTAGCTCACGCATGGTTCACGTCTCCTTCCGAGACTTCGTCACGTGCCGTCAGCTTCCTCAGCTCCCCGCACGATGCCCTCCTCCACGGCTGCTTTTGTGGCATTCAGCGCGTCGTTCAATCTGTCCTGCACTTTGACAACAATGCATGCGTTCCGCGGAGGAGAAGTCTCTGCTGCGCCTTCACTTCCGACACCTCCACTTCAGATGCGCCGCCAACCTGAGTACAGAAGTGCAAACTCAAGCTACTTTACCGACTTTACCTGCCAGTCTCTTTCCAACTCCCTCAGTGGAATATGTCTTTAGCTCGTATGGCACCTTGATGACAGCCACACCACCGGACAACTTGGCGAGGCGCTCCTTAAGCCTAAGAAGGATGCCCCCACGCTTCAGTTGTTCTCCAACCTGTGCACGATGCCCTGAGCTGAACACTTGTCCTTCTCATACTCTGAAGAAGTAACCTGACAACGTGACGCAGCAGTCAACATGTGGACCACGTGGACCACGTCCATACAACGAAACAAACATCGCGTCCCACGGTAGTCAGTGCATGAGTGACGAGAGCAAAACGTCTTTCCCACTGAACCAAAGATGCAATCGAGCACGCCAGCGGTGTTTGGCGACCCCACGCCGCGACTCCATGTAGTCGGTCTATGTTGGCTGATGCCGCATAATGCTCCGCTGGCCGCAAGCCAGTTTGGAGCTTGAGGCCGGCTTTGGCTTACTTGTCGGGGCTTCATGGCTTGGGATTTGGCCTTCACGCTTTGGCGGTTTGAACGGCTTCGACAACCAGTTGTCAGGAGAGGGTCGGCAGAGATGACTGTTGGCTCTTGGGTTGTAAGATTTCCATCGCAGTCGCCGTGGGAACGGCAGCCGCTGCGACGTGTAGCATGATTCGGCACAGTGGCATCACTGAAATGAAAACCTGTAGCGTGGTGTTGATCGCAAGCCTCTCGCCTGCCCAATGCGATTTCGCACTGAAATTCTCCCCCTAGTGACTCTAGTGAGGCATCGCAAAGCGTCTTCGCCCAATGCGGCTTCACAAAGTAGCTTCGCCGCCTTCCAATCTGTCTTCCTATCGCTTCTTCGAGGTCGCCCTCCTACTCAATACCTCTGGCCCCTGATGCGGCGGCCGCAAATGCAGTGAGCCTGCACTGGGCCGGCGGCCATCAATCCCCCGAACATGCCTTGCGCCCCGGCACATGCGCAAACCAGGTCGAAGGTGGTGGGATACACACGAAAAGGCAAGAACTTGGGGCTGCGAGCCCACTCGTGGGCCTGATGGGCCTACGAATACATTTCTGCTTCGGGTGCAGAAGCATCTCAAGCCGCCGAGAAGCACATCTGCCCTGTGATGTCTGGCGCTGGTCGTTAAGGGAAACATGCTCTCCGGAAGCGTACAAGAAGCATGGGAACCAACGGTTTATACCACCCAACACAGCCCAGGAAGGAATGATCTTTCAGACCGGACGCTGACACATGCACGCGACCGGCAAAAACGTCGGACCCAGGACCTACAAGACACCAATCTTGGTCATCATGGGCTTGAAGTGCCTGCCTCGATGGCCGCCTGGATCTGCTCGCAGCGAGACTGGATATCGGCCTTCAGCGCATCCCTCGACATGATTCTGAGCTTCTTGGCTCACATTCCGCTTTGCTTTTCGCGTCCTTACACTTCAGAGAATGGTGCTCAAGGCCTGTTCGCCAGCACCATCAAGAATGATGGTGTCATCCTGAAAACGTTCTCAGAATGAGCAGCACAGCTTTCATCTCGAGCCTTGAAATGTCTTGGACAGCCAGGACCTTCGTGACTGTGATGGATTTGGCGGTGCCGAGCACAGTCGCATCGAAGGTCTCGTCCAGCTTGCGGCCGGTGTCCTGGCAGGGAACACGAAAAGATTCTCATGGTCGTCACGACTGAGCTGAGCAAATTGGGCGAAGGCCTCACTGATAAGCTCTGCCCCTGTGAGCACAGACAGGTCCTCGCATGGAACGACTGTTCAGATTCAACACGCTGAGAGGCATCTCTTGCAAGAGATTGCAAGCTCGTCTTTGCTTTGGGTCTGGGGTCATACTGCCGCGCGCAGGTGAGAACATCCAGCTGCATTGCACAACGCATGTTCTTAACTCCTCAAACAACGAACCTGAATCCTGCGTACGAAGACTTTGACGAATTTGAATTCTCGACGCAGCCTTTCAGACCCTAGTAGCCTCAGAACATGCAGACCTGCACTCTCAAACCGAGCCTGCGCTACACACTCGCTTCATAATCGAGCGTGCAAAGCACATTTCCACCTACTTGCCGAAGTGCAACTTGCCTGCAACATGGCCTTCCGATGGTCACCGAAGCCGGGTGCCTGAGGGCGATGAAGCCCACAAGGCACGTCACAAGGAATACCATTTGAAGCCAACATGGGTTAAGACTGAAACCGCCGCGTCACTGACCACTGGTGCATGATTTTAGTACTGCCAGCATTGGCTATGCAGAGTGGCACATCCTGCCTTGACAGCGCATACCTGCAATCCTCCACGCAGCTTATTCACCACCAAGGTTGCCAAGGCCTGCCAACGACTGAAACCGCAGAAGCACCGTTGTACGTCATGTCTCGGAAAACTCTCCGCCATCCGTCATCGTGAAAGCATGGTGTCATCATGGTCTGCACTTCACTAACAATTTCTATGAGCTCTGTGTCAGCCTCCTGTTCAACGTCCTCCGCAATGATGAGTAGAGGTTTTTGTGCCTGCCGTTCTTCACACACACCCGCTTCATGCTAATTTCCCTCCTGTCCGGCTAGCGAGGACCACATAGGACGCGCGATGATTGAATCCGGTTGGCTCTCAACTGGGAGGCCGCAGCTCAACAGGCACCAGCTTGAGAGGGAGGCACTCACTTGATGTCACAGCACTTGGGCAATCGAGCTGCTTGATCACTTGCCTATGACGACACATATATGCGCGAAATGCCAGCACGGCCCAGAAGGATCACGACAGCAAGACCAGGTTCGAAGATGATCCTCGAGCCTTCATGGTGTGCTCCAAAACGGGGAGGATGCTCTGAACCTTGCACCGCAAGCCGATCCACACGCGCATTGTGTGCATTGCGTTTGCGTGCATGATCCCGGCATGGAATTGAGGCCGACAAGGCCGAGGCTGACGAGATCTTCTTGTCGTAGATGAGAACAAGTGGGTCTGCTAGGGCACATTTTTGCGCCTTCCAGACTCCGACATTCCGAAGGAAAAAATACTTTTACACACTTCGATCATCCCCTACAGCTCACCGATGTGGGAGCTAATTCGCCCCAGGATTCTGCTTTTAACCACTGCCAGGGCCTCCATCGCTACAGTGTGGGATTGGACACTACAGGGAGTTTTATGGGGATTCGGGGCGCCCCGGAGACTTGGCGAGACTCGTTGCGGGGTGGGCGCTCAAGGGATATTGAGCAGGACTGTCGGACAGCTCCTGAGATACTCGGCGATTTTCTGGGGGGTGGGCACTGCAGGTATTTCAGAGGGTCTGCATCAGGGATCGACAGGTTGAATGTGAGGTGCCCCAGCATCATAAATGTCAGGATCTGTGAGGAAATGTCTTGCTTTCTCCTGCTCTGCGGTGTCCATCCGAAGGATTTACTAGCACTGCTTGTTGGCAGGCCGTGTCCGCGCCTTTGTATCTGTCACAAAGTACGGGGAAATGTAGCCGCGGTCGAACTTCATGCCTTCCACAACCTGCCGAAAGGCCCCGAGATCTTCACGTCGGCATCAGAGAGCGGTGTCGGTCCTCCAGCTCATGATCCAGCGTTTTGCCCTCCGACACAGTGATGGTGCCATCCTGGCAAAAGCCACGGCAAGTGCAATGCCCAAAGTGTGACATTTTCCGGATTGAGTCTGCTGACTCTGTGAGTCTTCAAAGATGCACCGAGCAATGACTCTCTCTACATCTGAAGGGGATCAGGTGTTTTGTGCTTGCAGAAGCTTCAAGATTTTGCAGGTCTTGCTGGCAAGGTCCTTACTCGCCATCAGTGCCACGCTTGGCCCTCCCTGGTGCTACTGCTCACTGCTCACAAGTCTGGAAGTACATGCCACATCATGCCACCAGAAGCTTCAGTAGCAGCATGAGGACACAAAAGGCGCTGTACACGCAGCACATCGAGGTCAGCTTGGCCTGAACCGGCAAAAGCCTGCTGCTGCATCGCTGTGCTCCCCTTCCGTTGCTACTTGATACGAGTTAGAGGCAATTTGACCGGGCTTGAACGTTGAACCGCCTTGCTTCTGTTCGATACAGGCAACACAAATCCCGCCAAACTCTGCAGGGATCTCGACAATCGCAACGGTTGCAATGGTCATCAATGCTCGTGGGCTGAGTGGATTGATCAGCTCTGAGCTGCCCACCAGGCAGTCAAAGCTAACGGAATACTCCGAACTGAAGGAATCGCAGAGCTCTCGCTCAAAATATGAGGCTGCCTCTGCGATTCTTGCTGTATGACCTCCGTGTGCACACGCTCGCAAGTTTGGAAACTTGTTAGTACTTATCTTCAAGGTAGAAATTTAAGTTGTAGAATGCCTTCCAGTGCACGACGGTGCCACAGCTTCGCCAGTGATTTGCCATCGTTCCCCAACCCTATCTCAAGCATTCTCAAACCATACTGCCAGGCCATGAAACCACACGGTAGCCAAGGACACGAATTTCTTGTCTTGGGGAACACTCACCCCTCCAGAGATGGCATGTGCCTACGGCGACTCTCGTCTTGACCTGAATTACTTCGCCTTCGCTATTGACACAAACAAGCACAAGGCAGGATCAGAAGAATGACCCGACAACCGATCTTCACCGAGAAGTGCAGATGGGAAAGCCTGATGTGTTCACAGTCTGGCGGACAGAGTCGCTTCACCACTCGGAGGTGAGCCAGACGAAAAGGCCATGAGACAGGATGCATGCTTAAGATCTGTACACTGCACTCCTGCTCACTCACATTTCTTGGCCGGTGTCACGTCACGACACCTGACGGGTGCACATGTCCAAGCTACACGTGCTCACCGCTCAAAAACCTCGCAGCCTCTGGTGCCAATCGATCTCAATCCTTGGCTCTAAGAGCGGTTCTTTTGAGACTCTTAGGGCTCTAAGAGCTCATCATCTTTTGGGTATCAAGCAACGGGGTCCTTGCAGACGAGCTGCAGCGAGGACGACAAGGAAACTAAGTAGAGCCGGCCCTCGTAGTGTCTGTACCTTAGTTGCTCTGACGAAGCTGGGTCGTGCTCATTGCTCAGCACTAGTATCACAAGTACTGGCTGAGGTGTGAACAGCAAGGGGACGGCAGGTCACGCATGCACCAGCCGGCGGCCATATCTGGACTTCTCCAGCTGAGGAAGCGCCTGGAGAACCGGCACCAATCACACATTCCACTTGTGGACACGCACACTGCAGAAGGCCAGCAACACATCGGGCCCAAGCAAGCCTCTGCAAGCCAGCTGTGGATTTCGTCAACGACAGGACTTCTGCATGCGGAGATCTGTTGGAGGATGGTGCTCCCACAGCGGCTGCAGGCAATATTGGCAACCTGTGGTAAGTTGTTGATGGACACGAAACGCATGGACACGAAACGCATCGAAACTCCCTCAGCCGGTACAGGAGCCTGAACAGATTTGTTCCGGACTCCTTCCAGCACCGCTTCAGCAATGAGGTGCCTTTCAGCAACGCGAGTTCTGGCAGTTCTGGCACACCAGCGGCGTAACGGCACAACCCTATGCAAGGAGCAGACGAACCCGACTGATGCAACTGGGAATTGGACTGTAGATTCACATCACTTGTTTCCAATGCTTTTCGTAGGACTTGCGACCCAGCGCGGTGCATCCTTAGAAACATCTTCGGCCATGACAACCATTGCCAAAACTATAGTACTGCGACTCTCCGACTATCCATTTGAACGAGTCTCGTCAGCATTGCAATCTCGGGCAGCAGCTTCCGAAACAGTAGCTCGCGGCAAGTAGGGCTCCCATACCTAACACACTCCGGTTGGAAAGACATGCCGTGGAGAAAGCGGCACCTACAACCAAATCATCTCCCACAATGCAAATGTGTAACCGAAGCCCATCATGACAAACAAACGACAGCCACATGCAAATCCAACAGCACAGGATAACCTGCAATGAGTGCCGTGTTGGTGGCTCGGTCAAAGTCTGAAGAACACGGCTTCCATGCGGATCTCTTGCTAGCGACGGTGCTGCCTGCACTGATAGGCATCAACCACGCAATACTCAACCGCCATTGCCAAACTAGAAGCCACGAACCGAAACCCTTACTGGCCGACAAACCACTGAGCATCACTGAGTCCACCCTTACCACACGCCCAAGGGACACTTCTATGACACCCTGGAGCCTGATATGCACCACTCGGGGAGGGAGGACTACCTGCTGGGACTGCAGCAGCACACTTGCTTCGAGCGGCCCCATCCTAAACGAAGATCATTTGCTCTGCAGGTTTCCTCGCTTCCCGGCAGGATGCTGAGTGTGAGTGAGTAAGAGTGACTGAGAGGCCTTGCCCAGCAAAGTCAATGCGCACCCGCGTCGTCTCCGCCCCGGGGGGGGGGGACGTGCTCACAGCAGCACGAAACAATACACCCTCTGCTCATGGAAGCTGCTTCCTTGTCGTTCGATACGCGAGTCACCAATACTCCTATGAAGAGCCCACCTGTCAAGGAATCCGAGTGCCCACCCATATGCTGAAAGCTGCCTGTGGTTTGGCTTAGGACACGGGGGAAACGAGGCTTGGAACTTGACAGGGATGCTGGAAGCGGAGACCCCAGATGAATGTCCAAAGTGTATCCGCATGCTCAAGATCTCGCTGCAACATGAAGTGCTCGCCTGTCGTACTCGATGTCTGGCTTCCACCGACCGGGTCATGGAAGCAACATGAAGCGACACACGTAGCAGACACTCTGCATCAAGTCGTGACCCATGGGCTGTTCAAGGTCACGACCCCACGTGTTCTATCCATCCAAACTTCTTCCATCCACCTCAAGACAAAACCAGACGAAAACAAAAAAAAAAACATGCCTCCACCACTTTCAAGGAAATCTCCACTAGCTGGGAGGGGTGGAAATGCAGCAGCATCGACCTTGGCGTAGCGCAGCGAGAATAACAAAAGCATCGGTTTCGGGTGTTGCAAGCTGGAGATTGACGGATCGATTTCATCTCACAAAGTGCAGAGACATGGACTGCTCGCACATATCTGTCACTACAACAATTGGCAAAGAATCTCTAGTAGCCTTTCTCACAGCATCACCCTTGCATCCCATTTTGGCAGACAGGTTCTTGCTCGGATCTGACCAATAGTCTGAAGTTGCATGCTCGGCAGTACCCGACAAACAGTAAAGGCCAAGAGGCTCCATCACATGTGAAGCATAGCGATGCTGCGAGAGCTGCTTCTTAGCACAGGATTCGTTGATGGCGCACTGCTTTGAATCACTGCTATGAATTCAGATAGGGCTGGTATGGGAGTCAAGAGACAAAGCCAGCAACTCAAAATTGATTGAACCACATGTAGCCACATGCCCTTTCATGTGCTTTGGCTCCGGGAGTGGTGGGACATGGTGCGACCAAGCATCGCAATTGTGAATCATCTCGCAAACCATGAATCCCAAAGAGAACACCGGAACGCAGTCAATGAGCAGCACGAGCATCTGATGACCTACAGGGCACGAGCATTTATAGAATGCACACTTCGGACATGTGATGCCATGGGGCCTGACTTGCACTGGCACAAGTCCAGCACTGAGCCGCGGAAGGATGAAAGCAAAATGGCCCTGTCCTGACGATCGCGATTCCCACGACGTTGTGTCACTCCATAGGTGACAGACTAACATAGACTAACATGGACTACTGTAACATAGACTAACATAGACTAACATAGACGAACATAGACTAACATAGACTAACATAGACTAACATAGACTAACTCAGACTAACAAGTGTGGCCGGGACACGGAGCTCGTGGCCACCTCGATGGCAGCACGAACGACACCTTGCTGGGTCTTTGCCAGGGAAGGCAGCGCAGGCGCCAGGAAAGAAAGAGCTTCCTTCCGCCCATGTTGGTCAGCTGCCTGACAGAGGTCCACCACTCTCTTTGCTGTACTTCTTGCTGAGCTGTGCCACATTGTGCCACACTGTGCCACATATGCATGCAGAAACTGCCGTGCGCGTCTCCTCTCGTTGAAAATTGAGTTCTCGCTCATTTCGCCACCTCATTAAAATGTTCAAACATATTCCAAGCGTGTAAGGAGGAAAGGCATTTTGTGTCCATCATCGTCCAGGGCAAATGTGAAGATGTTTGGGCGGCACGCAGCTTGTTCCTAGACAAGCTGATCCTGAACCTGGGTTGAGAGACATATACAGAGACACATAGAGGACCTAAGCTTGCATTGCCCTCTCTAGCGATTCCTTGCGGGGACCTTACACCGCCCCTCTCCCCGGATGCGTGTGGGAAAGGCATGTTTGGATCCACTACCTGAACCCTGTCACCACACGCAGGGTCGGCATGGGTCAGGAGGCGCTGAGGCCCATGGATTCTCTATACTATCGGATCCTATCTCCTTTTCTGATGGCAGCGACTCCCCAAAAGCAGGCCCATGCGCCGATGTGTTCAACTCTCTCCTGTGCGAGCTAAACACGACAGTGTCCGGCACATGCGCGTGGACACGCGCATCCCCCGCAACGTCCCGTCTTTATCAAGTGGGCTTGCACATGGGCACAGGCATGCATCGTTTCGTATCAGGCTCTCATCTATTGCGTTCTTCCCAGTAGTGGAAACAAACAAACAGCATGGACTGCATTGCAAGCTGATGGCATTGCAATGCCCAGATAGCACATGCTGCACCCAGCCTTCAAGAACCTGATGAGATCACTTGCCCTGTCTGGCTCTGGCTCACCACCTCGAATGGTCAAAGAAAGGTGTCCATTTCGCCATTCCAGATTGCTGTCACAAAACAAAAAGCAAGTCGGAACTGCAAGGTCCGTTCATTGCTGCAGCTCAGTCAATGGTTGCACGGCAAGGGACGAAGGAGGTCCCCGAAGGATTCGGCAAGCTGATGCCGGACCTGCATGCTGTCGGGTAGCCATCGTGACAGCCATCGATTCAAAAAAAGTATCCAACCTCGGTCCCTGGTCTTCTCACATGCAGACAGTTCCGACCCCTCTATATAAGACCCTGGCTCGCTCACAGATTACATGTCAAGTCACCGCCCTGGGTCCATGAATGAATCCGCCCTTGAAACCCTGCAATCCATCCATCCCACCTGCTTTATTCTAGTCGAGCTTTTAAGACCTCATTCATGCCCGAATCTGAGATCAAAAACCCTGACCACAGCTTCAGATGAAGCGAAAAGTCTGTTTGTTGCCCAGCTCATCACAACCTCGCGGACCTCAACAACCTCAGGCTGGCACAAAAGACCCCAGACACCGCCCTCAGGACACCTTTAAAACCCCACATCGAATCCATAAAATCTCCCGCAAAGTTTCTGGGGTCCTTTCTCTCGTTCGCCACCCTCTTGGGCTTTACCAAGCTTAGGGGACCTTACTCTCGCGAATCCAACCAACAGAAAGCCTTTCTTACTTTCCACTGCTTAGAAACCCTGAGGGTGCAATCATCAAGAGCGACGAAAGCACCCACGACCTCCCTGACACGCTTCCCCTCGCTCTGGTCCCGTGCTCACATACTCTGAAAATATAAGTTTCTCATCCCAGCCCCTCAATCATGAGCCAGCACCTGGTTCGCCTCATGCTCCAAGTCTTGACACTCATCCTCACGTATTGTTGGCAATCGCTCCTGCAGGACTGCTTGCACACCCTAAACCCTAAACCCTAAACCCTAAACCGCGAAGGTACCGTCAGTCCTGCGCTGCCCTTTTGGCACAACGGGCGGAAGAGCTCCAAAGGGACATGGCCCGAGCTCTCAAGGGGCCGACTCAGCTTGAGCCGGAGCGACTGCGGTTGCAGCTTGGTATCCAAAAGTCTTCTCTAGACATTCCGCGTTGTCACACTCGTCTCCATGAGCAAACTACAAGCTGCAAGAGGCGCAGTTACCAAGATGCTAAAACTGTCTCTGGCCTTGCCAACTTTCTCAAAAGCATCGGCGACCATCTTGCCGATAATCTCCTGGCATGCTGGGGCGGCTTGCCACAGCCATGACCAAAGCAACGCAAAGATCCCTCAGCAATGTGAAACTGAGACCCACATCCAGCTCCAATTTAGCAAGCAAGACATCTCCGTTCGCAGAAATTGTGGCTACCTGAAGGAGCACGGCAAGGCCTTCTTCGGTAGGAAGTTGGGTCTTGAATTTGAATCTGCCTGCGCTATCTCCTTGGGCGAGGAGATCTCCGTCGCGCGCTTTTCTAAGTCCTGAACGTCACTGAAAGATCCTTGCACGAGCACATAGCAAGCATCGCAAACAGTCTCCTCCAGCACAATCTTCACAGAAGCATCAATTCCTCTTTTCACGTCCTTGGAGACTACATTCTCAGGGATGACGCATACGAATACATACTAGACGCGTGGCAACAACGAGCTCCGTGCCATTGGGTTCATGCCTGCAACGACCTTGGCATTGGCGCAAGGCTGCAGGACTCTGCAGGCTCTCTCCTTCCCAGGCTGCTAAGGCCAGAGCCGCTTTAGTTCCTTCTCGGAAGATTGCACGGGCCAGCACTGTCGACCTCGAATGCTTAGCATCGCTGCTTTGTGCGAGGGGTCATCTTGAAACATCTGTTTCGAGATCGTGAGCAAGAGCCGAGATCGGCACGTTGTGGTGCCATCACCAGCAAGGTCATTTGTCTTGGAAGCAACCTGCGAAGCACAACCAAATACCTGGAATCGTTTCCGCAGCACCGCAGCATGAGAGCCGGAAGAAAGCCTGCTTGATGAGCGAAGCCCCCACGTTCACGAGCTTGTTCTTGAATTCCTAGGAAACAGATCGCAGAGCACAACACAAAATGAAGCCAGTGTCTTGGCATGCTGGGGCCACTGCGATGGCTTTGGCAACAGTTACTCCATCCTTCGTCACCTTTCTCGCAGTGTTTTCACGTGATGCACACGTTAGCTCCCACAGAAAAACGGCAGCTTCTGGCAGCTTCAGCCCTCTTAGCCTCAGCCTCAAGCCGCATTGACTGTATGCCCTTTGGCATCATTTTGTTGTTCTTATGCATGGACCACTTCTCCTGCCTTTGGAGCCCCAAAGCTTTGCTCGATGACGACATTGCGGCCCTGACGCATCACGTCTCAATGGTCTCAATGCCCGCACGCCGCTCGAGCACGTGCTGTAAACCGTAATGGCGAGATGTGCAAGAAGCTGTCTGGTCTTTACAGCCATTGCACTTCCAATGAGTCTGAGAAAACTATCTTGGAGTCCCCAGCGCTGTGCCCGGCTGGGTGTAGTGTCAAGGCTGGATGATGAAAACCCATTCTGAAATCCCCAACCCAATCCCAACCCAACGCCACACCTTGGGGCCGAGTGTCACAGCCACAGCATCTGCGAGACGATTGGCACCTGGCCGTAAGACGGCTCAGGCAGGAAGTTGAAAGGATGTCGGTTCGGGATCTTGCAGATATGTGCAGATGGTTGCACCATGGAGCATGGCAGCTCTGGCGCTGGTTCCATGCCTGATGTCCTTCAGACCGATCAATGAATGTGCGCCATCGCAAAACCAGGATCGCAAGGATCGCAGACATGCAGAAACTCCTTCGAGGCAAATCCACGAACCCCCTGCTTGGCCTCAGCTCAAAGGATTGGCCACTCAGTGCCTTGGCATGCCTGGTGCTGTGGCCGCTGCAGCCAGACTGGAGACTCGCAGTGTGGAGAGCATTGTCCCTGATTTCGAAAGCATGCCGCAAAACCAGTGTTAACAAGTCTGCATTGACAGGCATGGTCCGCCTGTCTTCAGGCTGGACAACTTGCAGCCAAGTGTAGAGGGACCGGGCTCCCCCCCGACAAAATTGACTCAAATGGCAACGGATGCATTGCCTGGTTACTTCGTTACAACGCAGACAGCCATGGTCATGGCCTGACAGCCCATGCAACCATGCTGCGTAATCAAGTGCAATCTTCATGCGCAATGGGAGATCACTTCACCCACGCTCCTCTGCTTGCTCCTCTCCAATATTCAGAAAGCAACCAGTTGGTTGAATGGAGAACTGAGGTTCCACGTGCTCTGGTTTCTAGGGCACTGCGCCGCCGTAGCGACCGTTTTAACTAGGAACCTAGGGTGCGAGCCTTGAGGATCCCCACATGCCCCATCTTGCTAGGCTCCCTCGACTTCGAGCCGCGCCAAAGCGGTCGACGCGCAACGTTTAGAATTATCGAGAGTCGTGTCGTCTTCGCTCGTCTTCGCTCGTCTTCGTTCGTCTTCACTCGTCTGTGTTCGTCTTCGCATGGTCTCTTGGCCTCGCATGTGTTCGCATATATCTGCGCGGATTGCCACACGACCGCGACACCGACACAATCAAAGTAGCTGTCTGGGCCAAAGCGGCTTGGCATACAGGCATTGACCACGGCAAAATCAAACGAAACCGCAGGGCACCACAGATCATAGCGCGCAAAAACTTGCCTCGTGCTTCAGGAAGTTTCTGTAGTTGAGCTCGGGATAGCGTTCCATCCTTACTGCGACTGTTCGTACGTCCTCAAAAAAGCTTATAAGCGAAAGATGATTGAAGATGGAGGCGAGGACATCAAAACAGGATGATTCCGTATGTCTATCATTGAAAGGGCCTGCTCATTTGGATCTTCAACCCGAATATTGAGCTACAGCCAAATTCATGTCGAACCAAGGCTGGAACATGACCTGGAGCATCGCGCGGCTTCGCAGATCCTTGTCCTGAAGTTGACTGCTCAATGTTTTGCATCAGCAGCCATTACATGCAACTGAAGTTGCCCCCTGCCTCACGGACGCGGTCTGTTAAACGATCAGCCATCCATTGGAGAGGATCCATCAGCGGCATGACCTGGACAAGCAAGGGACCTGACTCACATCTGACATGTTATCGAACAGGGCCTGCCTGGTAGTCCTTCAGCTTTGCCCTGTATGGCAGCAAGGCCCTGTCACGCAAGCAGCTGGATGTCAACATCTGCTAAAGCAAGGTCCCAGGACCCTGGCAAGTGCTGAGCAGTCACCACCGCCGCCACCAACTCCTGTCGATGATCATATCACCAGACCAATCCGACATGTGTTCGCTACGCCCTCTACAGGCCCTACCGGGTCCTTGCAGGCAAACCGGCTACATGGCCCTTCAGTACAAAAACAGGAGATGCTTGTTTAGTTTACATAGCCGCTGAACAAACTTCTACGGGCCTCTATAGACTCGCCATCGGACCTCTACGACCAACCGGGAGGCTTCGTTGCGGCATTTCTTGGCCCAGTGACCACCGCCGGCTGCTGCTGCTCGATGGCACGATATGGCAGAGAAAGTGTGTCGGAGCTTGACCGAAGCTACTTGGTGCAAATCAAATTGGGCGGCGACCACTCTGAAGAGGATCGGAACGATCTGTGGAGGAACGACTCCAGTCTCACGGCTTTTGGTGCTGGTCGTGTGCACAACCAACACCTTCCCGCATGGCACACAAAAAGGAGTGCGTCAGCAGCGGGCAACACCTCACTGAATGTGAATGTGTTGCAAAGAATTCAGCCTGGCCGTTAAAAATGACGCATCGCGCCGCTTGGCATTTTTGTCTAGTAGTGATCTTTAAACAGCCAATTTTTCTGAGTCCAGACACCAAGACACCCCAGACTACTACATGTCGAAACAAAATTGCGATTTCTTTGACTTTGATCGCATCATCAATCCTAGTGCGTTGTGTGGTCAGCCAGTCACAACTTATGGACACGGACTTTGAAAACAGAACCCCGCACAGTAGCCTCAAACAATGCAGACCACAACTCGATGGTCACAGTACTAGCACATGCTTTCGAGCCTTCTGCTTCTTGCGAGAAAGCATGGTTGTCCGCCGTGGTAAGATATACCTCGCAAGTCGAACAACAGGAAGCACACGCAAACATCTGGCCATCTTACCGCCCTGGCCCCGATCGCACCCATTGTCGGCCAGGAAGTGCTGAATGATGTCAAGATCACGGAACGTGATCTTCTCCTTTGCCAGCTGTGCCTGGCGAACACATCAGTAGCAGTATCTTCCACTGCACGCATTCCTTTTGATTTATCTGGTGGCCTGCAGCGGCGTCGGCTCCCAGAATGTATCCGGCAGGCGGAAGGGCTTTGGTGGCGTGTCCGGCATCTGGCACAATCAAGGTGCTACTGGAATGATTAGAAGTCGGACCGAGCACCTCGCGCTTGTGGTAGTTGCGAAAGGAGGCTCGGTAGGGGTTCTGGACTCCAGTCATCCTCTACGGGCAAAGCTGCGAAGGCTCAAAGCAAGCAGTGCCTGTCAGTTGTTTAGCCACGTGCTTGCAATGAGCATGCATTGGCCTTGCCAGGCTTCGCTTGATTTGTATCCGAGTCTGCACGAGTCGAAGGGGCCGGATATGTCCAAATCAAGGATCATGATGTGCTCATGTCACACAGCGTAGAAACGTAGAATCTGTCGCACCCGCTTGGCTTCGGCGGCTCCAACAATTTTCTGATACTCGTCAAACTCCGCAGTCACCTCCACAAGGCCATTTGAAGATAGCATATGCAGAACATAGCCGGAACAAATAACAAGCAAGCTTTTGGGTGAGAAAAAATCGAGACATCTTGAGGCTTCGAGTCGAAGCAGAGCTGACTTTGCGACAATACTGATATGGAAAAGAGAAGTGAGACGATTGAGGCCAATAAAATCGATGCATTCAAGTGGACTTCAAACACAACATGTTGGAGCTTGCAAGCGCCTGCTGTTTAAGGTCTTGGACTTGGTGAAAAGGGCTCCAGTATGGATCGATGTTGTGCTTCTCGTACCTCGCAAAGTCTCGCAAGCCAAACTGTGCTGCCCCTTGCACACTCAGCATAACAACCAAAAACACCCGAGCTGGGGAGGAAGGATCGCACGCTTTTGTGACATCTCGATCTGGATCCACACGAGCGAAGATCTGCAAAGACTGAAAATGCTGCAACCAACTTTCCCATATAGAAGCGAGCTCGATCGTGTCAGCAACGCGCGAGAAGAACACAAGAACTCTGACATCCGCCGAGGCCTCGGGCCGAAGGTGTATAGGTTGTCAGAACAGGCACCCCCCTCCTAATCCTCCCCTCAAAGCCATGCGTCGGACCCCTTTTTTTACCTGGAAAGGGTACCCCCCCGTGGGCGACCACAATCTGAAAGCGGACGCTTCGCCAGGATCAGGGGCAGTTGAAGGCCCCCCCTCCCCCTCCCCCCCCCCCTGCTCCCCTTCTGCCCCCCCTCCACCCGCCCCCCCCATGCTGCCACCCCCCCCTGCTTGAAAGGCCTGGCTCAACTTTACGATCAATCCAAGCCGAACCGTCTCAACCCTCAACCTTGAACCTTGAACCTTGAACCCTAAACCCACAAAAACCCTAAACCCCCAACCGTGAACCTTGAGCCCTCAACCCTAAACTAACCCTCAACCCTAAACCCCAAACCATAAACCATAAACCCGGAACCCTAAACCCTAAACCCAACCCTTATTGCTTGGGGTCCAGCGACTTGGGCGCTGCGGATTCACCATGCTCACGCGGATGCGCTGGGCCGGGCCGAGGCGGGCCGCGTAGCGTTAAATTAAGAAGGGACAATGACAGCAATAGCAATGTGCCTATGTCTTGCCTTTTGTTTCGACATCATGGCCTTTCTGGTGAGCTCGATCTCATCCTGCTTCAGCCTGGCGATGGGCTCCGTGTCCTCAGCAAGCGTCTGCAACCCTGCGAAACACAGCAGCTCTGCAAGACGTTTTGCCAGTACTCTGCAGAAAGCTGGTGTAAATCTTCATTCAGGAGCGTTGAGCTTTGCACTGAACTAGGCGAGGCGCAAGCTGGCGGAAGCCGGGATCAGCATCAAGCTGGAGAGCTGCCCGCCTTGCACGAACCTCGCTGTTTTGCGCGACTTTTCTTCGCAACTAATAATGTCCCATTTTGCTAGCCCCTTAGCCCTAAGCCTGCGGCCCCATTCACCAACTCCTGAGCGTCTTAGCGAGAGACCATAATGGAATTTGAATGTCTTCGCGCCTGCACCAAGGAATCCGAACTACCACGAGGGCTGACCTGCAAAGACAAAGTGGGACTTGCACCTAGAAGCCACTGCTTGCTTCAAGCACCCACAGGCAAGATTTGCGAGACACAGTCTGGCAGGAACGCCAGTACAAAGGCGAAGCTCAGCTTCTTGCTTTTTTGAAAAGTTGGCACTGAAATGTAACAACATGGCACTATACCTCTGAGCAGAGCACAATACAATTGCCAGGGCACACCTCTACTGCTGTCAATATGATTCGTGGCTTTCAGTTCGGGAGCTTTGACATTCTCAAATACCAACCACCGAATTCCCGCTGCCACGGCCCCGCGTGCCACCGAGTGCCACCCGCTGCCAGCTCCCCTTTTGTTGGGTACCCCACCTAGCGGAACGGCAAAGGCAAGCCGGAACATGGCTGTGTCATAAGCAGAGAGCCAAGAGCCCCGGGCGCCATACGGGACGGCCACCGAGAATCCATCCACATTTTTGACAAGTCCCCCCCCCCACCCCACCCTCCCGCTCGGCACCCCGCCCCCCCACAAAAAAAGAAATGAACCAAAAAAGGACCGTGAATGAAATGAACTGGGCTCAAAAGGCTTGACACTCACAATGCCAATTCTCATGCATTCCTTCATGTCATTCACTCCTTATAAACCAATTTAGTGAGCTCACGCACGCCTGGAAAAGGAGGCGGGGAACAACGACTTGACATTCTGGCATTGGACTTCATCCAACAAGCCCCATCGTCACAAGAAAAGAGGCCTTGAGGTCACAACAAGCAGCAAGGACTGAGCTAGCTGATAAAGAAAGTCTGACCACAGCACGAAAGCAAAAAGAGCGTCGCGCAATATCGCGGCTGCAGGCCGGAGCCAGAAGGCTACATCCCCAAGATCCAAGTAGATTGCTCTGAGGGCCCACAGTCCTCAACAAGCCCCCCAAGACCCCAGACAACTCGCCGGACGACCGCAGGCAACACCGCACCTAGCCTAGCCTCAGAACTTCCATACCAACACTGTCTGTACAAACGGCACTCACACTCTCCACTCTTCAGACACCCAAGTATGCCAAACTCAGAGAAACAAACACATTGGCAAAACTGACCACACCACGAAGACCCAACGCCCCCAGGGCCTTCGCCTCCTTCATGTCAAGCCGAATGCGATGGCTGTCGGTGTCGGCTCCAAGCCCTGCCTACAGCCAGGTTGCTCTGAAGATGGCCCCCGGCAACTCCAAGTGAGCTGCTCGACAGCAAGTAGGCTTGCTAGAGAGCCAGTGTGGGCATCAGAGGGTCTCGAGGCACACATCAGTCCGGGTGGGGACCGAGTCACAACGAGTCGGAAAATGCCCGGGGTGAGTGTGTCGTCAGAAAAAGAACCGAGCGAAAAGACCCAAAGCAGCGAGTCTGCAAATTTTCCGGGAAGCTTTCACGGGCACAGCTTGGCATCTAGAAGGGTTTCGGGTGGGCTCTTTTCAGGTTTGCAGGTTTGCAGAAAGGAGTTTCGCGGGCCAACCCCCCTAAACCCGAAAAACTCGAAAACCCTAAACACCCTAAAACCTAAACGCCCGGAACACTAAACACCAAAATCCTGAAAACTCCAAACCCTAAAAACCGCACACCCTAAGGGCTTGGATGTTTTTCCTGATAGTTCTTCCGATTTTTCCTTACTTTGTTTCCGCTTTCTTGTCGGGGACCTCTTGGCTTCCCCCCTCTCTAGGAACAAGCTACATCCCCTCAACATTTTCATAGGATTCACACTACTTTTCGTAGGATTTCTCATTACCTAAGGATGGATTTCAGCAAGATTCATAGGTTTTTAAGCACGCTTTGCACGGCTTAAATAAAGGGGGGGGGGTTGGGGCGGGGGCGCAACCCCCCCCCATTTGATTAATGTTTTTTTTGGTTCGTTTTCGTGGTTTTTCGATGGGTTCCAGCCAGTTTCCTAGGCTTTGAAGCGTGCTTTGCACGGCTTAAAAGAAGCGGGGGGGGGGGTTGGGGGTTTGGGGGCGGTTGGGGGGGGGGGGTTGGGGGGGGTTCGGGGGGGGCGCAGCCCCCCCCCTATGCAACCACAATGCTCACATGATGGGTTTCAACATTCAACAAGATTCACTAGCCTTTGAAGCACGCTTTGCAACCGGGGGGGGGGGGGGCTCCCCCCCATTTGCAACCACAATGCTCACACGATGGGCTTCAAAAAAACTCATAAGAATTGAAGCACGCCTGGCACGGCTTAAAAAAAGGGGGGTTGGGGTTGGCCCTATTTGCAAACAAAATGCTCACATGACGGGTTTCAACATTTCTCAGGCTTTGAAGCATGCTTTGCACGGCTTATAAATAGGGGATAGGATTAGGGGGACGCTTGGGGATAAAGACCCTCTGAATAAGGTCCCTGTTGAAGAGAGCCAGAAGAGGGTTCAGAAGGGGTTCCCTTTTAAGGGTCCCCCTTATCCTAGGAATAAAGAAGAAAAAAAGAGCGGGGGGCTGGGGCAGGGCGCAGCCCCCCGCCACCCCCCCCCCCATTGCAAACACAATGCTGACACGACAGGTTTCAGCAAGATTCATAGGCTTTGAAGCACGCCTTGCACGGTTAAAAGAAAAAACAACGGGGGGTTGGGTAAAGATTCATAGGCTTTGAAGCACGCGTTGCACGGCTTTAAAAAAAAAAGCGGGGGTTGGGGTGGTGCAAACAATGCTCACATGATGGGTTTCAACTAGTTTCTTAGGCTTTGAAGCACGCTTTGCACGGCTTGAAAGAAGCGGGGGGGAGGGGGTTGGGGGGGGGGCATTTGCAACACAATGCTCACACCCTTCCTTCCTTTGCTTGCTTGCTTGCTTGCTTTCTGGCTTGCTCGCTTGCTTGTTTGCTTGCTCGCTTGCTTGCTAGCTTGCCTGTTTCCGTGCTTGCCTGCTTGCTTGCTCGCTTGCTTGCTTGCATGCTTCCGTGCGTGCTGCTTTCTTGCCTGCCTGCTCGCTTGCTTGCTTGCTTGCTTGCTTGTTTGCTTGCCTGCTTCCGTGCTTGCTTGCTTGCGTTCTGGCTTGCTCGCTCGCTTGCTTGCTTGCTTGCTTCCAAGCTTCCGTGCTTGCTTGCTTGCTTGCTTGCTTCCGTGCTTGCTTGCTTGCTTGCTAGCTTGCTTGCTTGCTGGCTTGCCTGCGTGCTTGCTTGCTTGCGTGCGTGCTTGTTTGCCTACAGGCCACTGGGCCGGAAAAAAAAAGACTGAAATAAAATAAGCAAAAAACACCGCCACCACACCCTAACAACCCTCTAAAACCCTGAACCCTGAAAACGCTCAACCCTTAAGCACCTTAAGCCTTATCACCCTAAACCCTTATGTCCCTAAACCGTCAAAAAACATAAACCCTAAACAAACGAACGAACAACCCGAAACCCAAAACAAACAAAAAAAAACAGCCCGAAACCCTAAAAGCCAAAAAACACAGAAAACACGAAATAACCCTACAAGGCACTACACTCAAAAAAAAAACAACAAACCCTAAACCCCAAAAGCCAAACATCCTGAAAACACTTAACCCTACAAGGACACTAAACCCAAAAAAACCAAACCCTAGAAACCCAAAACCAGCCGGTTGTCACATTCGGCCTGGGTGTATTCTGATTCGGTTTTTTCTATTTTCCCGACTCGGACCTCCTAGATTTTCCCCGCACTTATCCCCAGACGAACTCCTGCTCTGAAGAGCGTGCAACATTCGGGAATGTGGTGTAAAAGCCAAACGAAAGCAAACCGCACATGGCAGCAGAACGCGGCTGGCGCACACAGAAGTTCAAGTACACCAGGAGACTAAGAGACACACCGAGGATGCCATGCATCGTCGACCTCTGAGCTTGTGCCTCTCGCGGAACCGCACAGATTCAACAAGTCAACAGACAGCTGCAGGCAAACCAGTGACCATCACAGCATGTCCGATGCAGCTTGGTTGCAAACGATCACAAAGCTACAGAACTTTGCAACGGGTAGTCGCAACGGTTTCCATCATGTGTTTGCCAGTCAGTCTCTTTGGACAAACACGAACTGCAAGGCTCCTTGCAGTAACTCCATGCATCACGCTGAGCTCAACCAGTAATGGTAGCACATTGGCAGCACATTGGCATTCTACCAGCATGCCTCCACTGGCCAAGCTGCTTACTTGGCACTTTCCAGGTTCTCTGGACTTGCCACAATTTCGGTGGCGGCTTGGGAGGCAGCTCTCTCAAACGGATATGGACTCAGGCTTGTCCCTGCGCAAGCACACTGCGCCAGCGTGCTCAAACAGCTCCACCTCCTCCTGCTCCTCTTGAAAGTCCTTCAACGAAAAAGACTTGGCAGGCCAACAACTTTGCATTCACGAACGCAACAGCTTTTTCGAGCCCCGGATCTTGTCTTAGCAACTTTTCATGGCCTCTTGCCGAAACTGTGCCAGAGGCATGGAGACGGCGATCGGCTGGATCGGATCGCTCCAGGGGTCCGAGCTGCCTCGTCGAGAGAGAGCTCCCTACAAGCTACATGGTTGTGTCACAAAGCACTACCAAGCTTCGCAGACAACTTAGAGGACTGCGCTGTGTTTCGCACACGTGCATGGCGCCCAGGTCATAGCCGACCTCAGGAAGTTCACGAATTTAAAATAGAACCCCGAATGTCCGCTGGACCTGCTTCCGATGTACTATAGCATGTATGATCCTTCGGCGGGGGTTCAACTCCCCGACCCTCCGCGAAACTTAGCCCTGACCCCATGAAGCGCTCTTTCTTTCCTCTGGCTGCCTTCCTGCCCTTGGCTGGGGAAAAGCCTTCGGGTCTTGGGTGAGCCCCTTGCAGGGCGACGCCCTCCTGGCCTCCCCCACCTCTCTGTGCGCCCATCCTTTCCCCATCCTTCTCCGTCCACTCTGCCTTATGTTTTTGGCGACCGGGTGCGGCTCCAGCTGCTAGCCATCTCTCTTCCTCTCCTCTTCGGCTGACTCCCGCTTCTGATTCCAATCCTCTGTCAACTGCCCGCACCAAACCACCGCAATGCCTCTCTGATCTGGCACTCGACTGTGAAACATTTCGGAGGCACTGAGGATATGAGGATATGAGGATATGAGGATATGAGGATATGAGGATATGAGGATATGAGGATATGAGGCAGCATGGTCAGCATGGAGGTGCTTGGACGTGAAAGCACACAAAACTCAAAAGTCACAGCGTGTCACTGTCACAGCCGCCTGCGTGCTCTCTGCCGTCTCATGCTGATCGACCGCTGCCCGACTGCAGCAGCTGTCCACCCCTAAGATGGACGGCCATACACTGGATGCCACATGGCCTGCATCAGAACAGAAAGCGGTCCGAATCCCATGCACGATTTTACATGTTGTATCCCTGGACACTTGATGCATCACAAGGCCATCAAGGCCTGACCCACAACAGCCAGCCAAGGACGAGACTTGCATCTTGCCTTTGTGCGCCACAAATAGCGTGAGGACCGTGAGAACCTATCCTAACACACCGTGACACTGCAGATGCATTCGAGCGGCCTGCCAGCAGAAAATGTGACTTGGCCGTGACTTGATGGCCAAACTGAAGGATAGCTTTGCCCTCGCGCTCAAGCAGCGTGGACCACGCAGGTCTGCGCGACGCCGCGCGTGACGCTGCGCGCTGCACATCGAAGGCCCAATGCGGCACCCGCATATCGTGGAAGACATAGTCCGGCAGCGAAAAGAAGTGAGTGGCCGGCAACACCAAATAGTTCATGTCATTCATCAAATTTGTGTTGTGTGAAAGCGAGGTCGGTGACACCAGCAGCTTCCGTGAAGGGATTGCACTGTATAGCATTTCAGCATGGCGAAACGCAATCATGTCATCCGCTTTACCATGAATGAGCAAGACCGGGCTTGCTATTTTTGAAGCAAGTTCAAAGTTCGGATACCACTCTTCAACCAGCCCAGACAATAGACCCACCCTATCCTTAAAGAGGTCTGCTACTGAAAGGAAGGGCGTGACCAGGATTACTCCAGCAAAACGAAACAGCGATGCCAATTTCACGGCGGGTCCTGTGCCAATTGATCTGCCAAATATCTTTATGCTATCGACCGGCCAACACAAGCTCTGCGTTGCAAAATGCAAGGCGGACAACGCATTCTCCATCACAGTTTTGCCAGTGGCCACACCTGGGCACAGGCCGTATCCAGGATACTCTACAGCCAGAACGTGCACTTGGAACTTGTCGCGCAATAAGTGGCAAAACGAGTAGCACCGGCCCAAATCTTCGGCATTGCTGTGAAAGAACAGTACCAGATACCGGCTGTAAGGATATGTCATCAACAAGCATGGCACACTCTCCACTCCCACCGGTGGAGCGTCACCATCCAGGGAACTTCGTTTAGGAACCCACACAAGCTCGTTGGGAAAACTGTCAAGGTCGTAGCTCGGCTCTGGAGCAGGATAAAGAATGCGAGACAAGAGTCCGCGCTCGAGCATGCGTCTTGATGTCCTCTACGTCGACCAGACCGCGAGAAGGTTCCATGGTGATGCTCCAGGTGTGGAAATACATCAATGCAACTTGAGAGGCACGGTTCATGCAAGCATCGAAAACATGTACAGCATCTGTCTGCCGGAAAGAGAAAGAAGAGTGACATGGACAGCTGAGGCTAAAGCAGTAAGAACATGAAGGGCAGCGTAGCTACTTGTGTTTACGTTTTATCTCGATATAGCCCGTGCAATATTATCAACGCTAGGCAAATGCCAAGCCTGCATTGGCTCTCAAAGCGGGTAGCTCGGCCATGTCGCTGCGCCGTCCGACTCGTCCAAGACCTGCGACGCACTTCTACGTCGCCGTATCCGTATATGCAACAAACAAATATGACCTGCCTATGCACCAGCCGCATGAGGGGCGAAACCCATGGTGAAGGCAGGCACACTTCTGCGTCAGGTGATGTTGTCGGTGCCCGTTGCGGCGTGCAGTTTCTGCCATTTGGAAATGCAACCAACGAACGTATGGATAGCTGGATCTTGAGCTGACGTTGGCCGCTAAAGGTGCTGTATGCCGTAGAAGAGACTGTGCGAAAAGCCCTTGATAACTCCAACGTCGCCATGAACAATTGCAACACGTGCATACCGCACATAGGTGCTGCTGAGAAAATGCCATGTGCCAACATGTGGCGACAATCATGGGGAAACCGGGTATCCAGCAAAATGTGACTCCATTGCCATAAACATGGAGATGCCTATCCGTGGGCGCACAAGATCAACACTTAAAAAAGGTTCAAATACACGCATGTAGCCTCAATGTATGTAATTGGCTGAATGCTCCCACATGTTTTTGTTGGACTTTTTTGGCATTTCCGCTAACCGGAACTGCAAGATTCGCCCTCGTTAACATCGCATGTGGTTGACATGTTTCGTGATGAACAAAGAACACACACCTGAAACGCTGGACTACATCTATACTGACTGGAAACCAACCTTCCCAAGTCGCATCCCAAAGACTAACCCTAACCCGGGCCGGACAGGGACAGTGTGCGCATGTGCAAGTTAGTACCACACTGCAGCACCCAAAACCCTTCGTTTGCACAAGCGTTCATATTATCTGGACGAGGAGATCGGCGCCGTTCCGCCCATAATCCGAACTAAAAGCGGGCGGGGCGCAAACGAGGTCAATTTTCATCCAACACGCACAACTGGAAGCTTTGTTCGGAAGCTGTTTGACACCAAACCAACACAAGCTCAAGAAGGGGGACGGGTTGCAGTAAGCCCGGACGCTCGAGTTTCAATTATGGCTGTGTTCCTAACCACACGGCCCACAACCTTGAAATCCCAACAGGGCACACCAAGACCCACGTGAGTACAAACAAACACGAATGCCCTTGGGTGCAAAAACCCCCTACTTTTTTGCCAGCCACTTCAAGATCGACACATTTTGTCAAACCATGTGCATACTAATGAAGGAAGACATTATCATCGTGCAAAATGAACGGTTGTGTTGTAAACATGTTGGCTCAAACTCAAAAACTGATGTTGTTGGTACACGCTGGTGCAATTGCTGCTACAAGCCTGTTGACAAGGACAGTGCTTTTGAAGCCGAACCGCCAAGAACAACAAGGAAATCGAACTCTTCTCTCCTCTTTTCCTCTTCTGTAGCACCTTTGCTCCACAACTTCAGAGCCCTTGCTCTTCAGACTAAAGCTTTTGTATTGTCACAGACTCAGGTCGCTGCCCGTGTCAAGTCACCCAACTTCAGAAACCTTGCCGCAGGCACCTCATTGTGGAGCTGTGGCCTCCTTGGTACTCACACCGTTACCAAGGTCGGCGGTCCACACATAAGTGAAAGTTGCACCGTCCGTGGAGCAGTAGAGATCGAATTTGGGGATGGCGTTGCTTGCGCTGCCCCACTGGTGAGTCTTCACTTTGGTGACGGCATTCGGCTGATTCAGCTGGTAGTGATGCTTTTCCCCACCTTCGCGGCGCCGGAGCACGTCACCCACTTCGTGGACAAGTCACCATCAAAGGCGCCCTCGGGGCCGCCGGCCCAGTTCTTGCAGTCGGAGCTTGCGGTGCCCTTCCCAGGGCCGGAGATGAGATCATCGTCATTGAAGAGCTCGATCTCAAAGATGTGGGCCTCCCAGCCCTTGGAATTGTCCTCCGCGATCCGCAGCTGCCACGTGGAGCACACTGGCGTGACCTCACGGGTGGCTCCGAGACCGCTTTGTGACAATATGTGCCAATTGACAAACAGCTCCGTGACGGTTGACGGGTTTCCGAGACAACTCCGTGACAATACAGTATAGAACCATAGCAATTCATGGTAGAGAAAATCCCCACATGTAAAATGAAAACTTGCTGTGTCAATCTGTGTGATGGGTGATGGCTCGCAAAATTTCATCGGATGTTCAGTACCATATCTCCCGAAATGCGCAACGAATTGCACCAATGCTTGTAGTTATACTATTTTCAGTCGTGTGATGTCGTGGAGATGTGGTCTATTTCCTAGAGTTAAAGGAGAACACAACCTGGTGATGGTACTAATGGTGTGTTGGGACGGTCTCAAAGTGGGGGATTCTGGAGGTGTGAACGGTTAGACCAAGATATGAGAGTTAGGGTCTCAAGGTGTAACAGGGAGATTCCGGAAGGTTGGATTCATGAAGGAGAACCTGATGTTGGGGTCCCGAGGGTGGGTTCCTTGTCAAGAGAGTTCCTGTCACGTAGAAGGACTCATGATGGTACGGTTTCTAGACCAGATGATACGGTAAGACGGCCCTGCCTGCTGTGTCACGGTTTCCATGTTCGCCTTGCCATCAACTACGTGTTGGAGAGCTTGTCCGGGGATTGTGATCTTGGAATTGCCACTGTCCGGCCCCTGGTAGCGCCTCAGTGCTCTCTTCGGGAGTAAAACGATACCGCTAGAATCCTTTGGTTGCCAGTATGCTTCCCCTTTCCTAAAAGTCAAAAGAGCACTAAGGGTCGCGCATCTTCAAGACTTCGCCGCCCCAATATTCGCACATATCCACGGCCAAGTCGTGGGCACCTGGCAGAAGGAACTTGTCGCTGCTGCCCTGCTCTTCTTCCTTGGCTGCTCCTGGAAGCCCATTCCAAAAAATGATTGCTGTTCCTTTTTGCGAATAGTCTAAACTCAAAAAGCATGACTTTCAAGAACGGCCAAGTTTCTCCATGGCAGCCATCGTTGTCGACGACTTTCTCCCCATTCAGCCACATAACAGATCCTCACGAAAGAACGGCGCTACTTCACCAGGGACCCCAGAAAGTCTGACTTGTCGGAAGAACCTTGCGCCTCAAAACCGTAGCCCTGAAAACCCTAAACCCTGAAGCCCTAAATGCCTAAACCCCAGACTCTCGACCCGAAACCCTAAAGCCCTAAACCCTGAACCCCTCTATAGAACCCTTATGGTCTTATAGATCCTTTAACCGAACTCTGAAACCTCAACAAACCCAACTCAACTCCAAGATCTGAGGACAGCACCATCGTCTGAACTGAGGAAGAACTTGTAGTTGCCCTCCTTCTTCGTGACCAGCTGACCTGTGCACCTGCGATGTGCCAGACTCTGGGAAATATCTAAGCCCCCAATTAAAACTATTAAAGCTTAAAACCCTAAGCTCGAAAGCTACTAGGCTGCTGGCATAGAGTTCCAGATACTTTATTAGATGGATAGAAGTTCGACGGCCACCCAAAACCCTTAAACCACAAAGTCCGAGCCCGTAAGAACCCGACAACCCTAAAGCCCGATCCCCTGAGAACACCTCAGAAACCTATAAGGGTCACTTCTTGAACCCTTGCCCTAAACCCTAAACCCTGAAAGGGACCCTACTTTAGGGAACTACCCGGGCCGAGCCTCATGCAGAATTGTTCGCCTTGCCGGACTTCGGGGAACTTGCCAAAGGCTCTGTGAAGCCTACCCCATGAAGGAAAATGACGACGGTGGAAACTCTAACCCCTCACCCTTAAGCCGAGTTGCTATGGCTTCTCTTAAGCTCTCAGTCTTCTGAAACTTTATGCGGCCTCAGCCCTGAAAGCCCTTAAACCAAAACCTTACATGCGGTCCATGTAGATGTTGGGGACAACCACTTTGTGGGCCGGTGTCCTTCGGTACGCAGCAAAGCTGGAACTAGGGTGTTGGGTTAGGGTTTGGGGATTCGGGCCTTCCAGGTAAACCCGGCTCCATGATTCTTAGTGAATGGGTTTCTTTTTTTTGGACTGATGCCCCTTTACTACATCAGTAGCACAGTAGGCCGGTCTTGTTGGGCTCGACGTAACGGGTGAAACGAAGTCAGCGCGCGCAAACCACCAAAAACACCACGCAACCACCCAAGAAACAAAGAAACAGAAGCAACAAAGCAAGCAAAGGCGCTGAACTACTAGGTAACCCCACGCACTCAGTACTCGAAGTCGTCGTTGAAGTCCCGGTGCAATCATACAGCACAGAGCATGCGGGGAGTCGCAAAATGCGACACTGCCAGATTCTCAAAACCACCATCATGTAGCTACTGGTGCGACATCATTCGGCTCGAACCGAGGTCATCACTCGATAGTCAGGATCCTGTACTCGTCGTCAAGGACAGATAACAGACCCGCATTGGCAAAGGGATGGTACAGGTCAGACTCCCCAAAGGAGAGGAAAGACGTGCGTATGCCCCATGGTGGTCAGCCAGTGGGGACTTAACAGCAAGAACAATCAAGGCAAGACCGGCCCAGGGCACTCCATGGTGGTCAGCCAGTGGAGCAGCCCCGAGCGAAAGGTCCTCCTCTCACCCTGGCTTGCAGCTGCGCCCACCTAGATAGATGTCCGCGCACAAGCACAGTCTCATCAGACAGCCAAAGGGGAGGCCACACACGCAAGCCCGAAAGCTCGCCGGGGTCTCGGAGACTGCAATCTGGTAGGCAATGGTCCCTCCAGAGCCCAAGCCAATAAGGTACGTCGGCAAGGAGATGTGAGGGCTCACATCACTTTGGCAGCCTGCAAGAGCGCTAAGATCTCCGGTATACACAGCTTTCGTCCAGGCGATGATGGCCCTCTTGAAGGCCAAGTTACTCCACAGGTGTTCGATGGCTCCTGGCCAGGGCAGTAGGTGCATATTCTCCACGTAGAAGTGCCCGCAACCTGGGAGAGGCAGCACCGCCGCATTGGCCTCTCCAGAGTCGATATTCGGCCGTCAGGATCCCGTACCCGTCGTCCAGGACAGATAACAGACCCGCAGTGGCAAAGGGATGTGACAGGTCAGACTCCCCAAAGGAGAGGAAAGAAGAGGAAAGACGTGCTTATGGCTTATGCTCCATGGTGGTCAGCCAGTGGGGACTTAACAGCAAGTTCAGACAACGCCCACTGCAAGACCTAACCCTAGTTGGGGGAGAGCGGGTAGAACGAGCCCTCTAGATCCCAAAGACCCTACGGGAGGGGGATTAGGGGCAACAGCGTCCTACCCTGCATGCGATGGCCTTTTTTCACGGGTGCTGCTCTGGGCGAGTTTGGCGATCAGGCCGGGCAGCCTCTCAGGCGAGAGGCTCCGGTCCTGATGCATGGCATACCCCCTTTTGAGGGTTTATGGCAGTAAAGGCGAGGGCTACTCCTCTTTGGGAGGCAATAATGCGGCAGTGTACTGGGCTACTCCACTTTGGGAGGCAGTGTACTGGGCTACTCCACTTTGAGAGGCAGAGGGCTGTCGGCTATGTGGAGAGTGTTTGGAGTTTGGCGTTGAGTGAGCAGGGCAAGGGAGGGCGGGCGAAAAAGATGCTCACACGCTATGCATGGCCCCAACTCGGGTTAGGTCGGGGCCAGCTGAGCCAGGAGCCAGCTGGGCGTGGGCGAACATGGGTGGTCATGATTCGTGCGTGTCAAAACACCTGGGAAACAAAAACCCAGTGCGTTCAGACAACGCCCACTGCAAGACCTAACCCTAGTTGGGGGAGAGCGGGTAGAACGAGCCCTCTAGATCCCAAAGACCCTACGGGAGGGGGATTAGGGGCAACAGCGTCCTACCCTGCATGCGATGGCCTTTTTTCACGGGTGCTGCTCTGGGCATCAGGCCGGGCAGCCTCTCAGGCGAGAGGCTCCGGTCCTGATGCATGGCATACCCCCACTTTAGCGGCCCGGGGCAGACCAGTGAAGTTAAGGCCTGGCGCCCCCACCGCGCGTGGTCTGACTAGGCTTGTGCAGGGGACGCTATGTCCAGGAGGCCTTGGCTCCATGGCACGTCAGCAGAGGCTAGGCTAACCTCATGGGCCGACTTGTGCAAGTGCGAAAGGTGCACCTGGAATCTGCGGGCATGGCTAGAGCGAGAGAACTTCGCTAGGCGGTTTCGGCTCAGGTCGTCGGCGTCGGTGTTCTTGGCTCCGGGAATATGGCCGATTTCCAATTCTAGGCCGCGTGCGTGGGCCCAGGAGGCCACCTTCTCCAGGAAGAAGCTAAGCGGAAAGGCCGTTGTGAAGAGTTTGTTGATGGAGGCTTGAGTAGGGCTATTGTCGCTGCGCGAGGCGACGCAGAACCTGAGGCAGGAGCAACCAGTGGCCTCGTAGGCCATTTGCAGCAGAACCCACTGTGCCACGGTTTCGAAGCAGGCGATGTACTGCTGGGCATCCTTCGTGAGGAAAGGCCAGGCTGTGCGGAGTTCCTTGATGTCCCATTGCTGTGCAAACCACCAGGTGTTAGAGGATGTGGCCAGCCATCCTCCAATTCCGACGGTGGTACCGTCTGCCATGGCGTCTGCGGCTGATAGGCAGGGCAGAAGAGGCTGGCGGGCCAGCGGCATGGCAAATTCATAGGCGAAGCACTGGGCGAGCCAGTGTATGGCGGCTTTGCTTTCGTTGCGCAGCGCAATCTCCGAGGCTGAGGGGACCCAGATCGTTTTGTCGGCGGCCGGAATAGGCCAAATGTCCGTTTTGGCCCGGACGGGCTTTCCTCTGACCTCGATAACTTTGGCATGCAATGGGAGCTGAAGGTACGAGGCGTCCTTAGTAATTTTGCAAGAGGCGTCGAGGCACCAGAGGAACTGTGACCAGCTTCTCGGAGGCACGGGGTAGCACGTGCCCGGCGGGCTATGCAGATCTGAGTAGATCGGGGCTGTGAAGCAGCGGAGGTGTGGGCTGATGCTAGTGGCCCACATCAGTAGGCCGAGGCATGCCTCCAGCTCTTTGCGGGGGACCCGCTTGTGCTGCAGCAATTGGAGCAGCTGTGCGCGGAGTTTGTCCAACTTGGGCTGGGCTAGGCAGACGGTTTCGGTGCGGAAACAGAACTGCCAGCCGCACCAGATGATACTGGGTCCGAAGGAGGCCTTCTTCCAGCTGATGGGCGCTCCTATCAGGGAGAGGTAGGCCACGACGAAGGCCAGTTGCTGGGGTGCGCGGCAATGCAAAAGAGAGAGCAAGAGGTCGTCTACGTAGAGCCAAGCTTTGTGCGGCTCGGGGGCCATGAGGCGGTGGAGGAGCCGCAGTAGCAGGGCTCCGACCCGCTGCCACCAGTAGGCGGAGAACCGGGCGCCGAAATGGCAGACCACATAGGCATATAGGCGGCCGGCATTTCGGAAAAGCAGTAGGCCTTGGTCCGAGTGGCGGACCTTGACCCGCTTGTGGGCAGCTTTAAAGTCAAGGGCGGCTCCTTGTGAGGCATTGGGCGGATCGTGAGGCTTGAAGGTCGTGCGCACGTCGGCGGCTGTAGGTAGGCAGACCCTTTCGGGCAGTGTGCAGCGTGGGTTCACATTACACACTGAGCTGTCAAGGACCATCTTGGGGTCTTTGCCATCGGCCTGTACCACGTTTAGCTTCCCTATGGCGATGCCTTTAGGCCATTTGGCGCGAGCTTCCTGTTCGCCCCCAGGAACTTCTATGACCCACCCCTGGGCCATTTCTTCCTCAATTAGGCGCTGGAGGAGGTCGGGCTGGGCCTCGGCGTTCTTCCAATTGGTGTCAAACTCTTTGAGGCAAGTGTCCAGTGGGTGTTGGGCCTGTTGGGCGTCAACGGCAGGCCATTGGTTGCTGCTGACAATGGGCTCGAAGACGCCCGTGGGCACTCCTTGGGCCAGGACGGAGGGCAAGTGCTTATCAATGTCCTGGGTAATGCGGGCCAAGTGCGATAGAAGGCCGAGGCGAAAGGGCTGGCCCTCTTCTATGGCAGAGGCTGATTGCGGCGGCAGGTTCAGGGTGGCTGCCGCCATTTGCAGTAGCGAGCCCTGTTCCTCTTCAGGGCGATATGCGCGGCAATGCGCTTGTATCGGTCATCTTGCATGCACCAGGCTTGCATTTTCTCAATGAGGGGGGCTAGGCAAGCTTGGGGCGTGGCCGTCATCGAGGAGTCGGCGGTGCTTTGAAGGCCCGCGCCGTCGCAGGCTGGTGCCCTTGGTCCGGGGCCAGCCATGTGCTGTGGCATGGCCGGCTCGAGAGGCAAGGGGATCGCGGTTGTTGGGGCAGAAGTCGGCCACATGTGCTGGAAGGCCTGAAGGAGGCTGCAGGCGAGCGCGGCGGGGTATTCAGCTGTGCTGGAGCTGATGTACCCGCCCGAAGTGTCACGCTTGTTGCGCAGGGATGGGTGCTCGAAAGCGTGGGCACAGTTGTGCTGCACCCCTCTAATATGAGGGCTGTTGGAGGCGAAAGCCCAAGATTTGGACCACGTCACTCCAAAGCCGCAGGCGGCAACTGAGGCTACGTGGGCAGCTGAGGCACGCAAGAGTTGTTGGCATGAGGGCTCCAGCCAGGCCATGCTGGAAGGGGGGTTTTCAAGGACCCAAGTTCCCCCCGAGGATGCAACTGCTCGGCAGAGTTGATGGCACCGTTCATGTATGCGGCGGCTTTCTTCGGCTTGGCGTGCGAGCACTGGGCTATTGGAAGGCAGGCCATTGAGGTGCTCGGGT